CAACAAGCGAACAAGTTGTGTATTATTCATTATCTTTACTCCAATATCTCAATAAATTTTATTAAAACCTATATATATATACTATATATAATACTATAAATTCCATCCATGTGATTGTGTGTCATTTATATGGTGGATCAAATTATAAAATTCCTATGAAGTGCTTATTCACCCAATAGGATTTTATATAAGTTTTTCCGCTGATAATAAAAAAGTCATACAAATGTTGTTAAAAAAAAAATCTAAATAGAACGGAGCCAAATGGTAATATTTTTTTTTTTTTTTTTTTTTTTTTTAGGGGGATGGCATGGTATTTTGATAAGAATGTGGTTAAATATAAGAATCCAAATAGCTAATACATATTTTACATGCAATTTATATATAATATATATAATCTATTTATCTATATTATATACAAATGTGGAATGAGGGGGATAATAAGATTTTTAATGAGACCCTAAATGACATTTAAGATACCCTAAAATAAACTTAGTCATGACCAAATAAAAAATTCACTTAAAAACATATATAATTTTTCTTTGATTTGATTGGATATATTTTATTAAAATTAATTTTTTAAGTAAATAGATGCGGATAATTAATGTCACGACCCGTTTCCATGGGCCGGCGACCCGTTTCCATGGGCCGGACCGGCACTAGAGTCCGGATACCAGCCTTAAGGCCCCGCGGACCCCGCTAGTAACCTGAAACACTACAACTTACTATCTCAAATACTCAATCTTCAAATATTCAGCCCCATTATTACCTCCCTACTCGAAAATAAACCAAGATTCCTTATACATCTCGGCCCAAAATTTTTATCTTCTACACAATTTCACAGTTCGGGCCAATTAAACAATACCATCACATCCTTTAATATGGCTCACGTAATTATCAATCGTCTATGTTAGTACACGAAACTAATTGTACCGAAATTCTACAACTGGCGGAGCTTCACTAAAGATGTAATACAGACAAGCCTTCGCACAATTTTATCCTTTTAATAGCATGCAAAAACTAAAATTAGAGATTTCTTTTAACCAGCGAATAAGAGCAGAGCTATAGCTAGAATTTAGAAAATGCTACTTCCCTGAAAGATTTAAAAACAAAAGAATTGGAGCTTTCCTAAAGGAGTAATTATTTATTGCACAACACACGCATTCAACAATGTATAAATATATCAATCTAGTCCATCCGAACTCAGTTATACTGCTCACATCTGCCCCGCCAGCCATCCACCACCAAATGGCATACTCACCAAGCACTCACAATTATTAACATCTTATATCATCACACCTCACGTGGAAATTGGGTCCTGTGGCGTCACACCGAACCCCGATGAAGCCGTCACCTCCCCCACAACTGGCTCAATCCTCTCAATAACGTGTGCAAACCCGGACGCCGATCCCCATACTTCGGCCGACCCCGTTACTCCTCACTTGACCAGCCTCTCATTGTTTTTCCATTCTCCCTCTTCTTTCTTCCTCCATACAACAGGTAGGCAACCCGGTCGTCTCCATCAAATCTAGATCCTCAGGCGCTCACAACAGGACGGCACCCTGCGGGCTGTGCATCAACCTAGATATTCCCGGTGGCGCCCAAATAAAGAAGCCAACTGTGGTCAAAGTAACGGTAACAGCTAGGTGCAACACGGGGAGCGCCGATCTCCCATCTTACCCCCGGCCCGACGGTCCAAGTTTTCATAATTCCATCAATATCAGGCCATCCATGCTTTATCCGCACCGTACCTCCAAACCCCATGGTAACACTTCATCCAATTCCACACAAAGCAAAGAAACAGCAATATTCAACAACACAATTAATCCAAGATTGCAATTAAATGCAAGCATACTTAATCAATTAAACATCGTAATGCAATGGCTCAAGTAGACATCCAAAATCAATTGCAACATAAACTAAGTAAATAGTGTTAACATCAAAACAATAATAATAAAAATAAATAAAATAACTGATAACACCATAAAATGAAAAATTAAATAATATTTGGAATACTTAAAATGAATAATAATGATAAATATCTCAATAATTTACGACGTACTTTATTTTATTATGTCATCAAATTATAGAATTTAATTTAAATAATCTTCTTACATTATACTTGTTAATTAAAAAATAATCTGAGTTTCTATGAAATTTCGGCAGCATCTCCCCTAAAAATGAGATTATCTACCTGCTTAAATATCAGCAATATTATATCCATCAACCATTACATACACAGCCCATCATTCGGGCAATCAAACAAATTAATTTCCCTTCCTCCGTCCAAAATAATCACATCAATATTTAATCGTCAATGTCAAACTTCAACTTATTATATAAAAGTAAGTAAGTAAATAAATAAATAAGCAAATAAGTGAAAAATAGCTATTTGCTTAACCTCCACTCGTTACTAGTTAAACAATTTAATATAAATCCTTAACAATCATATAAAACTATAGCTCCTATAGCTTATTGTATTGAATAATCCATCCAACTAATTCGGAGCTTTTTTCCGATACCCCAAAATTAATATTTTACCAACATTACCTAATCATCTTTAATAAATCATCTAGATATAATACACGTCCTTTTCCGGCTTCTATAACAACTAATACCTATTCCACAACTAATACATATTCACAAACCATATAAGAATATTTATTAAATCATAAGCTTAGTAGAATTATACACCTAACCGCTCTTAACTACTAAGCACTCATTTTACTTTTCTTATGTATAATCAACTAGTTTTAGGCTAATGGCTATCTAAATATCTAATTAACTATTTCCAATTTATGTTTCACATTTGATTACCAACTATTATCTTAAAGGACTTAAATTCTAAAGTTTCAAAATTAATTGAATTTAACTAAGGCAAATAGTGATTTTAATTACACACTCATAATCTAATATTATCACAACTCTAATAATTATATCCTAGGTTCACATTCTCCTAAAAATCCTAAAAATTCTTCATTAATTAACTAATGATTACTAAGTTTAGAATTTATACCGAAAATAGGAAATTGGTCTTAGAACGTACCAATTGAAATTTGGGCGAGGATTCCACGATCCTCGTGAAGAGAGGAAAATTCTGTCCCTTGATGCCTCGCCGGAGGCTCACAGGCCGGTCACCAGAACGCCGCCGCCGCCGCCGTCTACGATGGCCGGAAGATCAATAATGCCTAGAAATTCGTCACGATCATACCATTTGACTCGAAATTCACCAAGGATTCCATTTCCGTCGTTAGTTTAGTGAGATCAACCCTTTAGCTGGTCGAAACGAACTTGACAGTCGCCCCTTACCGCCGTTCATGGTGGTTCCAGTTCCTTCGATTTTTTCGATCCAGGCGAAATCACTCAAGATTGAAGCTATAAAATAGAGATAGGGGAGGACAGGAGGTCGACCGCACCTGGCTCATGGCTTGGGACCGTCAGAAACTTGAGCTGGAGACGCGATTCACGGTCGAGCGAGATCGCGGCCCTCCTGCGGCTGCTGTGCTCACCAGGAATGAAGGAGAGCGGGGAAGGGAGGCCTGAGCAGCTGCAGTGGTGACGCGTCGGCGAGGAGATGAGCTTGATCGGCTCTGGTGGCCGGAAACGGGAAGAGAAGGAGGGGGTTCGATCGGCTCAGGTGGCCGGAAACGGAAGGGGATAAGGGGAGAGGAGGTCGCGCGCATGGCGCTGGCGCAAGGAAAAAGAAGGGAAAAGAAAAAAGAAAAAAAAAAAAGAAAAAAGAAAAGAAAGAAAAAATCTGGGCCTTCTAGACCATTCCGGTTCGATTCGGAACCGGTTTTGGTACTGGATTCAATTTTGCTCGATTTGGCAGATTTTTCGAGTTTTTCGGGCTTGGTATTCGAAGAAATCGAATTGGTTTCGGGTCCAGTTTTAGCAATAATAAAATACTAGCTGGTATAAATTTCATTGTTGAATAAAAAAATTTAGTTTTTTAAATGAAAATTCTAACGAAATTAAATTTTCGGTCGTTTACAGTTATAAAAGTTATAACATTTTTTTAAAATTTTTGAATTGAAAATATTATTTTTTTATTATTAAACAAGTGAATGTGTTCCATTTTTTGTTTTCTAATTTTTATTTCCTAAGTAATAAAATACTAGCTGGTATAATTTCATTGGTTGAAATAAAAAATTTTAGTTTTTAAATGAAAATTCTACGAAATTAAATTTTCGGGTCGTTTCAGTTATAAAAGTTATAACAATTTTTTAAAAATTTTGAATTGAAATATTATTTTTTTATTATTAACAAGTGAATGTGTCCATTTTTTGTTTTCTATTTTTTATTTCCTAAGAGAACTGTTAAAAATATTTTCAAAAAAACACTTTTGTGGTATCATGTTTAAAAACAAATTATAGGTAATTTAATAAAGATCGAGTGACATTACTTTTTAATGAACCAAAAATATGTAATATATGATACACAAATATTATTATATTTGTGATCTGAGAATTTTTCTACAAAAAGTATAAATTTAATGTTAACAAATTAAAAAATTTATTTCATCAACCAATTTAGATAATAGTCTTTCTTACTGGTATTGCATAAGCCATTTTGTTAAATATTTCGATAATAATTACTGATAAATCTTAAATTTATATCCTTTCAAATTGATTTAATTCTAAAATAAAATATGACAATGTGTGTAATCAACTATATTTTTAATATATTATAAAAAAAACTATATTTTTAATATAAATAATTAAATTAAAAATTGATCATAATTGAAGTGATAAACAATATCGATAAATATAAAAATACGATAGGATAAAAATCTTTACACTATTGCTGATATTCATAAGGAGCCCAAATATATGTATTGAAAGTAAAACTAAGTTTTTATTTTCCAAGAACAAAATAAAAAAAAAAAAAAATACAACACCGGGTCGGACCCGACACTCCCTACTGTCCGGTTTCCAGGGGATTAAGGATTTATAAATTAAAAAAAAAAAAAAAATACTAAATAAAAATTTCTTCTTCTCCAAGCCGCTTTGAGATATATTACCTCCTACTTGAATTAGGCTCTAGGTATCGAACTCCTTAGTCGTATCTGAGCTTACTTGCTAATCTCGCTATCGAACAATAATCAGATCTGCTATCGAATTCTCTTTTCTTCTAACATGGCTCCAGACCCAAACAGCAGCGGCGGCGGCAGCGGCATCCCTAGAGAAGAAACGTCGGTGAAGGTGCCGTCGAAGGACCCTAAAAAGAAGGACGAGAAGAAAGATGAGGATCTTGTGAGTATTGAATTGGTTAAATCTAATGTGTTTGTTTTTTTTTTGTAGAAATTTCCGTTGAGTCTTCTTTTTTTCGTTTCATAAGCTGTTTTTCGCTAGGGTTTTTCAAAGTTGTGTAGAATTGATAAGAAAGTTCTGAAGTAGAATGGAATTGGAAGATAATGTCAGTAATAGCTGTTTGTTTGAATTGAATTAACAATTTGAGATTTCCATTTATTTATTTATTTTTGAAACTCTATTTCTTTTATATTTAACATTCTAGCGAGCTCTGCTTATGTGATTGATGCCAGTCCTTTATTATCCTGACTTTGCTTCTTGCTGTTAGCTCGAGTTACGCTCCTTTTGATCGACTGGCTTTCTTTTATTGTTCTCTTTCTTTCCTGCCTCCAGCCGGGGTTTCCCTTCGGGGCTTACACGTCCTGCTGCCCGATTCTTATCTTTGGTCCTTTCCTTGCTTCGAAGAGCTTTCATGATTAGCTTAGAGAGGAGAGATAAAGTAGCTAAAATAAGGTTTCTGCTTTCCGTCCAGCTAGTATCCTAACTAACCAACCAACCAACCCTTGCTTCCTTTGCAGGAGCAGCTAAGAAAGTAGCTCTTAGAACTAGGTTTCTAAGAAAGTGGTGTGGATATTCTATGAAATGAGGAAATTTTGTTGCATACTGGTTCTAATTTTCTGATGTGGGTCAATCATGTGCAGTCGGATGAGGACCTCGCTTTGAAGCAGCAGTTGGAGTTATATGTGGAAAGGGTTCAGGATACTGATCCCGGGTTGCAAAAGGTTGCTCTAGAGAACATGAGGTAATCCAAAGATGTAATTAGGGATGGCATTATTTTAAACTGTCCATTATTTGATCCTTTTTTTATATGAGTGATTTTAGAGACATTCCTGTTACATTTTGGTTTGATGGTATGGAAAAATCTTTCTTGCAGGCAGGAAATTCGGACCTCAACAAGCTCTATGACTTCTGTTCCAAAGCCATTGAAATTTCTTCGACCACATTATGGAACTCTAAAGGCATACTATGAAACAATGGCTGACTCAGATTTGAAGGTCTGGATTCTGTTGGAGGATGCTTCCCTTTATCTTATCAAGTACCTGTTGTAGCTTAACCATACTTTTTCGTAATTGCAGAAGTACTTGGCGGATATACTTTCAGTTTTGGCATTGACCATGTCTGCTGAGGGAGAATTGGTACGCCGCATGGTTTAGGATTTTTAATTTATAATTATTTTCTCTTATAGTGGTTGGGATGGCAAACATGTAGGTAGCGAGTGTGTTGTGTATCGTCACTTGTGACCCTCTTCCTCTTCATGTTTTCTTGACCATGCCTTATTTTATAAATACTCCTTGACTTTTGTTCTTTGCATGCGTCAGTTTGAAGCTCTATAGATTGTTAACATTTCATTTCTTGAGAATTTCAGGAGAGCTTAAAGTACCGGTTGTTGGGTTCAGAAGGTGATATTGGTTCATGGGGCCATGAATATGTCAGGTGAGTATCAACTCTTTGAGAACACAATTATTTTTGGTACTGTAATTGTTATGAAGAAGGAGTGACTTATGAAAGTTTTTCAAAAATAACCTTGTTATTGAAGTGAGTGTCAAAGGTTGAAGGTGAACCCGGATGATAATATATTTTTGTTACTTAATTGATAAGTGAATGCACGTACACATATATTTGTATAATAAGTATTAAATTAGTTGTGAATCCAAATTAAAATATACTAAAATATGTTACATTTAAAGAAATAGTTAAGAATAAAGTCATAGATAACAGTAAGTTTATTTAGCACTAAGCCAATAAAAATAGCAAGAGTTTCACCTTGTGCTTGTAATTGCTGTTTTACAAAAGAAAAGTTTTAGCCTTTTAAATTGCAAGAAAAAAAAAACAGCTAGATAAATATATGATTGTCTACAAGTCACATCTATATGTGTGGCCTGAATGATAGGACCTTTCTTCTTCCTGGGTTTGACAACCCAAGCTTGCTAATATTTCTGGTTTCCACAGCTGTTGTGGCATCTTATTTAATCTTCTCCTTGAAGTTTCCTGTATGAGATCAATTTTGACGTTACCGATTCTATTTCTTTGTTACCAGGAACTTGGCAGGAGAAATTGCTCAAGAATATGCAAAGAGACAGGTTAGAATCTATTCTTTATTAATGGTACTGAAATTTCTTATGAAAGAAGGCAAATGAAAACAAAATTTCTTTGTTAAAGTAATTGTTATGAGGATTATGACATGGTCTGTTGAATTATTAGGCAGCGCAACTGGTTCCCTGTTGATGTGCATTTACAGCTTGAAACAATGCCATGTCCTTTTTTTTTTTTATCAATTTCTGATTTTGTTTCTTATGTTGCAGAGTGAGGAGACCTCTATTGAAGATCTAATGGAACTTGTAACACAAATTGTTGCTTTTCACATGAAGGTAGGCCTCAATGTCACTTTTTAGCTATGGCTTCTATTCACTGCAGTGAAGAAAGATGCACACCTGAGTAGTAGAGTGGAAAAAATGATTTTGGTTGATTAAATCCCCAAATGCTATGTAACATATAACTCTGTCATATATAAGGACACCTGGTTTCTGAACCTAATATATGGTTTTTATTTTTTCCGGCAGCACAATGCTGAACCTGAAGCTGTTGACCTTTTAATGGAGGTACGAAGTAGTGTTCCTTCATTTTATCTTCTCATTTCGTCTGATGTTATATTTGCATATAACTATCCCTACATTTCTGAACTTGACTTCTTATAATTTGACTTACTCTAGGTTGAAGACCTTGATCTCTTGATTGACCATGTGGACAGCACAAATTTCAAGAGGACATGCCTATATCTTACCAGTGCGGCAAGGTAATTAAAAGTATACTTTATATTTATTTAAAGGCTGTGTTAGGTAATAGGTTGCAAAGCATTTTGCCTTTGCCTTTCTGCATTAATAGTGTAAAATTTTTTAAGTTGTGCTTGTTTGTACTCTCAAAAGTCAATGTTGAGATCCATATGTAAGCAAGAAAATCCTTTAATTGGATAGTTGTCAAACTAAAATACTTCTTTTTAGGAGATAAATATCATTACTTATACTCTGCCCTTAATCCTATTAGTATTTGTAGTTTGAGCAATAATGCTTGAGAATTCCTGCTGTGACATGAGATATATTCATTTATAGAGCTGTGTATAATTGTGTGTTTGTATTCTTTATACCTCTCTCTATCTGATAATGACATTTCATGTTATGATGAAATGCAGATACCTTCCTGGACCAGATGATATGCTTGTTCTTGATATTGCATATATGATATATCTCAAATTTGAGGAATTTTCAAATGCACTTCAGATTGCACTATTCCTTGATAACATGCAGGTTTGATCATCTTTATGAATTTTGGAAGCTTTTTTGCTTTTAATTCCTTGTATATATAACCTATTTTTAAAGAGAGGCGGATGCAGATTTCTTGTTCAATGTTAATTTGAATTACTACAGCCTTAACTGATTTGCGTTATTTCAGTATTGAGTCATCTGATGGCTAATGCAGGACAGATTAAGACTATCCTTAAACTATAATTCTTTATTAATTCTAACCACTCCAAATATGTGTTTTCAGTATGTGAAGCAAGTTTTTACAGTTTGTGATGACCTGCTCAGAAAGAAGCAATTCTGTTACATCGTTGCTCGACATGTAAGTTTTGAATTTCTAAGGTATACGAGGCATGAGTTTTACTGCAGTGTAAGTAATGATTGTTTGCTGAATGCTGTTCCACTTATGCAGGGAATAACTTTTGAGCTTGATGATGAAATGGCTGCGGATGATGAGGACAGAGAAGCATTGCAGGAAATCATCAATAACACCAAATTAAGTGAAGGTTATTTAACTCTTGCTCGGGATATTGAGGTCATGGAGCCCAAATCTCCTGAGGATATTTATAAGGTTAGGATTCTGGTCTCATAAAATGCTGAAACTAGATTTAATTTGAAATTTCTTTAAGCTTTTATATTTCATATCATAATGCAATGTTACTATTGTTTGCTTTGCAATTTCATGACTTGCTTGCTTGATTATTCTTAGGCTCATTTGCTTGATGGCCGAGCCAGTGCTGGTGCTAGTGTTGATTCTGCTAGGCAAAATTTGGCTGCTACATTTGTCAATGCATTTGTAAATGCAGGCTTTGGACAGGTAAATATTGTCAATTTGCATGCAGAAAGCCTGGTGTTAGGTGGGTTACATTGATAATTATTGTTATATTGGTCACAGGATAAGTTAATGACAGTTCCGTCAGACTCTACAAGTGGTGCTTCTTCAGGAAATTGGCTTTTCAAGAATAAAGAACATGGAAAGGCCAGTGCTGCAGCAAGTCTGGTATGCATTTTTTTACCATTATGTATTCATCTACGAGTTGTCTGCAAATTTCTCACATGTCAATTATAACAGGGTATGATCTTACTGTGGGATGTTGACAATGGACTTGCTCAAATTGATAAATATTTCCATAGCAATGACAATCATGTCATTGCTGGTGCACTTCTAGGAGTTGGGATTGTCAACTGTGGTATCAAAAATGATTGCGATCCTGTGAGTTTTCCTATTTTGATCCCAGAATAATGTAATAACATTGCCAGTTATAGTATGTTTACCTTGTACTGCTTTTCACAGGCACTTGCGCTTTTAGGTGAGTATACAGACAAAGATGATTCCTGTATCCGAATTGGAGCAATAATGGGTCTAGGAATTGCATATGCTGGTTCTCAGAATGAGCAGGTAAAGGCATCTTGCTTTTTCTTTTGTTAGCTATAGTAGACTTTCTTTCTCTTAAATACTCCCTCGTAATTTAAAATTTAGAGCAATTATGTAGTTTATGCCTGTTTCAGTTTGTAGTTTTGTTGCCAGCTAAGAGTATCATTTCCTTCAATTAGATTTTATTTGGTTCAACAAAAGCTCATTTTTTATATGGTTGACAGATACGTGCTAAATTGTCTCCCATACTTAATGATGCAAAAGCCTCTCTTGATGTAATTGCATTCACTGCAATCTCTTTGGGGTTGATATATGTGGGATCTTGCAACGAAGAAGTTGCACAAGCTATTATATTTGCTTTAATGGACCGAAGTGAGTCAGAATTGCAGGAGCCCCTTACTCGGTTCTTGCCCCTTGGCCTTGGTCTTCTATATCTCGGGAAGCAGGTAAAGTTGCTATTGTTTGAATTTTCTTATTTATACCATGTTCTCCCTTTACAACTGAGGTAGGAAATGCAACTTATTTACATTCTGGTTGTATTGCCTGTGCTATGTTAAACAGGAGAGTGTGGAGGCCACAGCAGAAGTTTCCAAGACGTTTAATGAAAAAATAAGAAAATACTGTGACATGACTCTGCTTTCTTGTGCCTATGCGGGGACTGGGAATGTTCTCAAGGTATTTTTTCAATGTTTTTCAATAGAAGAAAATGGTTATTAGAAGTCATTCTCCCAATTCACTGCATCTTTTGCAATACAGGTTCAAAATCTTCTGGGTCATTGTGCTCAACATCTTGAGAAGGGTGAAACCCACCAGGGACCAGCTGTGCTTGGGATTGCTATGGTTGCAATGGCTGAGGAATTGGGGCTTGAAATGGCAATTCGCTCATTGGAGCATCTTTTGCAGTATGGGGAGCATAATATCCGTCGAGCAGTTCCTTTGGCTCTTGGACTCCTCTGCATATCTAACCCAAAGGTATCAACCCATCATAATTATAGAAACTTCAACAGGCTGTTTTTTTTTTTTTTGATATAAAATCAAGAAAAACTTTGTTTATTACCTTATTATTTAAATTTTTAATTGCTCATTTTTCTTTTAGTCTATCATCCACAAATTATGTGGGTAACATGAAACCATGTTTTTTGTACAAGTGAGCTCATTGAATTGCTTTCCTATATATATGATAAGAGTTAGAAATTTATCTGATAATTCCAAATTCAATTAAGCTCCTTCTGAGTATAGAAAATAGGGACTTTTTTGCTTGCTGATTTAATTATTTGTTTGCTTACCAAACTATCTACCAGGTTAATGTTATGGATACGTTAAGCAGACTCAGCCATGATACTGATTCAGAGGTTGCAATGGTAAGATGAAGTTGGCTTGGATGCACTTATTTCTTAATTTTTTAAATCCCCTGTGATATTCTGTCTAAAGGTTGCAAAATTTGGTTAAATGCTGCAGGCTGCAGTTATTTCTTTAGGTTTGATAGGTGCAGGAACCAACAATGCTCGAATTGCTGGCATGCTTCGCAACCTTTCAAGTTATTACTACAAAGATGCCAGCCTCTTGTTCTGTGTAATGTTTCTCAAAAATTGTTTTCTTGCTTATTGTAATTATGCCACGTGGTTTTACTTGAGATTGATTCCAATTGGCCCTTTCCAGGTGAGAATTGCTCAGGGACTTGTACATTTGGGTAAAGGCTTACTGACTCTTAATCCATATCATTCTGATCGATTCTTGCTGTCACCGTAAGTGGCTTCTTCCAGAGAGAATCTCCTAGCTATTATGGCTTTAACTTCTGCTCAGCTCTGTGCATGCATGCTCATGTTTTTAGAATCAACTGACCAGATCTATATATATGTTCTTTCCCTTTAGGACGGCTCTTGCTGGTCTGATAACGATGCTTCATGCATGTCTTGATACAAAAGCCATCATCTTGGGAAAGTATCATTATGTTCTGTACTTCCTTGTTTTAGCAATGCAGGTTCGTTTCAGTTTAAATTATTTCTTTTCTATATGAGCTATTATCTTTAGCTTAGATGAATCAATTGTCTCTCACTACCATGTTTTCTTACAACACAGCCAAGGATGTTGTTGACGGTCGATGAGAATCTAAAACCTTTGTCTATACCTGTTCGGGTAGGACAAGCTGTTGATGTTGTTGGTCAGGCAGGTCGACCCAAGACTATCACTGGTTTCCAGACCCACTCAACCCCAGTGCTTCTGGCTGCTGGTGATAGAGCTGAGCTTGCTACTGAGAAGTGCGATTTTCTTCCCTTGGTAGTTATTTAAATTTTACCAGTGAGTCGAGAGTAAACTAATGGTCAAGCCTCTTTTGCAGGTATATTCCTCTTTCACCCATTCTTGAAGGTTTTGTAATCTTGAAGGAAAACCCAGATTACAGAGAAGATCACTAATTATCGAGTGGGACATGAATTTGTTCGGTATCAAGATAGCTCCTTGCCTAGTAGCTTTTTAAGCTTAAGAGAATCAAATTTTGTTTGGGATTTGGGGCAAGATTATAGTTGGATGCAGGCCAATTTGGTCATTAACTTCCCTTGCCTTTGTTCGAAAGTCAGACAGGTCAATGGGAAACAAAGGGCATGCACTTGAAGAAGGAAACCACAGCTTAGACTGATATGATACGCTTAGCTTTCTACTTATCATGGTTGTATGTATATTGGACATGGTGGCTCTTCGACCACCACAACAGGAAGAAGCATATCCTTGTGTTAAGGAGAAATTCGTTGTGTTTTTTTTTTTTTTTTTTTTTTTTTTTTTTTTTTTTTTTTTTTTTTTTTTTTTTTAACTGTTTAACTTTACACTAATATTTTCTTGGAATGTCAAGATTTGCCATGAGCTCGTCGCTAGAATTTTTTTTTTTTTTTTTTTTTTTTTTTTTTTTTAACTTTTAACTTTACACTATATTTCTTGGAATGTCAAGATTTGCATGAGCTCGTCGGCTAGATATAAATTCTGGTTAAGTGCTTAATTACAATTTAAGCAAGCTCGCGTCGTCCAGGTTATTGTAGCCAACATAATTTTGGGGAATAGAAAAATCTTTTGGAAGTTAATTTTTATTTTTTGGATTTTCTCATGATCGGTAAAGTCAATCATACCGATAACTTTTTGTGAAGGTCCTTATAAACCGATTAAATCATTCAAATTGTGAATTATTTCAATTTGTCAATTTTGAAAAATTGAGTTTTTTAATTTGGTTTTAGAAATAGAATTAAAACAAAATCTTTATATATTTATATATTTATATATAGTATTTGAAATTTGTAATAATCTATAATTCAATAAATTTTTTGCATGAAACTAAAATATAGTTTTATATTAATTAGAAAATTATATAATTATTTGGTGGAGATCTAAACATTAAAGGTTGTTTATCAAAATTACTATAGATTAAACTCTAGTCTTTGATATGTTGTTCCATGATTTTCTTTCTAATAAAATAGAATTTTCTTCTTATTAAAAACAAAAAAAGAAAATGCTTCAAACGTTAGACATTTGAATTCTATATTAATAAAATGTTTAATTTAATAACTTAAAACAGAATTTAAAAGCATGAAAATAAATATTATAATAAAAAATGAAATATATACTGTTATTTGAATGCCGTACATGGTTTAATTCAAATAAATAGACAAACTAAATTTTATTTAATTCAAACAAATAAGCAAAATAAATTTTATTTATTTACTATCTATATCACTTTTTAATATTGTTTTTGCATTTTCTCTCGTCCTGGAATTTCAGTTGAGTATCAGACCACATTATAAGAGTAATTTGATGAAAGCAAAAATATAATCAGCAATTTTGTCAAATAACTATGTAGTGCACTGCAAATGTCATGATTTTCTGGTTTTCTAAAATTGACTACTATCATGTCTTTGGTTCGAATCAAACTATGTTGAGAAGTAATAAATGCCTTGTTGCTACAAATGCTTAGCTTCAAAATTTTAAATAGATCTGCTTTTATTTGATGCGTTTAGAGATAGAAATATTATTTATCTATCACGGATTAGCTTTCGCACACAATAATAAATTCCAAATAAATCTACATTTCTTTCTTTAAATTTAAACCACAATCTTTGCGCTAATACAAACAAAAGTTTAAAAAATAAAAAGAGAAATGAAAATCACTCATGAAAAGAGAATTTCCCTTGTTTAATTTAGGCTTATAATTTTTAAATATATCCAATCTTCTTCTGTCATTAATCTTGTAATACACAACAAACATTAATTTTATCAAATACCAACAAAAATTTCAAGGCAAAGATTCCTCCTCTTGGCTCCCCTGCTCATCGTACGACTCCTGATTCTCATACTGCAAATTATTGAACTCATTTTGATTCTCAAAGTTCCCATAATATGCCTGATTTTGAGTTTTAATTTCTTTCCCGACTTGATACTCATTAGCAGGATTATAATAGTTCTCGTTCTTCGCATTGTAGGAGTACTTTCCACCCGCCATGTATCTGGTGTCACTCATTCCGAGTTGCTGATTGCTCTCATACCCATTGTTGTTGTAGTTTCGATTGCCTGTCTCGTAGCCATTGTCACTTGCAAGCTCATAACCATTGTTGTTATATTTATAATTACCTGTAAAACCATTGTAGTTATTCTGATTGGCTGTCTCATGGCTTTCACTAGCAACGTTGTAGCCATTATAGTTATTTTGATTGGCCGTCTCATGGCTTTCACTAGCAAGCTTGTAGCCATTGTCATTGTTGTTGTTGTTGTAATTGCCATTATAGCTACTTTTTTCGTTGTAGTTGTTATATCGGTAGGTTTCGCCATCAAATTCTTGATTAAAGATTTCGTTTTCTTCTTTTGCTGGAGTAAAAAGGTCAGACCTCCCATTTTCGCTTGTCGGCGCTGGCGCTGGTGCTAGCGGCACTACAAATGGGGATGGTGCAGGTGCTTCAATTGGTGAAAGTAGTGAAAGTTCAGTAGGTTCAAAGTCGGTAGTGCTGAAATGGGTAATTTTGCTAAAGAATTTGCTCTCTCTTGCTTGGATTAAGCTAGAGGAGAAAAGCATTACTAGAAATAAGTAGGAAAACGCATTGCCACTAAAGGAAGCCATTTGAGAGGAATTGTTAGAAATGGGAATTGAAATTTTGCTGGTTTGAGATTTCATTTCCCACAAAGTTCTTATATACATATATATGTATAACACAACTGAGTGAAATGAGCCGGAGAATTATGCGTGGATTGAGGAGAAGAAATATGTTTGTGGGGTAGGAAATAATAGGAATTAGGACAGGCTTGCATGTGACTTCAATGAGAGTGTCCAATAAAGACGGCATCTAATTATTTTTATAAGAAAAATTAAATATAATTTACTATAATTTTCAGTCAAAAGTGAACATTTCATTTCTCTTTATTAGCTAACAAAAGAAGATACATAAGGTCTCTTTTGCTTTTATGGTAGGGTAGTGTGAAAATTGAATTTGATGATAGCTTGAATCACTCCTTGGCGGTTGAGTTAGTTAGGGAATAGGGACTAACTATAAATTAAAGGTGAAAGCAAAAAGAATGGTTGGGTTGCTATATAATAATTAAAAATTTAATCTTTTGACTTATTGTTTTTCTCTAAAAAATTTTCAGAGTTAAGATAGTATTCAGGTAAAACTCTCTCAACGTTGAAAATTTTAAATTTCGAACTTAATTACAAATAGAATTCACCGACCAATTTAATCTACGTTTAATACAATAGCGGATAATGTTATATAATGATATATAGCCTTAAAAATGCATTAGGGCACAAGCCAAGATTATATACACAAGAAATACTATTATTAGTTGTTAGAAAAGTCCAATAGAAGATGCAAAAGCAAATTAGTCAAAGAGGGTGGTTTTGTTAAAGGCATATATGTTGATTTTATGCTTTGTTAAATTAAAAGTTTTTTAAGTAACCTTCAAGGGATTTTATGACTAATTGCGTGATGATCGGACCTAACATTTCAATCTTTTTAGGGTTGACTATAGATTGTAGGGTAAGCAAGAGACCTTCCAAAGGAATATTTTAATGGGCTTTTAGATTTATATCTTGAGAGGGATTCTAGACTTCTACGCCCCATAGCTCCAAAGCCCATGATTTATTATTCCTATTATCCTAACTAGACCACTTTCACCAATCAATAGTTTGTCCATAAAGCTATTCTGAAGGCCCAATACTCAAGGGCCGAGGCCCTAGAATATTGAACAGCCCATTTTTTATATCAAAGCCCATTGAAGGCATAAGGTATAGATATTACAATTACAAATTAGAATATCGGAGAGGACATAGACTTAACTCAGTTTTAACTTTTTAATTTTTTTTTTGAAATAATTTAACTTTTAATTTTAAAATTTTTTTGTTTAATAAAATAAAAATTAAATCCAACAAAAATAAAAATCAATAACCCTAATATGCAAATCCCTTTCTACCTTTGCTAATACTTGGTTCGGTGCCTTCCAAACCAATCATATTCGCATAAATGGACCAATGATTTTAGTATATACTTTCAGCTCCAAAATCGAAAATCACGTTCTCGAGTATTTGCTTTGTCTCTGCCACGTCACTGTTTAGGGCTTCAATGGGCCCAACAAGGGCCAATCCTGTGGCTGCTAGGTTCTTGCCATTAGCATGAGCGTGCCATCACGTGATCCTTGCTAAATTATTCGATGTCTTAAACGTGGGCCCTCATGCAGGGAATCAATGCCTTATTCCACGCGTCGGTAATGATATGGTCCATATTACAGGTGATTAGTCCCTGACTTCGTTTGTCTTTCTACGATTGGAAGTATGGAACCATCCGATACTTTAATGCCGCACGTCTATATGTGCATTGCTATATTTGTTTTTTCCTCTATTCCTACGGGTCAATCTATGGAAATTTCTCGCCTGCACCCCTGTGTATCGGTACTTCCATACATCAAGCCAATAAACATTCAAATGCAAGACTTAGAACTCAAAGGAACTTATCCACTATAACATTCAAATTCTGACATTAATTACTTCAAAAGTTACGATTTATATAGTAAAATTAGCTATTTTAACAGCCATTAATTGTTTTAATAGCGCTTAACTGTCAGCTGTTTGAGTAACTTTTAATGAAATGTTAAAAGCTAAGCGTTATATGGGTTAATTTTTTAGAAAATGCTATTATAACCTCTAAAAACTAGTTCAAACGCTGTATTACCGAACATTATAAAAAGTAGCATTTAACATTTTGACTGTTACTTAAAAAGTTATTGTCGAACACAACCTTAATGAATTAATTATATATAACCTTATAGTTAACTGGATTATATTCTTGTAAACAGTTAATTTTTTTACTAAAGGTTTTATATTTATAATCTAAAGATAAGACAATATTATGAATTGTAATTTATCTAAATTCATAAAATGAAGCTCTTTAATTGCAAAATTATATAAAAGAAATGTAAATGCTTACTGTAGATCCGTAGGCATAGAGTCTCATATTTATACATATGTGGAACCGTTACACAGAAAGAAAAAGAAAAAGGAAAAAAAAAAAAAACATCTTACTTTATTATTACACATAGCTAATGAAGCTATTAATGAACAAACCTGCCGTTGAGGAGGAAAAAAAAAGTGAAAACAAGAAAGGAAAAGAAAGTTAATAAGAGGAAAATCGATCGGAGACTAGCAAAACGCAGAGGAAATGTCGTCAAATTTAGGGTTTTTGTGGTTCTTGAAAAACCGTTGATGAAGAACAAACTGCCTTTGGGAGGATGTTCTAGTTAATAAACTCAAGCAGTACAAGTGGGTGGTAGCTTGGCGACGCCTTGTCGTTGCAGCTCTCCTAAAACACCATCAAGAGATGGTGGCTTTAATCCAAGAGGAAGTGGCAGCCCTGGCTTTGCTAAAACATCTCCAACGGCTGCATCTACGCTCTCCTTCGACTGTAATAACATGCAAACTTATATTAGAGAAACAACAATATATAAATGTAAATAACCCCGGCTAGCTCTGGGTTCGAGTGGTATTTCACTCCTAACCACAATTCATCGGCTGATTTGTGAACATCAGTCGGTTGCGACCGCCACTTAATTTGAAGAAATCAACACCATACTTTACATGTTACATTTATACATGCATGGACGTGTTTTTTTTTTTTCTTGTCATGCAAATGTACACATAAGATTTTTAATTTATTATAAAATTAGAAAAAGAGTTATATTCTATCACTAAAGTGGGTTTATATATAGTTTGTCTTTTCCATTTTCACCAGGGTAAAGATTTCTAAAAATATATCTCTCATCTAATAATTATAATCAACAGCGTGCTTTTTTTAGAATATCCGACACGTCTATAGCATTTGAGAGATATTAATTAGTATCCGATACAGGTATAACACATGTATCTTGAATCTTTTAAGATATCCATACAACCTAGAATATAGGTATGAAATTATCTAGCAAGCGAATATTATAAATTAAGAAGACTCACTGGATAAAAGTCGAAGATAGGATGGAGAGCTGTTGATTGTCTGGGGAGGACTCCAATGCTTGAAGGGTCTACTTTGTACATGGCATGGGGTGGAATACCTGGCACTGGAGCTGTGGCAAATCTCTGAAAAAACAACAACATTATATACAATGGATCAGATAAGATAAAAAGAGATTCTAAAACTAAAGAAACAAACAACTTGAAGAGTCCACAACTGTAAGGCAATTGTTACTTACCGCTGGTGCCATTGATTGTGGAAAGCAAGGCGTTCCTGGAGGGATTAATCCGTTTGGAACCTGCAAGAAACAAACAATTCGCCTGTTAGAAACTAATGGCGCTTTCTTAACACTAATTGAGTAAAAATTAAATTAACAAAAAGAAAAAAATGAAATATTGAAGGCTTACTCGTTGTTGCTGATGCCAAAATGAAGGGTCTGGTGGTAGTGCAGGCCATGTATGGGCAGGTGGTGGCGGTGACGGTGAATGGGCTAGGTGTTTAGGCCACATGTGCATTAGGGATTGGTCTATTGGCGGATGACCCCAAACGTGTAAAGGTCTAAAGTGGTGGTGGTGCACGGTTGTCATGGGTGGAAATCCAATGGTTGGTGCATGCCAAGGGCTCACCTCTCGCTTTCCTCCGCTACCACCACCACCTCCTGTAGCTCCATATATTTGCCGTCTGTGGCTCCATGTTGCTGCCTCAGCTTCACGCGCTAGCAAATGCTTCCGGTGAGATCTATATTTCTGCACATGTTCAACAATTACTTAAAATCTTCTTCAACTTGAAAGACAAAAATTTCATCTTAGAAGAAATCTACTAAACATTTCGAGTTCTCCCATTAATATTGAAGATAATATTTAAAATATATCAACAACATAATTCTTGAGAATGTCTAAATTCTAATCAAAGACATTTCAAATGGCAATTAATATACAATTTATATTACTCAAGTTTTTAAAATTAATTTCACTATAACTGAAGTTCGAAACTCAAGATATATTATCATCAGATATCATTAAGCAAAAGTTGATTAGTTCTGAAAACAATTTTTATGTACAATAAGAGAACTTTATTAAAAACAAAATATTATCTTCATATATTTATCCATTTTCTTAGAAAAATGCGTAATAAAATTACAAGACATAATAACTAGTCCTTAAAGATTTCTTCTGACAGAAGAAAATGAAAAGGTCTCTCGATCTTTCACATGGGATAAAAAAAAATAAAAAAAAAAAAAAGAAGAAATTTGCAGGAAATCATGTGCTAACAGATAAGAAAAAGTACTAGTGATAAAAAAGAACAAGAGTGAAGTATGTACTTGGAGATGGCTTGCAATGTTATGACGAGTGAGACAGTCGATTCCCATAAGCTCTAAAATTCTTGAAGGCACTGCCTTATCCACCCCTAATTGCTCCACTGCCTGCACAAATCTTCTGTGCAGCTCTGGCGTCCAATCCACCTACACGCAATTCAAGAGACTGTTTATTCACTATTACACTAAAAGACAATCCCTTGAAAACAACCCCACAGGACATGAGTATGGCTGTGTTCTTGCAAAAGCCCTCCAACCTTGGATAATCCATGAACGAACTTATGATTCTCGTGAACTCTTTTATCCCCATGAAAATTAGTAATTAAATATTCATAATTGAGTGAAACCTTGATAAATTAATTTGCATAACGTCTACGTAAAAAGTAATTTTACCTTCACTTTCCTCTTCCCTTGATTATTCTTGGCTTGTGTTGATGATGATTTTCTTCCTCTATCACTTTCTTTAGAAACTGAATTATTATTAGTATTATTACTAATCACCACAGACTCATCTCTCTTGCTTATAATCTCCTCTCCTCTTGTACTCAAACTAGAATCCAACCCAGACCCAGAATCCGAATTTGAGACCTTGTCTTCCTCCTCTTTTCTAGTAATATTTTCCACTTTGTCATTAGTAACAACCGAAGTATTCATCTCTGCTTCCTCTCTGCCAACGGAAAATTCAGCAAGAATTTCAGGGTCCATCTCCAAATCTGGCAACATGTCTCCATCGTTGATACCCACAAAAAAATCGTCGAAATTGATGCTCTCAAGCAAGTCTGGGAAGTCTTCATTGGCGGCTGGACTAAAACTCTCCATATGTTGTTTGCTCTGATCATCTTCTGTGGAGGTGGTGGTTCTCAAAGGTGACAAAGCTAGCATCAATTCAAGAAAATTAAAAATGTTATTTAATAGAAGTTGAATTTTATGTATATATATCCAACGAGGTGCAATTATTATATATATTGCACGTAATACACTATATAAGGAAATTTAGGGTTTGAAGAAATGGATTCTTTTTCTAATCTAGCTTTCTTTGGTTTTTATTTATTTTCTTGTTTTTCCGGTGGGCTAGTCGGTATTTTGGAGATGATAGAGAGGAGGGGACAGTGGGAGCATTTGATATATTAATTAAAGAGGTTTTTGTTGTTTTTCTTGTTTTGCAGTGTAAGTGGGAGGTGGAAAGATTGAATCTCAACCACAACTTGTGTTTGAGATCTCTGAAATTTGTTTGTTTTTATGTTCTTCTTTTGTTTGCATTTGCAAGCTCTATGTATTCATAATTGCTCCATCTCTCTCTCTCTCTCTCTCTTTCTCATATGACCTATATATATATATAGATAGATAGAGAGAGAGAGAGAGAGAGAGAGAGAGAGTTTTTGTGGATAGCCTTTTTCCGTAGATTTCAAAATCTTGAAAGTGCTCGTGAATTTTATTAATGTTGTAAATATAATGTAATGTATATCTTTAAGCATAAAACTTTGCATATATACATATATAGATGCACTATTTATTATTTTTCTCCGAGTATTCTCGTTTTTTATTTTTAAATACGAGACTAATTTTATTTCAGCATTCATAATTTTTTTTTTTTATAAATGGTTTTTTATTGATCAAATTTCTAATCTTACAAAGATCATCCGGTCAAATGAATTATACATGTGCGTTTGAGCAGCTAATTATAAATCTTAATATTAATTATCAGTAGAGAAAAAAGAAAGCAACTGGGCTACACAGTGTTCATGAGTTGCAACAATCCAAATAACAACTACATTCTGCACTGCAAAACCATTTCAACCACATAACGAAGACTTTTCAAATTGAATAATTTAATCATGACGAAAAGGGCACTATAGATGCACGTGACCCACCTACATGTTAAGAAAAGGAAAGCAAAATAGTTTTTTTTTTTTTTTTTTTTTTTTTTTTTTTTTTTTCAAATTAGGATAATATTGTTTTTTTTTTTTTTTTTTTTTTTTCAAATTAGGATAATATTGTTTCTCTCTAATTTTTCTGGATTTAATCATTTTCAGGGAAAATGTAATTTCTATTTTCTTAGTTTGTAATTATTATTTTTTATTTTTTGTTTTTTATTTTAGAATTTGAACAAGAGGAAGAGGAGGAGACAGGTCACTATCTTGCTGGTCCGGTCCTCGTTGTCCTTTCCTATAATAGAAGTTATATCACTTTCACCCAAATGAAATTGTCCATTTGCGTATACAAGCTTAACTAAATATCAACTTGACAACAATTCTATTACAGTTAACAGTGACACACTGTGCCATTCTGATAATGAAATATCTTTTATCATTTTCAAAGGTTAAATTCATAAATTCACTCTTGTATTATTTGGAAAATATTATGCAATACCTCATAATACACTCAAATTGTTAATTTTTAAGGTTCTTTTTGTTCCAATTTAACTGTATTTTTTAGAATTTAAGAAAGAGTTTATTACATTTTTATTTTCTTACCCTTATTTATTACTGTTTACATGGTGCTAGAAAATTAGTAAAAGGGTATTTTAGCATTGCACACATTTTCATATTCTTAATAATAATCTTTTTAAAATTTTTAGCTTTTATATATAAAATATTGATTTATTTTAGAATATATATAAAATATTGATTTGATTTATGATTTTAACAACTTTTAAAAAATAATTTTCATATTTTTCAATTGTACAATAACTGTTTAATCGATATAATTTTACATGTTATAAGATTCAATAGAATGATTTTATAATATTAAATAAAGTATTTAATAGTTTTATAAATTAAAGTATTTAAAAATTCAAAATAAAACTCGAGAATGTTATGGATTTTTATGAATAATACAAGATAATTATATGTGTTTGATTATTTATTTACACATGGGATATTTTTCTAGGTTTTACTATTTCTATATTAATTTTCTTGGTTATGCTTTTGCTTTTATTTTATTTTTCTAAATTATTTTTTCATGAGATTTTGAGTAATTAAATTGTAATAAATGACAGACATAAAATATCTTTCTTCGTACATTTTCTATCTTATACTATAATTTGTAAAATAGTTGGTAAACTGTCACTCATGACCTAACAAACAGCTTGTAATTTCCTGGCAGAACTTGTCTTAAATACTAGGAAAAATAATAAATTATTAATGATGCTATACCTTATTTTGTAGTACAAACTTATTAAATTACACTGGCCAATTTAATTAATAGTACTTATTCTTATCATATAAATTCACTGGATGAACATATAAAAGACAAAAAAAATTAAATTTATGTTTGTGTACTTTCTATATTATTATTATGAATTAAATGTACATTTGTTACCTAACATGCAAATTGAATAGTATCAAAAAGGATTTCTTAAAATTTATTTTACTTTCCTAATAATTACTCTTAAATTTATTTTTTGTTTGATTATTTTTTAATTATATTTGATTTAGATCAAATATTTAATTATTTTTTTAATCATAACTAATATATATCAAATAATTTGAATTTTAGAGCAGTTTATACTTTTGATACAAGTTTAAGAAATAATTTATATAAAAAATTAATTTTTGGAAAGGCTAATTCCTTTATTCTTCGTTTTCTCTTTGAGCTCGAGATTCAAAACCTCAATTACTTTCTCTGATATGAAAATGACCAACTTGCCCACTTCCAGTACTCTTTAACCAACCAAAACCAACACAAGATTTTGTTGTTATGAGTTGACTCAATACCTTCCTTCAAAATGTTTATTAATATTAATATATGAAATTTTATTAAAAATGAAATTAAATAAAGAAAAAAAGGAATTGATTGACACTGATAGGCAATGTAATTTGTACTTCCATTGTAATTTCTTTTTATTTTATTTGTAATGCTTGAATTAATGGTAATTAACTCAAAATGAATATTAAAAAAGCTAAAAAAAAAAGAAATTAAACCGCGATAAAAACACGTAAATACTTTAATTCATTCACGGAATTAATAATTAATTACAATTTAAAAAATTATCAATATTTAATACCATTTTATCCTTTTTTAATTTTTTTTTTTTAAAAAAAACACTAGTACTTTTCATTTATATCAAATGTATTTATTAATTTGGCTTAATCTGTGAGTGAGTTTGTTTAAGACTATATTTGTCTCATTTAATTAATTATCAAAAAAAAAAAAAGAAAAATACTATGGCCACATTTAGTAGATATTATTATTATTATTGTTTTTATTACTATATATTGTTATTATTCCTCTTCAAGTTGTTTTTGTCTATTCTATTGATTTCACTTTCCTTTTCCATGATATTCCATAATCCAAATAGAGATCCTCAATTTCTTTTTTTTTTTTTTTTTTTTTTTTTTTTTGAATTATCGGTTTTTTTTTTTTTTTTTTTTTTTTGAATATGGGGTTTCGAACATAGATCTATTATCATGCCGTATATACATGTACCACTTAATTATATCTTGGTGTGTGATCCTCAAATTCTTTAATTACAATTATGTAAAGGTTTTATCATAAAACAACTTTTATTAACCGATTCAAAATTTTCATAATAATACCGAAATCTTGATTTATCATTCTAAAAATTAACATACTGAACCGTGTTTAATCTCATTAAAATCAACACTTTTAAATAAACTCTTACGATATATTTGGTAGAACATAATCTAACATAAATAAATAAATTTGATTACGTTATATTACTATAAACTAAACTAAAATTAAAATTTGAAAGGAAATAATAAAATTTCCAAGTAAGAAATGGGTCAATTAGTTCAGGCTCTATGGATATATATGGACCATAATGGAAAGGAAAATTTGAAATGATAAGGACACATAGATGTCCTTATTGAATTGGTCCTAAAGATAGACAAGGACATACATGTTACAAATGGGTCCTCAAAATAGCAATTATTGTAAGTGCTTGTGATTATTTTGTAATTAGGAATCTAACTTTCATTATCAATTGATATTAGGGTTTAGGAGTCATTTTCCAAGAGAGGTCCACCTATTTTTTTTTTTTTTAAGAAAATCCAAAAAATATATATAGTTATTCAAACATACCCATTGTTTGCTTTGTGACATATCTTTTTGGTATCATAATGGAATTAATAGAGTATAGAGTTCTATATTATGCAAGTTTTGTCTTTAAAGGGTCATGAAATAATGATATTTTAATGGCAGCAAGCAAAAGATGTGAATAATAACTTTTTGTCTTTCTTTGGTTGTTCTTGTGGTGAGAAGTATCGTGTTTGTATCCCACACTCATGTCTCTATCTTCTGTGTGTGTGTAATATCTATCTGTCATGTAGATGATGTTATACGTCGTCATTTAATACTTAAAAATAATTTTAATTACTATCAATTAAGTTAATAAAAAAAATTAATTTTGTTGAGAAACCTCAATCTTCCTACTGGACTCCTTTGTGGTATTGGGCCAGTGCCGAGTTAAAATCAGGCCCATTTATAAGGGCCGAGATAAGAAATCTCTTTAAAATTTGGATCAATCGCACTAGGAAACTGGATTTCAAATTCATAAATCAAGCCCAACCGGTTCAACATTAATCGTAACGCTGACGCATGCAATGTTTATTATAATGATAAGGAAAGGAATCTCCTATCTTTATCAAGTAGATTTAATGCTGTTAATTAGAAATTTTATCTTTTTCCCTAATAAAAATTAATAGCAAATGTTTTTTTTTTTTTTTTTAAATTTGAAGAATTTCTTTTTGATTTAGATTCTTAATAAAAGGACTCTCCATTAAAAAAAATCTTATGTGAAACACATGTTACAATCCTCACAAGTTACCCATTACTTGTATTTTGACTCGTTGCCCAAAAGAAACAGACACGAAAGTTCCAAAATTTTCACCCATTGGCCAGAATACCCTCCACTTTCTAGAAATAAAAATCTCAGATCTCTTCGATACTCTACCCTATTAACAAGAGTATCTTGAATAGTAACATACATTTGAGTTCAACGGTGATCTCTGCAAAACAACGAGTTTTATTAGTGAAAATATACTTTTAAAATGACATAAATATACGGTTGCTAATGTTTAACGTTTAAACGAGATTAATTTCATATTAAGATAAAATAATAATAATAATAAATTCTCATAAGGAGATACTCCTATTTTGCTAGGTTAAAAAAAAAAAAAAATCTAAAATCCCTCGAGCAATTTTATTAGGGCAATTTGGTCAAATTACAAATAACAAAAACCCAACAAGGCAATAGCGGTTGTTTCCGCGTCCGAGTCGCGATTGACTATGGAATCTGCTCTATTTGTATATAACTTTTTTCTTCTTCTTCTTCGTCAACATATCAAATTTACAAAGGAGATATAGCAGACCGAAAAATGGGAGATTGCAGGCCATTGGGTTTCTTGCTAGGACTGCCGTTTGCTTTGATTGCTTTGGTTTTATCAGTTGTGGGTGCTGTCGTTTGGATCATCGGGTAAGTCTCTGTAACTACCAATTGTCGTTTCGTTTGATATCCCCTTTTCTGAGGCTTTCATATTTCCGAAGCATAACCCAGATCATAAAATTTTAGATTTCATCTAATATTACCCATTTCTTCTTTGTTTTGCAATGGCAGGACTATACTGAGTTGCTTGTGCCCATGTTGTGTGTGTTGTGCTGGTCTGGCAAATTTGGCTGTGGATCTTATAAAGCTTCCCATCAAAGTACTTAAATGGTTTACTCATCAGATCCCTTGTTAATGCTCATTCTTAGATCATTTGATTATGTTTTTTTTTTTTTTTTTTTTTTATTCTTAGATCATTTTGATTATGTTTTTTTTTTTTTTTTTTATTTTTCCTTATTTAGTTATAAAACAATGTAATTTCTGTAATTTTAGTTAGACTGGTTTTTTTTATTGCCTTTTTATAATTGAAGAAAGCTAGATATTGATTTGATTCCTTAAATCATTAACTTTGCACCTTTTTTTTTTTTTTTTTTTTTTTCCTTATTAGTTATAATTAACAATGTAATTCTGTAATTTTAGTAGACTGGTTTTTCTTTTATTGCCTTTTATAATTGAAGAACTAGATATTGATTTGATTCCTTAAATCATTAACTTTGCACTAATAAATTTTAATTCATACCACATTATATTTTTCTTTGATTTTTGTTAAATTTGTTAATATGAAAGGAGATATGAACTTTACTCTTTCAAGTATGTGCAAAATAATTAATAATAGAAATTTTATATGTTAATGGTCCATCCATTTTCAACTATTTATTGTAAATTTATTTTAATAAATCTTGAGTATATTTATTTTTGGAAGAATAATATTTGGTTCAAATTTGAATGATAAGATATTAAACATGTTATAAATCAAGCAAATTTTGATTGAAAAAAAATTACCATATAATTGATAAATGAATTTCACTATTTTGAAAGAGAATTTTATATTTTTCATTAATGATGAAATTTTAAATTATTTAATTTATTTTAAAAATGTACTCAATTCATAAAAGGAACTCATAATAAAGGTTGTAGTGAATATAACTCAACAGCAAATAATAAGAAAATTTCTTTATTATATTAATATAATTGAGATATAAACAGAGAAGTTGCTGTACCTCGATTTTGTATATTGATTATACCGTTTAAACAAATATAAGATCGGATAGCCAATTAAATATGGTCTGACTGATTTTTTCACTTATATAGAAAATGAAAGATTTCAAGTTTGAATGCTCTCACTATAAGTGTTTTCATTAATTTGGTGAGTCCATAATCTTAGCTCGGCTGATCGAGCCTCCGAATAAATAAAAAAATATACGATTGGGTATACGGTCATATACAGTGCGGTAATTTCTGGAACCTTCCACATAATTCTCATTTCTCAAACCAATCAAACGTGGAAAATATACTAACAGAACAGTCTAACACCACACGCCACTGTTTCACACCGTCATCACCGTGACAACCCTCCCCACCTCCAACACCCCACCACCATCGTCAAGGCTTCAACTTCGATAATACCCACCAAGCACAGAACCAAAAGAAGCCTACCTCGAAAGACACAGACAGAAAGAGCCGTTTTTTAAATTTTTTGAAGTGGAAAGGAGAAGTGAGAGAAGATGGGGGTCGATTACTATAAGCTTCTACAAGTGGATAAGAATGCAAAAGATGATGACTTGAAGAAAGCTTATAGAAAGCTTGCAATGAAATGGCATCCTGATAAGAACCCTAATAATAAGAAAGAAGCTGAAGCTAAGTTTAAACAAATCTCTGAGGCCTATGAGGTACTCTATTCTACTTTTGACTTATTTCATTTTAATAGTTCTCAATCTTTAACTATATCATTTGTACAACCAGTTCAAATTCATAGTTTGGTCTTGGTATCTTTTGAGATTGTCTCTTGGCGGTGTCTGTTTTGATTTTTTTCTTTATTTCAAAACGAAAACAGATCTTTCCTTTTTCTTTTGAATTTTTGGGTACTTTGCGCTGTGTCTTGCGTCTATGGATTGTCCACTAGCAAAATTCAATGTTTTTCTTGTAGGTTCTCAGTGATCCTCATAAAAGAGCAGTTTATGACCAATATGGTGAAGAGGGTCTAAAAGGCCAGGTTCCACCGCCTGATACTCGAGGATCTTCCTACTACTCCACCGGGGATATTCCTGCGTCATTTCGATTCAATCCCCGGAATGCTGATGATATTTTTGCGGAGTTTTTTGGGCATTCAAGCCCATTTGGAGGCATGGGAGGTCCTTTTGGTTTTGGAGGGATGAGTGGGTCAAGGTTCTCAAGTGGGTTATTTGGTGATGATATCTTTGTTTCTTATGGCGATGGAGGAGGAGATTGGCACCGCACTGTTCCGAGAAAACCTCCTCCAATCGAGAAGAGGTTGGCTTGTAGCCTTGAGGAGCTCTACAAGGGGACACCCAGAAAGTTGAAACTATCCCGGGAGGTTGTTGACAGCAGTGGGTAAGTGCTGAGCAGTTCTTTTTATGTTGATTTTTATTTTCTTGTTTTCTTTTGTAAACCATGTTTCTTTTTTCCAAGTTTAATTTGGGCATGTGCTTATTTGTTCTAGCTTTGGATATATAGTTTTTGTCGTTGATAATTGGTTAGGTTATAACTATTACTTGAATTTAAGAGGTCCTTGTGTTTCGGTTTGGTCTCAGCAAGACCGTGCAGGTGGAGGAATACGTATCAATTCACCTAAAGCCTGGGTGGAAGAAAGGCACAAAGATCACCTTCCCTGAGAAAGGGAACGAACTTCCAAATACAATACCCCCTGATCTCGTCTTCATAATCGACGAAAAGCCACACCCGGTGTTCACCCGAGATGGAAATGATCTAGTAGTCACACAAAAGATTTCTTTAGCTGAAGCTTTGACAGGTTACACTGTCCATCTGACTACCTTAGATGGAAGGAATTTATCGATTGTAATCAATAATGTGATTCATCCAGATTACGAGGAGATCGTCCCAGGGGAGGGAATGCCAATGCAAAAGGATCCAACAAAGAAAGGAAATCTTAGAATCAAATTCAACATTAAGTTTCCAACAAGGCTTACATCAGAGCAGAAGGCAGGAATCAGAAGACTTATAGGTAACTGAGATAAAATTGGTATCCTTGAAAGAAAGAGAGCATGTTTGTGAATACATATGTAGGAACTAGAACAAAATAGAGTTAAAAAGTATTTGAGTGGTGGTCTTTCTTGATGCAATTTTGTTGGAAATTTTGACTACATTTTCTATTGCATTATATTTGAGGATTTTATTTAGTTTTGGATCATAATTTGTACTGAATGTTAATGCTCAGGATTGAGAAAGCATAGTATAGTCAAAATATTTGAGTTAATAGTTTTCAATAAAAAGCATCTGAAGTTTTTGTGTTGTTATGTTTGAGGCATAAGGTGAAAATTAGCTTCAGACTGCTATTTGCTTCCATTGAAATATTAATTCATATGCCAATACATATGTCTGTGTTTTGAACTCTGCGAATTACTAAATATGAGTTCCCAGTGTTTTACATTTCAATAATAATTATATCCTCGTCAAAATGAAATATTAAAATGCAGAATTTAAGGTTAAATTTATATATTAGGCTAATTTGAGACCAATATATTTTCCGTCTCATTTCCTCTTTCTGTTTCTTTCTCTCTCTCTCTCCCTCTACAAGTCCGCATAAGAAAGCAGCACCTTAATTGGTAAAGTGGCGGAGGGAAAATCATTGATCGAGGCATACAACTGCAGGCTGGTCAAAAGAAATGACAATAGATTGATATTTAAATATCAACAATTACCTTTTCTTCTATAAATACATTCAGTTCACTTATACTTACAGGCGGAGTTGCGGAACACTAAAGAATGCAAGTTAGAAATAACTTTCTTAACAGTCTCTATGTTAAATTTTACTTACTTATAATCACTAAAATCTGAAGATGTAGATCCAATGATGTCGTCCGGGTCCCCATTCTGCTCTCCATCCCTGATGTCATCCTCATCAGAGTCCCCATTTATAAATCCCTCCACGTCCAAATCTGCTTGGTCATCTTCATCTTCATCTTCACCTTCATCGTCATCCTCTTCCTCTTCCTCTTCATTGGCGTCTACATTGTAATCACTTCCCTCAAGTAAGTCATCAGATTTGCCATTATAACCACCAGAGTAGTCATCCACTGCCATATCATCATATTCATCTCCTGTAGCTTGACCATTATCAACATCATATTCTGATCTTTCTGAGCTGCTGAGATTTTCGGTACCTTCTTGGAATCTCGTTTCATCACCATTCCAATCGTGCCTTCCCAACTTTCTTGGTGCTTTGTCATAGATTATTTGCTTGGGAATATTTGCTACAGAAGAAATGCCCACTGTTTTCTTGACTGTTTTCTGCCTACTTCTAATGCTGCGACGACCACGCTTACGCCCTCCTCGCCCACGTGATTGTCCTTTCCATGAAAGTACCTGCCCTATTCTGTCATTGTTTGTGGCCATACTTCTCTTAACAGATTCTGATCTAGAACCAGTAACTCTTCTTTGAGACTTCCCGCCGCGGATACGACCACGACCCCGACCTCGGTTCCCCCTTCCACGACCCACTGCACTAAAACCAGCATCGGCCCAATTCTCTTCTTGAAATAATCCAGTTGTATGAGGAGTTTCATTGGCTTCATTATCTTGGGTGCTTTTCACAATGGCAAACTTGGAAGGAAGCTTCTGAGGAATAGGCATGAAAGTCAAGAAAACAGTTATTAAGCAAATTACAATTCAAATCAGGATATAGTATTTCTTTTCTCCTTCCCCCCCTAAAAAACAGAACTAAACATTTGTTGTGTTAAGAATCCAGGAAAAAGACCCAATACAGGGAGAGAGAGGTCCATCCCAACATCATTATTTGAACTAAAATTTATGCTCTAAAGTAGGTTTACTTACAATGTAGTCTACACTCCCCCTGTCCTTCTGAGACTCAATTTTTTGATGCAGTGTGTATGAAATCGAGGAGTCAAACTCCATCACTCTTAGAGCTACAGCTGCCGTTGTTCGTGGTAACCACGGAAGCAGAGGAACCTTTTCCATTCTGAAAGAATCATTAGCTGCAACTCCAGATAGGTCGTCTGAACCCAAAAGTTCATTGGTCGTTTCAAAATTCGAGGATAAATAATCCCTCTTAATGGAACCCTCCAAGAATGTCAGAGTCTGGGGATGAATATGCAAACAGTTTATTCAACGTTAATAAGTTTATTAGTGACATGCAACAGAAGTGTGAACATGAGACAACTGAATTACAGGTAATACAACTCACTCGTATTTTTCTAATTTCACGTTTACCAGAAGTAAAGAGACACATGTCACATATCAATGCAATAAAAGTAATTGTATAATAGCAAGCGGCTAGGTATTGAAATGAAAGTAAACAAGAGTTCAAAACCTTGGACCCAATCATAGAGTAAATAAGGAAATATAAAAAGTTGAAATCTTAAGCATAAGAAACAAGGGAAAACATTGAACGTGTAGGAAAAAACAAATAAGTATGAACTACATCACAAATAATGAAGTAAGAAAAGACAAGGCCACATAACCTGAAGCAAGTCTTCAGCTGTCAATGAGGACTGCAGGTTCGTACCCCATGATTTTCGATAGCCATTAGTCCAAACAGATTGAAGAGCTTCTGGCAGAACAGAAACCTGCAAGCCCAAAATTCAGATGCACTTTCCTAATAGTAAAGCTAAAATCACAATAATAGTACCAGTAATATAAAGCTGATCTGCCAAGATAAGAACATTGAGGCACTCACCTCAATCAAGGCTAATTGCAATTTAAGCAACCTGATCCGCAGTGGAGAAGATGAACCACGCAAATTATAAGCAGGCCCAACCCTCAGTTTCTCTTCAGAGTGAGCCACGTGTTTGGAAAAACTGAAGTCGCTGCTAGATTGCTTATATGGCTTATGGCAAGAAGGGCAATGGTCATCTTCAGAGAAATAAATATCATAGCAGTAATCACAAAGACTGAGCAGTTGTCTGCATCTTTTCTTTCCATACTTCACTGCACATAATACTGAAGAATTACAGCATTCTTTCCATATCCACTTCTCAAAATCCTGATATCTTTTCAAGGCAAAATTCTGCTCAATTTCATTTCTTCCAAGTTCAACAGCAAAAGATGTCGAGGTATCAGACATATCAGAATCTGCAAGACATACAGTGCTGCTTGGGCTATCAATAGTAGCGCCACAATCAGGGCCAGTAACCATATCAGCAGCTTCTGCTTTAACAGTGTCCCCAATTTGTCTCCCTGTGTTTGCAGGTAGCATGTTCCTCCTAACAGCTTCCTTAAAGGACATCTCAACCTTTTGCAACATCATGTGCAAATGGGATTCTCTAACCCCACGCACATCCAAAGATGCCAACAATGAATCAAAATCCTGCACGCAAATTTCAGAAAGATGATAAGCAAGCACAAAAAGGTACATGCAAATGGAAAGATAAAGGAGAAGAGTGAAATAGGAAGAAGTTGCACAGGATCATTGTCACAGGGTTAAGATTACTAAATTATAGTAGCTCTCCAAAAGGAAATATTGCATGTGGCAGACACCTCTTGCTTTTCTTCCATAGAAAATCTAGCAAAAAATGAAACTAGAAATGCATGCCACTTCCAGAATATTGTAGACACAACACCATGCACAAATGCAACTCAACCCCCCCCCCCCCCCCTTACTTAAATTATAGTAGCTCTTCAAAAGGAAATATTGCATTTTGTGGCAGACACCTCTTGCTTTTCTTTTCCATAGAAAATCTTAGCCAAAAAATAAACTAGAAATGTGCATGCCAACTTCCAGAATATTGTAGACACACACCAGCACAAATGAAACTCAACCCCCCCCCCCCCCAAAAAAAAAAAAAGGGTAGAGGCAACATATCGAGTATAAGTGTAGGTCATACATAAAACTGTCGAAGCAAAGCGAGTCAACAAAAGGAAAAAGTACTACCTGTTCAGAAATCAATAAAGCTCCAACGACCTCAACGTAACTCAACGAAGATTCTGCCACATCCAGGATCAAAAAAAAAAAAAAGGGGGCAACATATCGAGTATAGTGTAGGTCATACATAAACTGTCGAAGCAAAAGCGAGTCAACAGGGAAAAAGTACTACCTGTTCAGAATCAATAAGCCTCCAACGACCATCACGTAACTCAACGAAGATTCTGCCACATCCAGGATCATTGCAAGAAGCAGATGTGATAAATTGCCAGTATCTATTACGTCTGCGATCTTGACCAAGAGGCAATGATCTGTACACATACATCTCCTCTGCCTTATGACCAATGAAGGATTTTAGCTGGGAGCGTGACTTTTCTGCAGCATGTCCTGATTGATGAAATGGAAGATTATCTGGACCAACAGAGAAATCTTGCATTTGCATGTTTCCTTCAGTAGTGTTAAGATAATTAATGTCATTCTGTGGGTCAGTTGATTTTTCTTGCTGAGCAGCAGCATTTGAAGGCATCTCATTAATTTTTTCATCAACTGTGACCAATGGGCTTTGCCTAGCCTCTGCTATAGACATTGCGAGATTAGGTTCCACCTTGTTTCCTGTAAAGAAGGGAAAATGGATCTTTGTGATATACTCTTCCTTCATTCGACGTTTATCAAGTTGGGCCTCTGCCCACATTTGCTTCTTTAGAGAATTTGCAGCTTCCAGGCGTTCCTGAAAAGCCCTCGTTTCAGACAACAGACAAGCAAATTGCAAGATTTTAAAATATTTTACCAGAAGGAGAAGTTACGATACCTCAAGAACAACCCGGATAGAGTTTCCTTCAATTGCCACACCAATTAATGCAACAAGGGCATTAAGGCGCTCCTCCACACTCAGATCAGAGTACTCCCCCTCCATCAGACCCTGAACCCATGGTTCACCAAGGTTGCTTTCATCAATATCTGCACCTTGTTGCTCAGCATTAGTGGATACACCAGCAACATCTATAGATTGACCAGTGGAAGATCGAACACCTTTTACTTCAGAATGCATTGAAGACAAACCCTCGCCAACATTCTGAAGTCCAACTTGTGGAGTGCTGATGACCTCATCATTCTCCTTTCCATTTTCAAATAATTCTTCTGCATTAAATTTGTTTGCTTCTGGAGAACTGCAAGCTTCTTTCTTAGGGTTTAAGTCAGTACCTAAATCATCAACATCAGGATCATCTGCCACATCACTCTCAGAATCGTCATCTCTTTCAGCATCTTCAGCATCTTCTCCATCTATAAAACCACTTTTAAATATCCGGATTCTTTCTCTAGCTGCTGCAAGTATTGCCTCAGTATCATCTGGATCCTTCCTATAGGCAGGACGCACACAATATGTAGATGGAGCTGTTCTCTCAAAAAGTTTTGAATCCCTCGACAAAGCAGCAGCAATTGAAGCTTCAGGTGTCTTGCTTGTTGTGAGATCTCTTAGTCCAGATTTCTTTGATAAAAAATTAGTGAATGAGATAGGTTAATATAGGAAGGAAAACAAAAGCATAAACAATCAGTAATTTAAATTACCTGAATCTTTTCTGCAACTTCTAATATAGTCAGACCCTTGCTTCCTTCAAGTGACAGAACATGAAATGCTGCAAATTTAACAGTACCAGGTGTCAAGCGATGCCTAGATCTGCGCTGGTTAGAAAATCCCCTTTCTCGCATTATAGCTACAGCATTTTCAACTGCCGCTCCACTGCGTAAATTAGTAATTACATCTTGACCATCATTACCCTGAATATAACACCAAAGAGAATATAAACAAGAAATGAATCAAACAAAACATAGAAAAAGAATGACCTTTAGAAGTGAAAATGAAAAACATACTGTCCTCACATTCATGGATACCACATCTTAAGGCAACACTATGGAACATGTGATTCTCAGGCTATTTCTGATAGTAATAACAAGACACCAGACACAGCAACCATCAGAGATATTGACCTCCAGTTTTGATTTCCATACAAGACAGCAGCACAATCATCCAGATAGGATGATTGGTTTTCCATCAACAAAGCCATCAATCTTAACTACTGTAGGATATGCTTCTTTCTTTCACAATAAAGCACCTTATCTTACAAAAAAAGTGCAACTAGCCAGTACTGGTTTTCAACTTGGTTAATTAGGCAACTTCACAGCTTACCACTGGAGTTACTAAAAACTTTCAGCCAACACCAGTGAAGCCTCCTCTAGTAGAATGAGTACAAGATTTGGTTTCAATTAATTGCGCTTCCGCAACAGTAAATAAAAGCAAAAACAAATATGAAGAATTGGGATCGAAGTTGCAAAAGGCTGGATATAGAGAAGAGTCATGTAACAGGACAACTAGTGTCATGGCTTTAATTTTTGAACTTTTTGCAGGATGTCATTGAGACTAACACTATAACAAAATTCACAATTTAACTGAATCAACATATTTGCAAATTGCAATCCTCAAAATATATAGTCTTCTCCATAAGGGAACCAACGACATACCAATAACAAATGTAATGACATTTCCATGACAGGTATTACTAAAACTAAAAAGTGGAAAGTTTGTACTTTGTGACGTGTTTGGTAAAGCAAAATGGAGATATCTGTCATTCAAAAGCAAAATGGAGAACAGTCTCAGTTTCTCACAACACAAGCATAATAAGGAGACAGAATGTACACTGGGAATTAACGGAAATAGGAAAATTATATGTTGAAAGAAGAAAAACTGAATGAAATGAGAAGCACCTCATTATCATCACGAAGATAAGCCTGCTCAACATTTCTTTTCTTCAGTTGTGGCCCAAATCCAGCAGAAAGGGCAAACTGTCGCAATATTTCAGGCCACGTTAATGGATTTAAGTAACGTTGCCAGCTGCGTATATCAAAACCCCATGCATATGCCTGATACAGAAGACCAAAAATATATCGGTTGAAAAGCAAAGAAAAAACTGAGAATATGAAATTGCCACATTTACAAGCAATTAGCAAGACTTACCCCTTCAACAATCTGTGGATGTCCACCTCCAGGATTAGCAGCACTGTTCTGATTTGCCCCTAACCCAGAGGCAGGTGTTCTAGCAACATCTTCAATATCTTTAATTATGGTTCTCAAAAGAGCAACATGTATTTCACCTAATAGCCTTGGATCCTGAAATAACAGAACAGGAAATGCATCTAAATATCACTAAAACTTAGATAGTCGAGTCCCATACATTTCAAAGACATAAAAACTGCTTACATAATCATGAAAAGCTTGGACAAACTCATCCAGAGTGAATGGCCATATCCCGAGAACATCCACAAAAGTAATTAAGAACCTCCAAACCTGTAAGTTCACAATTTACTTCAAGAGCCTTATAAAGACTGAAAAGTAAATAGGAGGGCGTAAGAAAAATTGTCTACTATAATTAGAATGCATGTCCATAGAGGAAAAATGAGGAGAAAAAGATGCCCTTGCTTAAGTTTGTACTCAATTTTGACACTCAAACCAAGTATAATTTCCCATTGGACTAGTAGTCCACTGGCTGAGTGCCTGCCTCATAATGCAAGAGACCCAGGACACAAACCATATCAACGGCTTTCCTTCTAAGAATTTCCAATCTATCAAAAAAAAAAAAGAGAAAAAAAAAAGCATGACATGAAGTTAATGTACACTCTAGAAGAAAAGCTGAAGTCATCCCTTTTTAATCTTTTTCTCTAGAGCAGTACCATGCTGCCCATAATGGCAAATGCAAGAGAATATTAGCAATATTGGCCCATTGATTCTCCAAGAGTGTGTCCAAAATACAAATGGAAAAAGAAAAAAAGGATTGAGAATCACTTAAACTCACCATTAGAAGATTCCCTACATTCTCCTCTGAACTATTCCAAGGTTGAATTGCAAAAGGCCTCTTCAATATAACAGATTTGGGAGGGAATGAAGCCAGCTTATCTATAGAGAACAAAATATGAAAATGTAAGCCTGTGCAGTCGTACTGAAAATGAAGTTCATTCACAAAATAACCTTAACAAGTGTTATCATTTGGGGCCAAGAATCATATAAATTAAACTCAAGCATTGCAAAGAACAATGAATACAAAAAAGTACAAATATAACAAGCTACTAATAACTAAACAGATAGTCTTGAATGTAAATGAGGTCAGACATAACTAACCTCTGAATGAATCAAGATTCTGCAGAGTTTCAAAGTCAAGAGAAACTATCGAAGGCAAGCCCTTGCTTAAGGCAGCTAATTCCATGAGTTCCAAGCGCTCATCCTCAACTAGCTCCATTGACTCTTTAGCAATTCTGCGTGCAATTGCCCTCTCAGTAGCAGCCTTTTGCCTTGCTGCCTCCTTTTCTCTGCGCTGTTCTTCCTTTTGACGCATTTTCTCAGCCTAAGTTTAAGAAAATAAAAAAAGTAAAAAACAAATTTATCCTCACATGCAAAATTTATAAAAGGATAGTTCAGCATTGGCCTCTGCATATGCAAAGTTATAAAAGGAACATATTGGAAACAGGGTCAAACTTACTCTCATAGACTCCTTCTGCAAGAATCTCTCCCTCCGCTCTAGTTCACGCCTTTGCTCCCTCTGGTACCTCTCCTCTTCTCGCTGCTTTTCACGCAATAACCTTTCTTCTTCCTTCCGCCTTTCACGGTCTTGTCTTTCCATTTCTTTCCTTATTTGCTCTTCTCTCTGAATATGAAGTATAGGTAAGGGACAACCATCTGCACATAACCTTATAGAATCATGGAAGAAATTATGTGAATAATAAAATTTTACCTTTCGCCTTAAGATATCTTGCTTTTCAAGCTCTTTTCTTATCCTCTTTTCGTGGGCCTCAACTTCACGTGCTATTCTTGCCTCCTCACTCTGCAAAAAAGTTAAATAAGCATGCATTTTTAAGTCTACAGTAGAAGAAGTCGATGTCTGAATGAAGTAAATCTACCTTTCGCTTCCTCTCAATGCGCAAAACATCCTCATCATGGGTAACCCTCCTCTCAGACTGCATAAATGGATTGTCCAACACAGAAATTGGGTGGGAACCAATTTGAGCATCCCCACCAACATTTGTGAAGGAGCTTTTTCGTAGTACAGTATCATATTCTGTTGTAGCAGATGGCAAGAGGTGGCCCTGCCTGCCTTCTGGGGGCATGAGATTTAGACTGGGCAGCTGACTTGGAAAACCATATCCTGAGGTCATTTGCTCATTTGCATGCATTAAAGGGCGTCCTGCAGATAATGCTGCACTCTTGGTATTATGACTGTCTGCTGGCGAACCAAATTGATAGGATGGGCCAACTCGTTCATATGCATCTGCTCTAACAGTCGGTTGCTGGGGAAGGAACTGGTATTCATGCACAGGCCTTGTAGTACCCTGAACATTAGATGTGTGAACATGATTTATTTTCCATATAATCATTAGAGAAATAGAAGAGAACTGCAATATATTTTATATTTGCACAAAAACATGGTGTCATCAAAAGATTAACATCAAGCAAAAGAAAGTATACGGCAGCAAGTATCAGACACCAAATGGGGGATGAGGATCAGAATGAAATGAGTTAGTAAATTCCACTTGTGAATGTGCACATGTGTGTTTTCTTTTATTTTTTTATTTTTTATTTTTTTTGGTGGGGGTGGGGGAGTGGTGGGGGCACAAAGGAAAGAGAAGCAGACATATTTAAACAGGAAATAGAAATGCATTTGAAATCTATTAAAACTTTCTAACTCCTGCTTCATTGCTTCCCTCGAGGTTATTCTCACTGTTACCATATTTGTCGTCACATTTCTAGTTAAATTGGGTTTCAGGAACTGAGTCCACGTAGGATTTTGGATGTCCACTGAAACCAAATACTGAATCAAAACACAGTTAACTAGCAATATAAACAAGACAATCCTGATCAGTTGTCACACGAAAAATGAGCCTATACTATGTTCCGAATAAACATTTTTTATTTTTGTAAACAGCATATTAATCTAGTTGCTTACTTAATCGCTCTACTTTCCACAAGGGAAAAAACCCCACAGATTCTTATAAACCACCAGACCTATGTATGGAGATTGCCTTTCACTAATATACCTCCATGCTGGTGGTCTTCATGTTCTATGACAACAGCATTTATGTTTTCAATAATTGAAAGGTTTCATTAGGATCTTAGTTATGATTACATAGGTAGAATGATAAGTTCTCTGTACAACAGAGATTGAGAGACATGGACAGAGAGATAAAGAGCAATATCAATTCTATCAACATCCCTCTAGCAATTCAACAAAATAAGAATATAGCCTAACCTTGATAGATTTTGCATCAAGTCGCTCATACAGGCTGGCCTCAAAAGATCTTCCAGGCTGCTTCTGCTGCCCCAGTGTAGCTGTTCCTAGTATCATATAAAAAAGATCATCAAAACACGTTCAGCATTCAGTAAGCTATCTATTGCTGGCACATGGAAATGTCCCACAAACCAAAGCAAGTGAAAAGGCAAATATTGGAACGTAAGTTAGAAGACAGCATGATGTTCAATATGAGAGAAAAAGAAACTTTAAAATCGGATGAACAAAAAGGAACACATCATATTCTTGTGAACAGAACAAGAACCCTGTGTTAAAAGGACTTGGCACCAATGCTTTACATAACAATATCTGTCATGGCAACACCATCAGTAACAATGCCACAATATTGGGCCATGGTGTAATCAAACTAGCTGGTACTACCTTGAATTTTTGAATAAATTAGGAAAAAATCAATTAAGCCATATTTTAGCTAAATATACAATGCATAAATATTATCAACACCTAAAAGAACTATTTACTGAATGCAAACTCATGAATTGCTTGAAATATTACCTAGACGAGATCATTTTGGACCTCTATCCCTCAGAACAATAAATAAATTTGACATGATACAAAAGTTTTTCTAATTTATGAAATTATCTAAGTTGTTAGTTAAGTATGGCAATATTGAACACAACAAGAACCCAACACCAAATTGGTGGTCCAGGTTTATCACATTCAAGTCATTATCATGTTAACCAGATTGTGACATGAAAATAATCATGTTGTATTATAAGTTGACCTACAAGCCCATAAATGATATGTAACACAAAAATGAATTAAATCTCATATTAGCTTTGAGTAAAGGAGATGGATGTTGTCTCCTCTACAAAAAGAGAAGACTACCTTCTCTTTTAGATTAAAAACAAACTCATGAATGAATATTTCCCTTTAAATATGACATTTTGTTTGGAAATGGGCTTTATAAATATCTATATATATAGTTATTATAAGTTGACTACAAGCCGCATAAATGATATGTAACACAAAAAATGAATTAAAATCTCATATTACTTTGAGTAAAGGGAGATGGATGTGTCTCCTCTACAAAAAGAGAAGACTACCTTCTCTTTTAGATTTAAAAACAAACTCATGAATGAATATTTCCCCTTTTTAAATCATGAACATTTTGTTTTGGAAATGGGGCTTTATAAATACTATATATATATATATATATATTATATTATATATATATTTCCCTTTAATGTGAACGCATTTTCAAAAGGGAATATATATATTTCCCTAATGTGAACGCATTTTTCAAAGGGAACATATATTATCATGTCATGTTGCATTACCCATTTAATGATTGGATGTGTTTTAATTTTTAACATGGTAAGCTTATTTTATCATGTTCTAGTTAACCCAAGTCATGTCATAGTGGTGTAGCAACGTAACACGAATATGACCATTAAACACAAATTGCCACCCATGATCATTAGACACAAGTACCTTGTAAATGATTAAAACAGACTGTTAAACTGAGTTATAAATTATAAAATTAGGCCAAAAATTGAAATTTTAATTTCCAAATATTCTCATAGCAAATCTGCTGGTATAGTCTGTGGTTGTGTCCTGGCTAACAACCCAAAATACAACTCAAGAAGAAGGCTTAACGTGCCAGGGTGATAAAGGTAGTTAAAATGAAAAAGGGAAAAATTAAAAGAAAAAGGAAAAAACATATTTGTCCTTGCCCATTATGTTGTCTACCCATTCCCCTTTTCTTTATATTCTTCCTCCACTACCTCTATCATGCACCAATATTCTGCCTAGGTACACTTCCCTCCCGCCTTCCCTTTCTTCTTCTTCTCACGTCTCACTTGACCCATTTGAGTATCGGCTCAGAAACAGTCATTTGTCCATTAAAGAGTGGCAATATGATTTCAAAATCATAATAATATATTGGCACATTATGAATCAACCAGCAAAAATCCCGTTATACACTGAGCGATTTTGATATTTTTGAACATAGGTCATCCATGTTCATTCCTTTGAGCTTCATTCTTGCGAACGTACTCCCCAGGGGGACACTTAACGCATTAAATTCAATTTCTAAATTTTCAGAATGCACGGGCTATAGAATTTCATATTCCAACAATATTCTTCTTTGCCTTTTCTTCATTTCTTAATGCAAAAGGCAAAGAATGAGTAGCCTACCTCACAAAATATCTTGTCTCAGTTAACTCTAAAGTCTAAGCAATATAGAATATCATCAATGTCATCTCAGATTGACACTTCCCTCAAGACATTTCATTCCTATCCATTTCTTGACAAATAACAACTGTAAGCTAAACGCTAAACAGCAACGTTCAGAATGAAATCTAATATTATCAGAATCTTATGATTCGATTCAATTTTTATGCTAAATGATTCGAATCTCATGGGTGAATCGGAATTGATCGTGAATCTTACGGTTCGAGTTGATTTTCATGTTCAACAATTCTCTTACCCAACAAAACAAGTGGAAAAATTTAGGAAATTCTAGCGGCTTGATAGTTTCACTTTGTCTTCATCTTAAAATTTAACTTCATAGTTTGATATTTTGAACTCGACGACTACACAAGTCATTAGGTCTGTTTACTTTTGTGTTTAGTAGATGATTTAGAATTGAAATGTATATAAATACATTATTTGCAACTAAATTTTTTAGCATCTTTTCATAAAATTAATGGATATATATATATATATATATATATATATATATATAATATATATATAATATATATGCATGTATTTTATTTTAATTAATTTTAAAAAGCTATACAGAATTCTATACAATTCAATTCTCAATTCTTAGATTTCTAATTTTAAAAACTTCAGATTCTCGATTTGACAACTAATATCAGTTGTTTATTTTCCTATATATATATATATATATATATGCATGTATTTATTTTTAATTAATTTTAAAAAGCTATACAGAATCTTACAATTCAATTCTCAATTCTAGATTCTAAAATTAAAAACTTCGATTCTCGATTTGACAACTAATATCAGTGGTATTTTCCTAAAGCATCAACGTTCAGAATGAAATCTAATAGTCCTTATTGCTAATATCAGTGATATTTTCCTAACTAAACCGATAATCAGCTGCAGATTGTCACTTAAAAGTAAATTTCCAAACTTATTAAATTAATACCATTTCTATACAGGATCATCAAAGAAGAATGGGGCAACTAACAGCATCTATGCGCAAAATTACCTATAGGTGCACCAAATGCATCTGGTGGCAGGGGATCAAACTCCATCCCAAGAATAGGACCATCCTCCCTCAATGGCTCCCCCAACTGAGCCTCCACAAATGATATGGCTCTAAGCTCAGCTATTGACTGCTGTGGTTCATAGTATCTCCTCACTGATGACATTTCAGGAGCAAGCCTTGGGACAGCCACCCCCGGGGTCCTAGCAACTACTCTCCGCGGATCCATCCCATGACCAAATGGACTTGTTCCTGAAGCAGGCACAAGCATGTGCTCGTTTCCAACCTCTGCCACTGCCCCCATGTCCTCACCAGATGGTGCCGGCGAATCCTTGGGCTGACGCTTCACTAGTGGTGCCTTTCTGTCCTTCAAACGCCGATGACAGAACCACATTTGCAGCTGGCGATCAGAGAGTCCCAATTGGACTGAAAGCTCTGCCCGCAATGACTCTGAGGGGTATGTCTCAACTGAACAAAACACAAGTTTGCAGCAATTTAGCCAATATTTTGATAATACGGCCCAAGAATAAAAAGCCAAAGCTGAAAACTAAAGAGTAAGAATTCCAGCTAAATGAAATACTAAATTAGGACCAGAAAAAAAAAAAAACAGTTTGAAATGCATTTTTAAAAAAAAATAATATATATACATATCAAGCTTAAATGAAAGCATAACAAATAAAGTAGCATAATAAGAGGAGAAATTTTCAGTTAGAGAGCTGCATTTCAGTAGAACAGCTTCAGTTTTCAGTTAACAAATAAAAATACAAGCTATTAACTAGTTATTCAATTAAAAAAGAAAAGCTAAAAAAAAAAATTAAAAAAACAAACCAGCATAAGTTTTTTCCAGAATCTCAAGCTGAGAAGCAGTTTTCATTTTCCGCTTAGACTTAACTTCTCCTTCAGGCTTCTTCTTCTCTCCATCCGCTGCACCACCACTTCCATCCATTGCTGGAAACCCTAGAACTTAAGCTTAGAGATTGAAATCAATAATCCAGCATAGAAATGAGAGAGATCGAAGCAGCGATCTTACTACTTAGGTAGGCATACTTAAGATTCATTGATTCATACAGTTTCTCTCTCTAGTTTATCTCTCTAAATGAAGAAGAAGAAGCAGAAGAAGAAGAGATGATGGTATTTGGTGCGTGTGATTGAGATGTGCGGTTGTGAGATTTGGAGAATATATAGTAATATCATCAGTAATTAATATTGTAATAGAAATTCTTCCTTCTTCTTCTTATTCTTATTATTATTGTTGTTGAAAATAATAAATAATAATAAGATTGTGATTTTGCATTTAGAGAGAAACTACGAACAAGCGAACGAACAGTCTTTCTCTCTCTAATTGCTTCCATTATTTTTTGTTTTCTTTTTAAAAAACCAAAATTTAATTTATAAAAATTGAATATTTTGAAGAGAGAAAGAGTTTGGTGTGGTATTTTGTCAGATGATACTTTTTGGAAATCAAAGGGATTGATTCATTCTCGAATTGGGTTTGTGACTGTTCTTTTCTTTTCTTTTTTTTTTTTTAAACAAAAAACAAATTGAGAGAGAGATTTTGGATTCTTTTCACTTTTGGATTTTCCAAGTTCTTAAATCGAACCGTTTCTTTTCGCGGTTACTGCTCATTCTTTTATCGCCATCAACGACTTGTCCACAGGTTTCATCACAATCCCAACATCTTGAGCGCGTTTTTTCACGCTCTGTTTCGCCTGAAGATTTTCTTCCATGTAATCAGATAAATTTTTTTTTTTTCACACATTACAAATTTCAAGATAACTTATATTTTTTTTCTAGTGCTTATTAGAAATTAATACATGCCATCGTAATTATTTATTTTACTATAGTATTGAAATATATTTCTGACAGTAAGCTATATACAGTGTATTTTTTAGATAAACAAGGAAAAAATTATGGAAAAATATGATCCAAGTATTTTAATTTTTAATACTAACAAATTTCTATTTTCTAAATACGTAATATCATTGAATACGTAATAAAGTACATTGTTACTATTTTTGTTATTGCAGTCAATTCTTTTAATTTTATAAATAGATTTCTTTTAATAAATTATTAATAAAAAAAAATTAATTTCAGCATTCATTCAATTGTTGTTCAAAAGATGGTTGTAAGTAGCCTCCACTTGTTGACACTCTTCATAAATTATCCAAATGAACAAAAAATAAATAAATAAAAAGTTTGACTATTTTTACAATTATAGTTAGTAATTTATTTTTATTAATTGATAATAAAGTATTTTTCTTTTTAATTACGGCATCTATATATTTTGCATTTAATTTTAGTGACATGATTTTTACGCCGATGTATAAATTATAAATTATCGCCTTTATTAGTAAAAGATTTTTTAAAAATTTACCCTCTAAATTTATAAATATTATTTCTTAAAATAGCACTTCTTAATTTTTGAATATTTGACATCCTTCAATAAAAAAACTTAATCTTGATGCTGACTCAAAAATTGCTTGACTACATGTACTAAAAAGAAATGCTTTCTGAAAAACCTAAATAATCTAAAAATAGAAAGGTTATTCGTCTGTTGCTATCTCATACTTTTGCTTTTTGATAGTGCATAATTCTATGCCATTGATGTCACTAATTGCTCATGGGATTATTTCTCATAACATTCTAATAAAATATAGAAAATCAAATAAATACGCATTAAAAATTTACTCATTTATATATTAGAACTCAAGGTCAAGCTTAATTATTTTGTTAAATAGTTTTCTTTTCGAATAAATTCTCGAGTAATTCGTGGATGAGTCTTTATTTATAGTCATATTGTTCATTAATACTTACTTTTCAATCCATGTAATAAAGTACGAAAAATATTCAAAATGATTTTTCTTCTCACTAGTGATTGTGTTCAGAATTGGCTTTTTAAGTAGAATTAATTATTATTTTTCATAGTGTTCGGTAACATAACATCTGAACTAAATTTTAGAGAATAAAATAGCGTTTAAAATTGCTAAAATAATTAAATATTATTAAAACAACTAACAACTATCAACTATCAAAATATTTAATTTTGTCCAACAATACAGTATACATGTTCTTCTAAAAAGTTAAAGATGTACAGGTAATGTACATAGTACACAGAGATAGTATGATTTTTTTCGGACCATCCATGTTATCTTCATGTGGCAATTAATGTATCTTTCATTCTGTTTGTCATGAACATTGTGAGAGATTGTAAGCAACGCTCCTCACGAACAAGTAGAACTTGTGCACTGTCTTTTTTTTTTTTTTTTTTTTTCAATTGTTATCTTTATGTGGCAATTAATGCTATCTTTTCATTCTGCTTTTGTTCTATGAAACATTGCTGAGAGATTGTACAGCAACGCTCCTCACGGAACAAGTAGAACATTGTTGCATGCACTGTCCTTTTTTTTTTTTTTTTTTTCTCACACACAAAATTGGCACCATTGGCCCCTTTCATTTCCATTTTCCTGAATATTATCTATTAATTTATTCAAATCTATTTGGGAAAAATAGGCGCTTGATGCTGAGAATTAATAGGTCTAGGACTTGCAATTTGCAAAATTGTGCAAGGTCTCGTCTTGAAAAGCTTCTTGTTGAAAATTTTCCAATTATATATGACCATGCTTGATGAATTCTTTTGGACTCACGGTTAAGATCTTGCTTTCTCTCCCTGTTCTCATTACTCCATTTTTCATTTTTCTCAGTTCAACTTTTAGCCTGCAAGACCTAACTCTTTACCCAATTCGGTGCGAACAATACCCATTTTTCGATAATACAATTCTCTAAAAAAATTTTACAGATACTCAAAATTAACTGGATATAGCATAAACTCTTTTAGATTATCTTATAAATTATAAAAAATAAAAAGGAACCCTGTAAAAAACAAAAATACAAGCTTCCCCTACTTATATTTTGCATGTATGCGGAAAACTATTAATTAGGACCAAACGTTTTGTTTTTAATTAAATCACTCATTATAGTTACATTTTTTTTTTTTTTTTTTTTTTTTAAACACAAAATTGGACATTGGCCCCTTCATTTCATTTTCCTAATTATTATTATTATTATTAAATTATTTGGGGAAAATAGGGTTGAGTTGAGAATTAATAGGTCTAGGATTGAATTTGCAAATTGCAAGTCTCGTCTTGAAAAGTTCTTGAAATTTTCAATTTTATGACATGCTGTTGATTCTTGACTAGGTTAAGATCTTGTTTTCTCCCTGTCTCATACTCCATTTTCATTTTTCTAGGTCAACTTTTTAGTGCAAGACCTAATGTACCAATTGGGGCTGGAACAATACCCATTTTTGATAATAAAATTCTCTAAAAAAATTTACAAGATACTCAAATTAATGGATATAGATAATCTTTTAATTATTTATAAATTATAAAAATAAAAGAACCTGTAAAAAAATAAAGTTCCCCTACTTATATTTTGCATGTATGGAAAATATTAATTAGACCAACGTTTTGTTTTAATTAAATCACTATTATAGTTAATTAAGGGCTAACAGCTTAAATTAGCTTGAAAGTTTAATAAATTGGCCAAATTTACGATAAAAAGAATTTCCATGAAAGCCCAGTAGCCCAATAGTATAACAGCCCAATTTGAAAATGAAAAGGCATTTCTCTATGCAAGCTATGAACCCAGTAGTCTAAGTGGTTCAATTTCATGTTTCAAACGGCTCGTCGTTGTAAGGGATATCTAGCTTACAATTTGCTAACGGCAGTACAGAACGCAATTATCAATCAATTCATGCGATTAACAAACATTAATCCCAGAAATTATACGTTTCCATTAATTCACGAAAATTAAATCATAGTATGTTTAACAGTCAAGGGAAATTTAAAAAAAAAAAAAACTAATGGCGCGATAGAGGGGCGCCAATACCATGTCGTTTACTAGGAAACGCGAGGAACAAAACACTGCATATAGCCCCGATAGCAACAGGAACGACGACCAATAAATCTTGAACTTCTTCTGTTGGTGTTGGAAAAAAGCAACTCACGACATTTTTATCAAACAAAGCCACAGCTCCAAAAACCACCATAGACATTAAAGCATGAAAAAGATCAAAAAATCTCAATTTATAATTTGCAGCCTCTTCCGGTGATAATTTCGCCGGCGACGATCCATCCATAACCCATAAACCCTTAAACGTGGCCATTCCATATCGAACTTTACCTCTTTCGTCGCGAAAACTATCCGTAAAGCACAAGAGAAAACAAGAGAAGCTACATAATGTTAAAAGACCTAATGTCAATGACTTGCTAGTGATTGTACGACATTGCCCTTGATGTGTCATAATTGGTGATAAAATTTGAAATGCAAGAACAGAGCCTGTTGGAAGAAGTTTAGCCAAATGTGCAGTTCCTTTAAATGTCTTTCTCACTGCTTTTTGTGCTGGTGTTTTTGGTAATTTTTGGATTGGTAAATTTTCAAGAAGAGGTGTTGTTTGTGTTTGGAATTCTTCAGAGACCATTTTCATAGCCATGGCTAAATTAATTTCTGATTTATTTGAATTAATTGGTAAATGGCATATATAGATATGTGTGTGTGAGAGCATATATAAGTGCTTAATTGCAGTTTTAATTTCTTAATGAAACTAATTAATGAGCTTAAAAAAGGAGATGGGTTGTTTTTTTTTTTTAATTTTGTAAATTTATTGTTTTATTTTAGTAAAGGAAGATTTTTCTTTTTCTTTTTTTTTTAGTGACAGTTTTGGAAAAGAGTTATAAAGATGTTATTAGCTTATAATTATGAAATGAGTTAGTAAATTTATTGTTGAGAGAGAGAGAGTTTCATTTGGGTTTATGGCTATTTGTTGGCTGGGAGGTTATAAACTAAAAAACAGAAGAAAAAGAAGTTTGTTATGCCAAGAACTGTAACTTGTTTTAGTAAACAAGTTGTTAGAAACTACCAACTACCAGTTGTTCTAGTGAGATGAAGTACTGGATCCCTTAAGCAACGTCCAAACGTTGTGAATGGAGAAAATTGAGTTGAGAGGGTCGCCTCCATAATGGGCCTCTATAGAACCCAAATCTAGATTAGTCGACTGTGTCAGATATCGGATGGTTTACAAAAAAAAACCAAGTTATTGAAACTCCATTATGTATATCATATTATTTGCAATAGCAGAAACTAGAAAATAATAAAACTTCGAGACGTTTCCATGAACATTTAAGACTTGAACTCCACATTAACAGTCTTCGGTGTATGAAAACAAAAATAAATTGAAGATTGGCCCAATCTGTTGTGATTATGAAGAAATCTTCTCTTGTTTGTGTTTTTTGGACTTGGATGCAGCTCTACTCTAATGGATCAAAGGCTTCACCACAGTGCAAAATGGAAAATGGGCCTGTGACAACTTTCTCTCCTGGCATTTGATGTAATTTTGCATTAGAGATAAGAGGCGGACACGCACTGTGTTGAAGTGGTAAGCAATTTTAATCCGTGAGAGAACTAAATTTTTTACACCATATAGTCCGAAGGGAGATTATAGCTTCTGTTCCTGAAAAAAGGACAGGCAGTGAAACAATGATACTAGACAAAGTGGTCGAAGGGGTAAATAACTTCAATTGCTGAAAGTTCGATTTCCAGAACGTGTACTCACTGAGAGAACAAAATTACAATTCCTGATCCTTGAAAAAAGGCAGGTGATGCAACAATAATGCTAGACAAACAAGTTTCTTGGAGTTTTTATAATCATGCTCCCTGTCAACTAAAATATATCAATTTCAATAACTTAAATAAGGACAAAAGATGCTTCTGATCCACAGTCTGCTCGATGACTAATTGCCAAGATTAGCTGACGTTTAAGTCCTCAAGTATCTTTCAAATCTGATAAATTTTGGACATTTCTATGATATTTCAAAGATGATAATCCTTAATCTCTCAAAAGCATTTTCTAATTGAAAATTTTAATAAAAATTGGTCTAAAATTTTAATTTTGAATAACAGAAAATAAATTAAACATTATTTTAATTTATAAATCAAGAACTTAATAATTAAATATAATTGTAGTGCCTGGAGATTTTTTATTGGTGAAGAAATTATAGAAAGAAATGTGGGGCTTTGACCAGCAAGTTAGGTGAAGAATTGTACCAAATGCTACCCATTTTCTACTTGATTTGGACACTTTCCTTTGTTTTAATTTGATTTATGATGGATTGATAATTGGTTGGTAATAAATTCTACCATCCACCAATCATTTTTTTTTCTTCTCTAGTAAACATTATCCCAAGAAGCATATATGCGCGTTTTAATTTAACTTCACAGATCCGACTTATCGGAAATTATTTCATTACTCATAACTTTAATTTTCTTTTTCCTTTTTTTTATAATGTCAATTCTTAAAGGATAAGAGTTGTTAGACATGAGTTTCTTTTTTGCACATGGAAAATATTTAAAGGAAATAAAGATTTGAATCTATTAACTAAATAATTGGTCTGAGCATGTAAAATTAGAAATGTTAGTTGGACAATGCTTATTTCCTCCACAAGGAGCAGCATTATTTTCTGAAATTGGTAGCTGTGTGGGTGCAAAGATTTTCAAAAGCATGTGTTAAAGTTCATTATTTAGTGTTTTTTTCTTAATTCTTTGCCCTTTTTAGTTGGTTCCAACTAAGAAAATTAGGAAGCAATACTGTTGCATCATGTGCACTAAGGGATTTAGGTCATTGGCTTCAATATTTTTTATTAGGGTCTAGGGAATTTTTTTAATTTGTTTTACATATAATGAAGAATTAATTTAGATATATGCAGAATTCCTTAGATTATTTTCCTCATTATTTTATTTTTAATTATTTTATATACTGAAATATAATATTAAGCAACATTTATTTATCAAGGGTGCTTGGTGATATTTAAATTCTAGAATTATTTTCAATTTTTTTCTTAATTTATCAAGGGTCCTTTTTCTGATATATAATTAATTTTAAAAATTGGAAAGGACAAGCAATTGGGAATTATATTCAAACTTTAACAGAAAATCACGTGCATGCATGCACTAATCATTTTCAATAGCATGTTTTTCAACATTCAAACGGCATAAAAAAGCTTTTTGACTTGGAGCCTGGCTATGCAATTAGGGTCTTAGCAATCCCTTTCTAAGTGTTGCAAAATCCATTCCTTAAGTGGTCTTTATCAATGTGACATGCAATTATGAAAACCGAAAGACAGAGCATCGAATTCCCTTTACTTCATTTCATGTTATAGCATCTCTAAATTTTTTCGATCAGATTTATGAGGCTATTTATGGATCGATACGATAAAAGTAGAGATTTTTCAAAAAATATTTTTATTTTATATTTTTTTTGGTAGAAATAATTTGTTTTAAAAATGTATATAATTTTCAAAAAACATGATCAGAGTAGCAAGCGATTGTAATTTAAACGTAATTTCTTAATTCTTTTAAGGATGAAAAAATAAATTTGATAGCGGGGAAAAACACAATTTGATAGAAAGCCAACAAAACCTTTGTGCTTTGTGTCTGAGAGAGGTAAGTTTTTTCCCGTTATACTAACCCTTTAATGACTCTCATTGACTGCCCATTGTTTCCAATTCTGAACTAAATTCTCTCTGTTACCCTCTCTCTAACACGATCCTATCCAGTGGACCAATGGGGTACCCCACGTTTGTCTCTTAAGTAGGTCCCACTTCACTCCTTCAAAATCTCTTGTCCAATTCTGAAACAGACCAAAACTGAATCACAAAAATTTCCCTCTTCTCTTCTAAAATGCTACTGTTCCTTTCCCTCCTCTTTCTTTCCTTTCCCTTCCTTTCTCTCCCCCTAAACCAAGAAGGCCTTTATCTCCAACGAGTCAAACTCGGTCTCTCCGATCCTACTCACTCACTCTCTAACTGGAACGAGCGAGACGACACTCCATGCAATTGGTTCGGCATCTCTTGCGACCGCGTAACTCACCGAGTCCACTCTGTCGACCTTTCCAACTCATTACTTTCCGGTCCCTTCCCTACCTTCCTTTGCCGCCTTCCTTCTCTCACTTACATTTCTTTCTACAATAATGCCATCAACGCTTCTCTGCCCGATGATATCTCCACGTGTCAGAATCTAGAGTACTTGGACTTAGGCCAGAATCTTTTAGTGGGGTTCATTCCCGAATCTCTGGCTCAGCTGTCGAATCTCCGGTACCTCAGTTTGGCGGGAAATAATTTGACCGGTGAGATTCCCGTGAAATTTGGAGAGTTCCGGCGGCTTCAGACGTTGATACTCGCCGGAAATTTGCTCAACGGGACAATACCCACTCAGCTTAGTAACATTTCCACTCTTGAGAATCTCAAAGTCGCTTATAACCCGTTTACGCCGAGTCCAATACCGATTCAACTCGCCAACTTAACGAATCTTAAAGAGCTTTGGCTTGCCGACTGTAAGCTTATTGGTCCCATTCCAGCAGTTCTGAGCCGGTTAACTCGGTTGGAGAACTTGGATTTGTCTCAAAACAGACTTAGTGGGTCAATTCCGAGCTCACTCACCGAGTTCCAGAGTATAATCCAAATTGAGCTGTTCAACAACTCTTTATCAGGCACGCTGCCGACAGGATTTTCGAACTTGACGACACTTAGAAGACTGGACGCATCCATGAACGCTTTAACTGGAATGATTCCAGATGAGTTGTGCGAGTTGGAGCTCGAGTCTCTGAATTTGTACGAGAACAGACTCGAAGGCACTTTACCAGAGAGTATAGCCAAGTCTCCCAACTTATACGAGCTCAAATTGTTCAATAACAAGCTCACAGGACAATTACCAAGTCAACTCGGACAGAACTCGCCGTTGAAAGCACTAGACGTGTCATACAATGAATTTTCCGGTAAAATACCGGAGAATTTGTGTGCAAAGGGGGAATTAGAGGACTTAATTTTGATATACAATTCATTTTCTGGGAAAATTCCTGAAAGTCTAGGAAAATGTCTCAGTTTAGGCCGTGCTCGGTTAAGGAACAACAAACTTTCCGGGGAGGTTCCAGAAGAGTTTTGGGGGCTTCCACGTGTGTATTTGGTCGAACTAGTAGGGAATTCATTATCTGGGAAAATCTCACGGAAAATATCTTCTGCGTATAATCTCTCTGTTTTGCTGATTTCAGAAAACAGGTTTTCTGGGCAATTGCCTATTGAAATTGGTTTTCTAGGAAATTTGGTTGAATTTTCCGCAAGCAACAATATGTTCACTGGTTCAATTCCATCAAGTTTTGTTAATTTAAGTTTGTTAAATAGGTTAGTTCTCAATGGAAATGAATTATCCGGTGGATTCCCTCCAGGAATTGAAGGTTGGAAGAGTTTAAATGAGCTTAATTTAGCAAATAATAAGCTATCCGGTATAATCCCAAATGAAATTGGGGATTTGCCAGTGCTTAATTACCTTGATCTTTCTGGGAATTACTTTTCTGGGAAAGTCCCGTTAGAATTGCAGAAACTGAAGCTCAATTTGTTCAATTTGTCAAATAATAGGCTTTCTGGAGAACTCCCACCTTTGTTTGCAAAGAAAATTTATAGAAACAGCTTTATTGATAATCCAGGTTTATGTGGTGATTTAGAAGGTCTTTGTCCTCAAACAAGCGAGTCAAAGAAGAAACTAAGCTACCTATGGATGCTTTGGTCCATTTTTATACTTGCTGGTTTAGTCTTTGTTGTTGGAATTGCTTTGTTTTTCTACAAGTACCGGAATTTCAAGAAATCCAAGAAAGGAATCATAACAATATCGAAATGGAGATCATTCCATAAACTTGGTTTTAGCGAATGTGAGATTGCAAATTGCCTCAATGAAGATAATGTGATTGGAAGTGGAGCTTCTGGTAAAGTCTATAAGGTTGTTCTCAGTAATGGCGAAACAGTAGCTGTAAAGAAACTAAGTGGAGGGAGCAAGAAAGATGATGCTATTGCTACTGCAAATTCTGATAAAGATGAATTCGAAGTAGAGGTCGAAACTTTGGGAAAGATTAGACACAAGAATATTGTTAGATTATGGTGTTGTTGTAATAATGGGGATTGCAAGCTTCTTGTTTATGAGTATATGCCTAATGGAAGCTTAGGTGATTTGTTGCATAGTAGCAAGAGTGGCTTGTTGGATTGGCCGACAAGGTATAAAATAGCTTTAGATGCAGCAGAAGGTTTATCTTACTTGCATCATGATTGTGTTCCTCCAATTGTTCATCGAGATGTGAAATCGAACAACATATTGTTAGATGGAGAGTTTGGTGCTCGAGTTGCAGATTTCGGTGTTGCTAAAGTTGTTCAAGGAGTTCATAAGGGGACAGAATCCATGTCTGTAATTGCTGGTTCTTATGGCTATATTGCTCCAGGTATATATCACTTACATTCAATTGACATTACCAATTTCATTTGTTTTTTCAGTAGTAATGTTCATTCCTATGTTCATATTATCATTCTAATTATATTGATCTTAATCTGATGCAGAATATGCATATACTCTCAGAGTGAACGAGAAGAGTGACATCTACAGTTTCGGAGTAGTCCTGTTAGAGTTGGTAACAGGCAAACGGCCTATAGATCCAGAGTTCGGGGAGAAAGATTTGGTTAAATGGGTTTATGCCACCTTAGACCAAAAAGGAGTGGATCATATAATTGATTCCAAGCTTGATTTTTGTTTCAAGAATGAAATTTGCAGGGTTCTTGATGTTGGTCTCCGGTGCACAAACTCACTTCCCATTAGTCGTCCATCGATGCGAAGGGTAGTGAAAATGCTGCAAGAGTCCGGTGTAGGAAACAAACCAAAATCCAATAAGAAGGATGGGAAGCTATCTCCATATTACAATGAAGAAGCTAGTGATGAAGTGTAGTTAAAGAGTTTAGTTGAGAGTAGTAAAGAGAGTTGATAGAGAATTTTTATTATGTCTTAGTGTTTGATTTCATAGGGCAAAGGGAATATGATTGGTACAATGACATTAAATAGACAGATAGCTAGGTCTCCCACATCCCTCTCTTTGAAAAGTATAAAGACTATATATTAGGACATGAAAGAATCGTTAATCGCCTTCCTCTTCAGTTAGGTAATTGTGACATGCAAATATAAGACTTGTCTAGAAAATGAATCACATATATTATTTCCATTTAGCAATAGCTATTATACAAATTGTATCCAATTGTCTCATTTGTGATTTATCTATATGTGTCTTCTCTTAATCAGCCTGATAAGACTTAGAACTAGTAACCTTATAATTCTGAAACCAATTTCATCGTTATTACTAAATGAAAACTATCAGCACGTGCGATTGGATTAGGAAAAATGAATTGTATTTTCAAGTACTACTTTACATGCAAAGTCAGGATTCAAAATCTAGAGGCACTGCCATTAAAAGAGTTTTAGGTGATTATCATTCTTAGCACACTCAAACACTTATGCTATATTCTATACTTTTCTGTTTTTGACCATTAGCTTTAGAGGTGAGCAATTCCCGATTTCTAACCGAGAATCGAATTAAACTTATTCATTTCGGTCGGATTCAGATAATTATTTTAGAAATTCGGTTATTGTTTGATTTGAATATATAAAACCATTCGGTTTTCAATTTTTTGTTCGATTATCATATATATAAGTATTGAAATTATTTTTAAGTCTAAAATAATTCATTTGGTTTAAAATAATCGAACTTAAATTGAACCAAACGGATTTAATTCAATTTGAATCGGTTATTATACCATTTAGTTTTGGATTTAGATATTATAAAAATATATTCTGATAAACTGAAACTGAGCTAATTCAGTTTGGTTAACCGGATGCTGATCCCTAATTAGCTTACTGAAATGATAAGTAGAAGAAAGATTCCAACTGGCAAGACACCTTTGGTAATTTAATGGAGGTAGGTGTATGGAAGTGCTTGTCGTCCTTGGCCGTCCCCATTTAATGGAAATATTGAATTTGAGTAAGAGCTTGAGGGGCCAATGCTCTCGCATTTATCAGGAAAATGATAATTTGGCCTGATAAAGTTGACTAGAGAAGTTTTTCAATACTCAAATTCATAAATTTGATTGAAACTGTTTGAGGTTGATCTTTGAGTTTTTTAAGTAGTGATTTTTATATATTTAAAATTTTTAAATGAAAATAAAAAATTAAAATTTAGATTCTAATATTTCATATAATGATTTATTTAGATTTGGTCTATGAATTTTTTTTTTTTTTAAACAAGAATATTTTTTATCTCATTGTATAAAAATATAATGGGCTAATAGAAAAATAAAGTAAAATGGGCCAAATTTTGGATACCAGCCCTTTAATAGAGGGCTTTTAGTTCATATGGGTTTAGCGTGGGCATTTGGACAAACATTTCTGCCACGTCGCAGATTGCATGGAAATGGAAATAAAAAAAAAAAAAAAAATCCAAGGATTTAATGTCAAGATTTCTTGAATCGGTATATACCATTTAGTTTTGCGATTTAGATATATACAAAATATATTCTGATCAAACTGAAACTGCCAGCTATTCAGTTCTTTGGTTAACCCCGGCATGCTGATTCCCTACATTCTAGCATTACCTGACAATGATACAGCTAGGACAGAAAGCATTCCAACTGCGCAAGACACCTTTTCGGTTAAATGATTAAATGGCAACCGCGTAGGTGTATGGGAAGTGCTTGTTCGTCCCTGCGGCCGTCCCCCATTTAATGGACAATCATTGAACTTGCCAGAAGAGCTTGAAGGCGGCCCAATTGGCTCTCGCATTTACTTCACGGCGAAATTGATAATTCGGCCTGCATAAAGTTGACTAGAGAAGTTTTTCGACATTACTCAAATTCATAAATTTTGACTTGAAACTGGCTTTGCAGGTTATTCTTTTGGCAGTTTTTTTTAAGTAGTGGATTTTATTATATTTACAAATTTTAAATGAAAATAAAAAAATTTAAAAAATTTAGATTCCTAATATTTCAATACCATGATTTATTTAGCATTGCGTCTACTGAATTTCTCTTTTTCTTTTTTTTTTAAACAAGAAATCATTTTTCTATCTCAATTGTTATAAAAAACTATAATTGGCGCCTAAATAGAAAAATTAAAGCTTAAAAATAGGGCCAAAATTCGTGGATACCAGCCCCCTTTACATAGAGGCGCTTTAGTTCATATGGGTTTTTTAGCCGTGCATTTGCACAAACATTTCGCCACGGTCGCAGAACTTGCATGGAAATGGAAATTACAAAAAAAAAAAAAAAAACATCCATTCAACTTTTCTTCACAACTCTATTTTGCACCTTAATTGGCAGCCGGTACATTCGAATAAAATGGTCAAATCTTATATAAAAAAAAAAAAAAAAAAAAATCCATTTCAACTTTTTTCACAATCTATTTGACTTAATTGGGTAATTCGATAAAATGTCAAATTTTATATTATGGAATTAAAATTTATTGATAACTGCTACCTCTTAATTAATTTACCACTGATGATTAGTTACTAATAAGCATAATTTCATACCTGCAACGTACGTACCTTGATGCTGGGACTAAGTATATTCAAAGAGGAAATGAAGGAATTTACTGTCTCTCTCTCTCTCTCTCTGTCTCTTTCCTGTAAAGTTTACAGGCGGACAATGATATAACATAGGAGCATGCCTCTCTTAACATAGACAATTTTAATTATACATCATTCAAAAAAAAAAATTCCTGAAGGAAAAAGAGGAAATATAATTATTGGCAAAAAAGATAAAAAAAAAAGGGAAAAAAGAGTGGTAAAGAAGAATAAAACCTTGTGCACTGGGTCCTACACAAATTCCCATGGCACTCTAATCCATATGAAACACGTTGTTACAGAGAAGAGTATATGTAGAAATACGAATAGAAGATTTTTAAGGACTCGTTTGGCCGGGATAAGTGAAGAGAGAAAGTTGAAGTTTTTAGGAAATACAGATTTTGACCATGTTTAGTTGGGACAAACTGTGTAATTTTCGGAAATTTAAAAATACAACTTCTTTAAAAATACAGATTTTATTTTATTTGTAATTATAATATTAACCAAATAAATAATATTATAATAATATTTTATACAATAAGCTAGTAGATAGTATAAAACGTATTTTATTAAATTTTTTTTCAATGAAATATTTTAGGTTATTAAATTTTTTTCAACGTAATATTTCAATTAAATTTTTTTCAATAAAATATTTCAATTATTATAAATATGTTAGGGGTATTTTTGTCTTTTATAATCTCATATTTCATTAATCCAGTTTTACTTCTTGGAAATTTAATATATCAATTAAATACCATCGCACTCTACTTTCCGAAAACTCTACTTCTCGAAAAGGCAGCTTTTTAAAAAATAAATCGATTTAAACTAAACGAGGCCTAAAAGCCTAAAAAAGAAGATAGTTGATGAAAGTTTGTTCAAATTTTTCACATCCGGCGTTCAAAAATACTGTAAGTACTTAACCATTAAACCATTAAGTTTTAAAAAATAAAAATAAATAAAATACTCAATCATTAACATTATGTTTATAATATATATATATACACATATGAACGTTTCATTAGTAGATTAAATTATTTTCGTGCAACTTAATTACTCACTTTTATTAAATTTAAAATTATAGAAAATAGTCATAATTAATTAATTTATTTAGTTTTTCCAAGAGTGAATCGCAACATTTAACCTGTAATTGTATACACATATAGGTTAGGCTATTCTATTATAGTTAGCAAGATAAAGTTTATAATTTGAGTTAATGATTTAGGAATAGTTTGTTTAGGTTGAATTCTGAATACTAAATCTAAATTAAAAACCTTATTGATGGAATAACTAAGAATTAATATTAAGGCTGATTACTGAAAAAATAGTATATAGTGTTATTTCATAATTGCTGGGGAGAGTTTCATTATTTTATCTAATAAACTGTAGAGCTTATTGAATTTTTTTTCGTGTAAACTACCGGTGTCCGAACCCTATTACTATGGACCAACTAAATCCGGTTCGAGGCTTAGCCTCTGGAAGGTGTGTTTAGTGGGATCAAATCTAAAATCTTTCTCATTCAATTGCCTAGCATGCGTTCCAATTGAGTCATAATCTGTAAGTTTATTGAATTATTTCTAAATATAAGCTTTCTCATTCAATTGCGAAATTTCAAATGATTCGGCTTATAAATTTTGATAATCAACTTATTAATTGATTTAGCTTACACAAATAAATTTATTTAATTATTGTATGAAAGAAGAAGGTAAAAATTTAATAAACTGTCAATAAAACAAAGTAAACCATCCTTAATCTAGTAGTAAGATGGAGCTATTGATGTAGAAAATCTCCATCTAAATAAAATAAATCCGTAATATGCCGATTAATTATATAATTTGGTAGCTGTAGTTATCAATTTTTAAGTTAAAAAAAAAAAAAATTTAGAAAGAGAGAGGGTGTCAATTTACTGTGAGAGATGGGTTTCTTGCGATGCATGAAAAGTCTGCGTGAAGAAATAGAATTATGGTTGGTTGATAATATTATTTGGCCATTTTATCTTCATTTATTATTATTTTTTTTCTTTTTCAATTCAAGAATTCATATACATATATATAGCTTTGTACACACTCTAGGTTGACATTGGACCTGAAACAAATCTCTCTCTCTCTCTCTCTAATGTGGTGAAACAGTTCTGTAGAGAGTAACAGATTGCCCCATCTTCACTCAATCCTGATTAAATCTTTGATTATTATTATTATTTTTGTTTCAAAATTAATTAATTACAAATTTGTTTCAAGAAAACATAAGCTGCCTTTAGACAGAGTAAAAAAGACCCGAAAACTACATTTATTCTCCAACAAGTTTTCACACATATGCATATACACAATCACAACCAAACTTAAAATCCAAGCAACCCTAATTAAAAAAAAAAAAATCATGTAATTTCCCTTTCTTTTAATTAATTAACCATGCTCTATGTTTATATATATATATATATATATAAATTAATTATCACCTTATTTTTGATTTTTTAGGTAGCTCTCTTCCTCCCTCTTTTTCTTGGGAAAGGACAAAGAGGGCAGAGAAAGTTGAAGTGTTTCTAAGTCATGCAAAAGACTAAAAAGTGAGGAAGAATTGAATTCCTTCCCTACCCTCAAGAAGAGATTAATGGCTTCTTGAAGGGGAGAAAGAGAGAGAACATGCTTTAGAAGAGACAAATTGCTTTTCTATTCTTTCTTTTCTTTCTCTTCTTCTCTCACTTATCACTTATTTCTTTCTTTCTTTCTTTGGAGAGAGGAGAGCAAGAAAGAAAGATTATATTTACAGTGGGATGGGCATAAGAGGAAACAGAGGAAATGACTTGGTGTAATGACTGTAATGATGTTCAAACCATTGACAGAAGCTCTCCTACTTCTTCCAATAATAACAATAATAATAATAATGCAAGTGTTCTTGCTCAAAGACACAAAGAAACCCTAATTAGATGCTGCCCGTCTTGTGGTCATCAGATCAAATGCCATGATCAGGTTCTTGTATTCATTTTTCTTGTTCTAATATTATTATGATCATATATTATAATCTTTTTTCTTTCTTCCTTTTTCTTGTTAACTATGTTCGACTGTTGCTTTAATTCGTCTCATTTTCTTATGTGCACATATATAGATATATATATAAATATATTTCATGTGTATGTATAGGCGAGAATCCATGATCTGCCAGGGTTACCAGCTGGAGTGAAGTTTGATCCGACGGATCAAGAGCTGCTTGAGCATTTGGAAGGAAAGGTGAAGTCTGATGCTCATAAACTTCATCCTCTGATTGACGAGTTTATCCCTACAATTGAAGGAGAGAATGGAATTTGCTATACTCACCCAGAAAAGTTACCAGGTCCAATGTTTGGTTTCTAGTATAATCTTTCTATATTTCATTTACTTCTTGTTTTTTTATAGTTACATTAATTTAGATCTGCAACTTTTTTTACCACTTTCTTGAACGTTTGCATGCAAACATAAGGGTCCAGTTATTATTAAGTTGATTATTGCTAATTACACTAAAACCCATGCATACATACAAACATAACCTTCTGATCTTTGAAAAATTAGGTTAATTATTAGGTAAATATCCAAGATCATTCTTAGTCATGGCCTTATGGGGAAGATATCGGATATATGTATGTACAATTGTACATATATACATGTATGGATTCCTCCAATGGCAAAGTTTTTTTTTTTTCTTTTTTGCCTTTTAATTGATATGAAAATGTATATACCAATGAGTTTTAGTTTAACAATATATGATTAATCTCAGGGTGTAAGGCTGGCAATTAATTGATTTATTGAATTCAAATTAAACTAAATTTTTAAAAAATGAAATTAAAGAAAATATATATATGTGAAACATTCTTGATCTAGAATAGTAGTTAACCTATCTTCTCACTTAGAAGAAACCCACCAGCTAACTTTGGTAATTGGTATATACATAGGATTTGCCATTATACTTGAATAGAAGAAACCCATTAATACCTAGCTAGAAATGACAAAACCCTCCAACTAACCTTAATACACAATTCTTACAAGCATTACTTTTCCAATATGTATCTAATGGAAATGAAACAATTGTATTAATTCCATAATTTCCTTAAACTTGCAATAATCTACATGCCTAGCTTACGAACATGGAGATTAAAATCTTCTATAGGACTAATTTTATTACCTTATTGTTACTATACGCAGGAGTTAGCAAAGATGGTCTTATTCGCCATTTCTTTCACCGACCTTCAAAAGCATATACAACAGGAACAAGAAAAAGAAGAAAGGTTCACACAGACACAGAAGGTGGAGAGACAAGATGGCATAAAACAGGCAAGACTAGACCAGTTTTTGTTGGTGGAAAGGTGAAAGGGTATAAAAAGATTCTAGTTCTTTACACTAACTATGGCAAGCAAAGAAAGCCTGAAAAGACCAATTGGGTAATGCACCAATACCATCTTGGCAACAATGAAGAAGAGAAAGATGGTGAGCTTGTTGTTTCAAAAGTTTTCTACCAAACACAGCCTAGACAATGTGGTTCAGTCTTGAATAAAGACTCTCTCTCTTCAAAATTAAAAGGATTACAGAGTGGGCATGAAGGGAGTAATAATAGTCTCAAGAATTCAAATCTTGTTGAGTATTATAGTCCTTCTTTTATATCCTTTGATCAAGGTAGCCAAACCAGAGCAAACCCTCCTCATCAATTGCTTCCTCATTTTGCAGTTCATGATGGATCTTCTTTTATCCCTTGAAAAATAATAAAAAAAAGCACTGAAAAAACGAGGGATTATAAGAAGATTATGCATGGAAAGATACTTGCATGCAATGGAGAAATAAATTACTATTATATATGTGATATTCTGAATTAGGGTTAAAAGGAAGATGAAAAGAATAAGGTTTCTTTAGCTTAAGACTTCTAGGAGCCACATTCTTCAGGGTTAAATTTGAAGATTTTGGCTAGTTTATTATAACTTTTTTTTTTCTTTTTTATATGTAATGCATATATATTTGCATTCTTTGTACAGTGTGAGGAAGAGCTTAAGGTGTAAATTTCACATGGGTCATGAACCTTTTTCTTTGAGAGACAATCTTAACTTTGGAAACTGTACAAAGAGGATTCTTACCTTAAATATTCTAACAGGTTATACTTCATTCCTGCATTTTAATTTCTTTTTCAACTTTATAATGATTGTGTGATGATGAATTTTTAACTTTGCATATGATGTAATAATTTCACCTGTTATTCTTTTAATTCTTTTTGATTTATTGTAACTAAATTCCATTTGTTCTTTCAAAATTTTCCTTAGCCACTTAAAAATTTCACTTTATTCATCCAATTGATTGTGTTGGTGAATTCTTTTTATTATTTACACATCAGATATTAATTTTTTTTTTCTTTTATTTTAGATGAGTAATAATCATCAAGTTTGCAGATAAAATTTCAGGTAAATCATTTTCAATAACAATGATTTCAGATTTCAAATTTTTAACTTAGCAGATAAAATTCTTCCAAAACACATTTAAGAATTCAAGTAAAATTTTCAGGTTCTATATTTAAAAAACCAGTCCTACCTTCATTCTTACAATGCATATCACAAATCATATTATAAGATGCAATAAAATAAAATAAAAATGTAACGCTTTTTTGTATTAAGAAATTAATATTGTTCTGATAAAAAAAAAAGAAATTAATATTTGAAATATTACTTCAAAAAAATTTCCACAGGTTCATATTTAAAATATTAGTTTTCAAATGTATACTCAAAGAATTGTTAAATTAAATAAGACTTCAAAATTAAAGGGTAACTACATAATATTTATTTATGTATTTGTTTTACGGTTTGATTCACACTCTTAAACATTAAAAGTCAAACCATCACAAGCAAAAAATTTTTGTTTTCAAAACGACACTAAACCGTACCAAATTGGTCTGGTTTGGTTTGACGGTTTTAACTGAATAATGCACAGCAATATAACTTTGCTTATGAAGATTACATACACAAAGCATCTAGATTTCCCCCCTCCGACAAGATTACAGTGCCAATAGATTTCACTGAACCACTTGTAATATACACCTAAAAGTAATGTTCACATGCATATGCATATGCCTGAAGCTTCTGCCAACAATATGCTAACAATATATTCATCTAGGCGCCCGTGAAATATTCTCTTTTAGTCAAAAAGTCATAAACTCAGAATTCCAACTTGAAGATTTTACAACTTCAGTATCAGTTTTTTGTAAAGAGCAAGGACGTCTTTCTTCTTGGGATACCTCAGCTTTTGCAATTCATCACCAAAACCGTGTTCAATAAGTTCTTGCCGCAGTTTCGCTACGGTTAATTTGGTGCAGCTAGCTGAAGCAGCCTTTAGATATTCACTATCTTCTTCATTTGCCTTGAAAACGGATTCAGCTTCTGTTGCCGTGCATTTTTGCAGGGCCAAAGCGCTTCTGGACTTTTTAGTTCCGCTGGCTATTTCTTCATTAAAACTCACGTCAGGAGTATCTAGCCTCGAGCGTTTCCTACCAGAGTAAGTTTTCAGCCCAGAATCCATAGCAGAATCAATTGAATCATCAGGAGTTAAATCTTGCTGTAAATTTAGTCTTTCCTGCATTAAATCTAGCTGCAAGGAAGGTTGTTTCTCTATTCTGTTTGCCTCTGCCTGCACTACATGCCTAGAGTCCAATCTACCCTCAAGGATTTGAACTGAGGTTACATATTGCTCAGACTTCTTTTTCAATAACTCTATCTCTTGATCTCTTTCTCTGACCATTGCTTCTAATAAAGCGACCTTAGACATGGCATAACCCTCTGACGCAGTTGACCTCTCAACTTCACCTGCAAGATCCATCTTTGATCTTTCCAAGATCTCAATATGACTGTCTGCACTTTTTGTCAGGGCAAGTCTATCAATCGTGAACTTCTCGTTTTGAATACTTACAACTTCTGATTGTTCTGTTTCAGTGAACTCGTTTGCCACTTTAACTTCCTCTTCTGCAACTTTGCACTTTTTTTCTGCTTCTTCAAATCTTTTTAACTCGGACAGGTACTTCTTTTCCAGTTGGGTTCTGTCCTCCATCAATGTCTGAGCTTCTCTCTCCATCGATTGAGCAGAAGATTTGACAAACTCATATTTTTCAGACAACTCTTTCATTTGAAGCTTTAAGTCAGATAATTCTAACTTATAATTTCCAATCTTAGTTTCAGCAGCCTAAATGCATAGATAAAGCACAAAAAAGTAATATTTGTAAGCTTCTTGAAACTGGAGGCTACCATATGCTGCTGGTCAACACATGAAAGAAGTTGAAATATGCTAACCTTCAAGTCCAAAGTCAAAGTAGTTAATCTTTGATCAGCCTCTTCAAGCTTAGCTACCTTGTTCTTGATTTCCTCTTCCTGCCATTAGAAAACTCCAAGAAGTACCTTAAAGCATTATCTAAGCATATATAATATGTGCGTGGAAATGTAATTAATATACTAATGGTCATCATGCCGAAATTTCTTGGAAAAATTATTATAAATGTGAATTTAAGAACTTTTAAGTATCCAAATATGTCCCTTCTGATATTCAAAACGGTTCTATATTCTCCTCAAACTACACACCTAGTTTCTTACTGTTTTTCCAGGTAAATGGCTCTCTCACCCCTGCCTCATTTGGCCTCTTTTCTCTTCCCCTCCCTTTCATTCAAATACTTCTTCTCTCTAACCTTTTATTTTCAACTTTAACAACAACATATGAGATTAGACATTTTACTGCCAAACACGAGAGCTCATGTGCAAAGCCTACAGTGCTAGAATGCAACCTGTACAATCTCATACAAATTAAGTAACAGAATGGTTATTTATATCTTTTTTTCTCCTTAATTATATTTTTATGCTAAGTCAAGAAAGGGAACGAATTTCCTTTGTACATTTATTCACACTAATTATGCATACAATGTCCAAAGTCTAGGCCCATAGGTCCAATTAAAATCTTATCTCTCTTATTTTTGTTCCTTGTTTTGGTATAATACGTAGAAATTTGAACAATATATTGTAGGAAATCACAATTTTCACAACCAGAATGGATTGGGAAGCAACAGTCTTTTTCTTAATTTGCTGCACTGTGTTGTGCTCCCAAGCATTCAAGCTGTGAATTTAGCCTCGTCTACTGAATTATCTATATTGAAATATATGTAAGTATAGAGTAGAGATGTATGTACACAACCTTTTCAGCCAGAATTTTGATGAATCTGGCTCTCAGATCTTCTTGTCTAAGCATTGCCTCTTGAGCTGCCTTCTCCATTGCAGCCTTGGCTTCATTAAAAGCAACATCGTACTTCTCTTTCCATTCATCTGCCTCTTTCCAAGCCAGCCTAGATTCTTTAGCAGCTTCAGATATCCCAGACTTGCAAACTGCCATTTTGTCAATATCCCGAAGATTAACAGCTGTTCTTTCCTCAGTCAATGTGTCTTCATATTTTCTTTCCCACTCAAAAGATGCCTGCTTCGCAGAATCCAACATTTCGAGTGAACCAGAAAATCGCTCCTCCAATAGACTGCATTTGCTCTCCAGATCCATTATGCGGCTCTTATACTGATCAGAGAGCTTCTGGAAGTCAATTATCGCATTTTCATAACACTTTTGACATTCTGCTTTTAACTTCTCATTTGCTTGAAGCTGCTTATGAAGCAATTCGATCTTATCTTCTAGGGATTGACATTTCAACATGAGGGAGCTATTTTCTGACGAGACCTCATCTATCAGCTTCTTAGCATGGTGGATTATTGGGCCTTGCAAACTAAATACAACAGCTTTAGATGAAAGTTAAGGCACGTGATAATATTATGTAGGTAGATTCATTGGTTAGGACAGCCTTCTATGACAAAAATAAACTACATTGCTTCAAAAGATCTTCATAACAATAAACTAGATAGGTTAAAAATATGAAATATAAAAGATCACTTTCTTGACAATAAACTCATTTGACTAGGCAGCTCAAATCATGAAGCAAAAACATTGGTGAATAATAAAATATGCTTTTTGATGAATATTACCGACACTGATCTTGGTATAGTAGTTATGAAACTCCCACCACATAACACAGAAGCATTAATCATGCAGCAACCCACAATATGGGCAATCTGGCTTCTCAACAGAGTGAAAAAACCAGACTGTAAAGTGGAGTAAAATTTGTAAGGAATCAACAAACACAAACCTCTTCTGTAAAAAGAAAGACAGCTTCTGCCATTTCATAGGACCATGAACGGATGTGTCATACTCAGATACAAGACTTCCAAGAACCTGAGTAATATCGTTGTTAACTCATCACAAATTATTACAAATAGACAAATGGCATACTTATAAATGACTGCAGCTCTCTGATACTAACATATAAAATTAAGAATTCATCAAACAGAAATAAACCACTTCACTGATAGATAAGTAAAATAAAAAAATGTGAAAGGGTTTACCATAGCAACATTTTCAATCCTCGCATCAGCAACTAGACAAGCTCCTTGCAATTTATTTTCCATGAGTTGTATAGCATTTGAACATTGTAAATCTGCCTCCATAAATGCAGCTTTACTGTACTGCTCCACCGGCAGCACAAAAAAAAAAAAAAAAAAAAATACAAATAGACAAAATGGCATACTTAAAAATGACATTGCAGCTCTCTGATTACTAACAAAATATTAAAATTAAGAATTCATTCAAACAGAAATTAAAACACTTCCAAACTGATAGATACAGTTAAAATAAAAAAATGTGGAAAGGGTTTACCCATAGCAAACATTTTCAATTTCCCCTTTCGGGGCCATCAGCAACTAGACAAGCTCCTTGCATTTATTTTCCATGAGTTGATAGCATTTGAACATGTAATTCTGCCTCCTAAATGCAGCTGTTACTTGTTACTGCTCCACCGGCAGCACAAAAAAAAAAAAAAAAAAAAGCCAATTAGCAGTAAAATACAAGGTAAGCAATTGGCTTTTAGTTATTATAGTATGATCTTGGATGTCGCTTTCCCATAAAATAAGCATAACTTACTTGAGTTTACTTCAAGTATGATTTTGCTAAACAACATAATTTTAACTGGCAGAAGGATTAAACTACAAACGCTTTTGGTAATTTTGAGTTCGGATGAATAAAATTAACAAAAAAAAAAAGGATAGAGAAAACAGGGAAAGAACATATCAAAAAGGAGAGAACGAAAATATTCAGTGCAATGTTGCACCAAATCTAAATAACTTATGAATAAACAAAAGAGAAAAAAAAAAAAAAAGGATAGAGAAAACAGGGAAAGAACATATCAAAAAGGAGAACGAATATTCAGGGCAATGTGCACCAAATCCTAAATACTTATGAATAACAAAAGAGTAGAAGATATGGAAACAGAAAATTAAAAGTCATAATCAAACACTAACCTGCCATGAGGAAGATACTGTGGAAGTTGCACCATTATTAAGAGCATCCAGGAAAGATTTTGTGATACCAGCAAGAAAAGGTCCTGTCATGACAGTACTTCCGACTTGCTTAGGCCTAGTTCTTTCACAAACAAACTTTGTAAATGCATCAAGCCCAGACAGAAATTCAGGCCGAAATTTGTCTAACTGGACAAAACTTACAAATTGTTACAACAGAAAGAAGAGGAATGATAAGTTGTTGCCTAGGCTGGAATGTGACAACTGACGAAAAGAATTACTTACAGAAACTTGATCAAGATGCTGTAGTTCATTTTCGTCGTTCAGAGGACGAACAAGAGCAAAGCACTCTCGATTTGGAAAAAAAGCTCGAATGGACTCACGAATCTGGTATCATCACACAAGCAAGTCAAGACAGGCATACAGAACCTAAAACTAAAAGAATACTCAACTCCACTGATCTTAGAAATGAAAATCAGCAATCTGCAACACTCAGACAGTGAAATAGTAAATCTCTGAGAAGTATATTTGGTTTTTTCCAAACTATGATATATGTGAGTGAAACACTGAAAAAAATATTGGTGCCAGGATTTGTTTCTTTGCAAATATGAGCTAAGGTCAATGTGGAACAAGTAGATCCATATATCCTTCCTGCTCTACAGTCAACATTTACATAAGGGGAAAGCTTGACAATGAAGAATCTCATGTGAGCACCAATAAGGGAATAACACTCAAAACCATTCTTCTCCTTTTCCTTTTGACTATGAAAGAATTTTTAACTTCTAATCTCACAAACAAAACCAAAATACAGGTAGACTATATTACAACCAAGATACAATTGATCTCAAATGAAGACATGCTCATAGACCAGAATAAATAATGAAGAAAAAATGCAATAAGAGCATCACTATGACTTTTACTCTGAATCTCTGACTATGCCAAAACTAATGAAAATGAAAATGAATGGTACAAATTAGCTACAAAAGGCTAACCAAAACCAAGCTGGATAAAAGATGTTAAGAAAATGGTTAAACTACTCCTTTAATAAAATTATTATGAGTATATAAGGAAAAGAAAACACTAACAAAAGCGTTAACCACTAGTTGATGACCAAATACGAACTACCACCATGGACTATGGTTCAGTTGGCAAGTAACTTAAGCTGCTCAATGGTAGCTATTAGCACATTATCTATCAGTGACTAACTATTCTTTTCTACAACTTTGTTTTAGCCTACAAGTAATATTATAGTTGATTGGCTTTGATCCAAAACGCCTCTTTAGTGCTATTAGCACCTATGACCATATCACTTTGGTGATTACCTTGAACCTACTGCTATATTTTCAAGATATCTTTCAATACATACCTGATTTTTAGCAGCAATATCCTTTCCATCACCCATCACTGGTCTCAAGGAGACTTCCAGATAATCACGTGGTGTTATTTTTGCATTCTTCTCCTTCAAGTCCAAGTAAAAGTCCTGACAGTAACAAAGAAAAAGGTGAATTGATGTGAATAATAAGGCTACCAGGCTCAGAATGAATTGATTTCCAGATAATGCATACAGTACAATATGATAATGATGTAAAACTAATCACCCTTAAAAGCAACGTGAAGACTGGGGAGAATTCTCCAAGCTCAGAAACCGAGTCATTTTCTTTGGAGGCTCTACCATGAATATGCTTAGTCATTTCAGTGATAAGAGAGAGATGATCAAGTGCAGCTTCGTCAATAAGACCTACCTGAAAAAGAGAAAGCAAAATTGTATGGGATGTCATAGAATTGGGAATACATGGCATCAAAGTCACTGTTAAGGTGCACAGATATATACTGTAAGATATATACTGACCTGGTTGTAGACAAACAAGCTCGACAATAGGACTGCCAATGAGAATATCTGGGTGCTGTACATTCCCTGTTGGATGGTAACAGTCAGAAAAATTGAAATTATTATGCATAACAATATATATATATATATTTAATGACATGCCTTTCCTCATATTCGTTTATTTTCAACAGAAATAAGTGGTTAATCTTCTTTCTCCCAGTCCATCCATTGATGTAATGTATGTTGAAAAACGAATAAACCTGAGTCTATCTTTATTACTCACCAAAGAAATCTTTTTCACATAGCATGATATAATCTTTAGTCGATTTAAATATTAACAAAAAGTCAAATCAATATTAACAGGTTTCTGCGATAATGTAAAATCAGAAGACAAAGAAAAACTTCACCGTTTGATCATGAGCATTGGTTCCTCCGCTGTCTAATAGTAAGAGACTGTATTCTGTTCCATCCAATGTGGTTCTCTTCAATGGTGTATTCCATATCCAAAGCCCCTTAGTGCATGGTTGGTGGGTTGGCAGAACTTGAAATCCAGTGCTCCTACCATGAAGCTATTGTATGTTCGCACGATAATCATATTTGAGTTCAATTTCAGGCAATACATTTGAAAGAAATATGCAGAAAGTAAACTGGGTTCCAAATGAGCGAGTTATTTGGCACAGCCTAGACTTGCTAATGCTACAAAAATGCAGCAGTTATTTCGGTTAGAACCCATACTTCAACGAGCAAAAGTTTCAAACACAACTCAAAATAATAACACAAACAGAAAACCCAAGAATGACGTAGAGTGAAAAAGACAACAGAGAAGACAGAAAAAGACAAGTATTAATCACAGTCAACCTTCACTAACATCTTTCATTTCCATCGCCCAGGGTTCTTCCGTACCCAAGCAAATCCTTAATTGATACTAAAAATGCCAAAAACGTAACTTTTACTTGTTTCTTCCAAATCTGAGGAAGCATATGGATAAAAGAAGGGGTTTTGCAGATGAAACTCAGTTTCAAGCATTGCAATTCCTGTCCCTTGTACTCCACAAGCAGTAAACAAAGTCTAAGCTCACAAATAGATACAAATGTGCAATATTACCAATCAACAAAAACATGCAAAAGAGGATCTGAAGAGAGAAAATGCCACATGATGCACAATACTAACAATTCCCCAAAATAAAATTTCAGTAAGTCTCAAAATCTAAAGCACTCACAAGCACAGGGTGGAAAACAAAAGATTGAAAAGAGAAAATGATATAACACCTGCAACCAACAATTTTCAAAACCATATAAAAGGCTCCAAATAATACAAACAATCCAAAAAAATTAACAAGCAAACACCCAAAAAAGGCAAGTTGCGATTTTTCACTTTTTTTTTTCACAAATAAGAAGCTAAAAAAAAGATTGATCAAGCTAAATATTAAAGAATGAGTTAGAATTACCTGGTTCAAAATAAAGCTTTTACCCTGACGGGCAGGGCCACACACTGATACAACGGCAACAGGTCCTTTAATTTGATCGAGAACATGAATAGCATCTGGGTCAAGCTTAAGCTTGCCATTATCATCAGAGTAAATGAATCGTATGGGCTTCTCTGAATTGCCATCGTCGAAATTCTTCGCTTTTTTTGAGGTAGGAGGAGGAGAGGAAGAGGAAGAGATGACAGTGTTCAACACCGCATTGTCCATCGCTGGATTACTGTCTTAGTTGTGATCATTGTTGCTTATATACATATACAAATAAAATTAATTTCCAATTTAATTTTATTTAATCAAATTAGGACACAAATCATTATTATGTCTCTAATTTCTTATTTAATAATTAATTATACTTAAAATGTAAAATTTATACTACATCACCATAAATTCATCCAATGAAATTGGTAGATGGAATAAAATTTAAAATTATAATACAATTAAGAAATTAGATCATTAATCTTTATTTTGATTTAACATTTCCATAATGAACAATTCAATTATATTATAGGAAAAAGAATCAATTCCAAATGAGTATTTTAGTCAACTTTTTGCTATTATATGATTAAATTTCCATGAATAATACTAAATATTAATTATTTTATTTCAACTCTAATTAGTTAATTACTCTGTAATTTCATTTATTTTCTTCATTCATATTGAAAAGTTAAAAAATGTCAAAATTATCGGAATAAGAGTTGAATTAACAATTAAATTTTTGGGCATTGGAAAAAGGTTCAAACTTTATAATTTCCAATGCAAATACATATGTAAGAAGAACTTTTATGATGGGTCTGTTTGGAGTGAAAATTGAATCATCATCTCAATCTTCACCCATGAGAAAATTCCAAAAATGTACTTGCGCCTGCAGGATACAAAATCGTCTATAAAAGAGGGTTCAAGCTCCTTGTCTATATACAAAATAGGCGGACTTGGTTCTTCCTAAAGCACCAAAACAAAATGAACTCCCACTTCCATCAATCCCAAACCCTAAGCCACCACCCTACTAAAGCCAGCAAGAAAAGGCTCGCCAGAGACCAAATTCAGATCTTGGAATCAAACTTCTATCCCAACCAGAAGCTCAATGCAGACCTCAAGCTTGACCTTGCCTACCAACTAGGACTTCCTCCGATACAAGTTGCAATCTGGTATCAGAACAGAAGAGCAAGGCACAAAATGGAAGCCAAAGAGCATGAATACGAGAACATTCAAGAACAACTACGTAATGTATTAGCAGAAAAGATTAGGCTTCAGAAAGAAGTTCTCATGCTGAAGTGTGAGCTCGACAAGGCTCAAGAGATGCTAGTACTTGCATCAAACCGATCCACGACAACTCTCTTATCAGGCTCAACATCTGATGATCGTCGTGCGAACTCGCAGTCATCTGAAAACACGACTTATAGTTGGCTCGCTACCTGCAAGTTTCCAGAAGAGGAGCTATACACTTGTCTAACATTTCCTGTCAACATGCGACAGAACAATCACGGCCTCTTGGCCAAATCGGTGAACCCCAATAATGATACAAACAGTGACTTTAAACTGTAGAATTTGAAAGTTGCAGGTTAATGTTTTATTGTTAAAAGCAAGTCTTTTATATAGTTCCGTTAGCAGTTCATAGTTCAGAAGCAAACATATTGCAGTAAGGCTTTCTGAGCCAGTCAGTTATGACCTTCCTGTGTAGATAGAAGTTGCAAGAAGGCTTGTAATTTTGTAACATAAAGAATACAACCTAGAAGTTTCACTAGTTGGTAGTTTCAAGTTCCTTTGTGTCTGTATATCATAATCTTGACACTTCTAGTTCGCATACTTGTCTTCAATTTCCATTACTAGTTCTGGGACTTCACACCCTTAAGTCCAGATTTGGTAACATGCATGCACTTGACAAGTCCTCATTTTCATGGGCCTCTTCTTGGTCTTAAACAACTAACCTAGCTGTGATTGTCCATAATGCTTGGCTGTACCCAAGTCCAAATGGGTCCCACACAATATGTTTGTTCCGTCAAAAATGTGCATAGAGACATTACAAGGTTCAGTCAGTGATGCAGACGTTTCTCACGTCACTCCAAACTTGCAAGAAGTCGATGCGCGACTTGTGTAAGAACCCAACCCCCCCACCACACACGCACACATGTAAGGCAACTTGCCCAGTACAAATCAACAACAAAAATTATTTTCAGATGCTTGTAGCAAGATGAACAATTATTATGATCATTGTAAAAACTTCTAGCAGAACAGAAATTTAATTTGAGAAAACACAGGACATGTATGAACAGTTTCAAGTAAAATGTCAAGCCCAATTTAGAGCCCTAGAAAACCTCATAATCATTGAACGAACAACAATAACAAACAAGAAATCCATTGTTGAGGAAGAAAAAGGATTTACATATTCACATTTCAGATTCTTACTCATGGGCTCTTGCTAATCTTTAATCTTCCCATACAGCAAAAGATAACAGTGGAATCAAGAAAAGAGCTCTGAAGTAAAAGAAAGATAACCCAAGAGAAGGGGGGATTTGGCAAGATTAGTTGACCTTGTTGAAATGTTACCTCACTCTGCAATGAAATCATTGAATGCATGCAGGGAATGATGGCATCACTCAACAAATAGAAAAACCGATGTTTAAATATTGTTTGGCCCACAATGGTTGGCCTTATTTGCAAGATACAATTCTCCTCTTACATTAGAAGATCAAGAATCCATTGATTTGATTACAATAATAATTGAATAATTCAACCCTTATACTTCTAGGTTTTCCTATTGAGAAATAATACACTAATGGTCTAGTGCTGCAAGGCCTAACATGACCTAAGAAAAAAGCAGCTCGTCCATGTGAATCGTGCCCCCCTGATTAATATTTTTTCCTTCATAGCACAAAGATGAAGGGAGGACATTTTACCTCTGGAAAATCAACCATCTCAAAATTAAGACACTTCTATAGATACTCGAGCTTCCTGTAAGTTATGATTTTTCAGTAGTTCTAACTATTTCTCAATTCTCAAATTAAAATCTGAAACCAAATTTCTATAATTTTATGATGTTTTTGACATCCAACAAATACATGATCTAAATAGCATTCTCCAAAAATCAGAATCGACAACTCAATATTCCCACGAACACACATGGTAAAATTACAAAGCAATAACAATCATGCAGCAATTATCCACTCTATCTTGACTCTGCTCTAAACACACAAGCTTCTCTTTCTGCTATTACTACCAAAGTTTTTAAATTTACGCTAAATTTATTAATATACTTCAAATCAAGAAGAAAATTAAAAATTTTCCAGTACAACTTCAAGGTTGATCAACAATAGAAATATAATTATTTTTCAAGAACAAAACTTTTTACAATGTTCGCATATAGTTTCAAGAGTAATCAACTATAGAATCACAACAACATCAAATTCAGATGCTCGCTTCTCCAACTATAATACGTCAACAAGGAAAAGGTACAAATGGAAACAAGCACAAGAATTACCAAAATATGTATAGCTACGTCTTCTTCTTGCGAAATACATACACATCAGTCTCTTCATATGCATAATCTGGATGCAAATCCTCATGCGGAACCTTCTCGATCTCAAAAACATCTCCACAAATTTCCCAAAACTTCTTATCCGCCTCCGGCGACCTCACTTGATACCCTAACAAAATGACTCCATCATCCGCCACCAGCGCTTGCATAGCTCCTACGAGGTGCCCTACGGACTCCTCAATATAAACTACATCCGCTGCAATCACAATATCAAACGGCGGATTCAAGGCCTTGATTTGATCCTGATTGTTCCAATAGAGGATCGAGGTCTTCAACATCTTTCCTAGGACTTGTTTATTCCGCTTGAGGTTGTGCTTCAATGCTGGCATGACCGGAGCAATGTCGGTGAGGATAATATCAGAAAGACCTAGTAGGTAAAAAGCCATGCTAGCAGCTCCGCAGCCAACGCCGACCTCGATTGCGCGGCGGGGCTTGGAGTGGAAGTCGAGCAGGGCGGAATAACGGTTTGTGGTGGATGAACCGGTGATAGGTGGGGTCCAGCGTTCGGCGAATTTGGCGAGAACAAGAGAGCAGGGCCAAACGGAGGTGCCGACATGCATGGAGCCATTGTCTTGTTGGATAGAGAGAATCTTGTCTCGTATCGGAAGATCAATCGTCGGTGAGTCTGTAAATTTCATTTTCTGTTACAGTGTTGCTTTGCTAGCTCCGATTAGCGTAGGGTTTAAGAGAACAATTGATGGACTTGGGCTTGGATCCATGCCTATTGATGTAATTGGGCTTGAGACTGTGAAATTGGGCTCCAGACTTCTAGGAGCTCATTAAAAGGGCGAAGAAGCTTGTAAGAAAACTTGTGTAACAAAGTTTTGTAAGAACATGTATATTTTCTTGCCATGCCCCTCCAATTTTATTTTTATTTAATCATTGTTAATGAAATCTTTTGTACTCTGTCTTTCCATTCTCAGGCCTTAAATCTCGAGTCCCCTACTCTAATTTATTATAAAAAAAAATTATTAGCAATGGTAGAGTTTAAACTCTAGGCTAATTGTAATTTTTAAAATCATTTCAATCATCTTGCCATAATATTTGTTTATTCTTTTTTAATAAATTTATATATCATTTTGTCACATTTGGGTTGTTGGTAATCAAAAATTTCTACTACACTCCAAACAATAAAATAATTATTAACCAAATTTTAAATTAGAAAAAGTAGATAAAAAAATAATGAAGATGGATGTGAAATTTAAAGAATGTGGGTGTGGGACAGAGATTATGTCACAATACGAAGAATATGCATCATGATCATATCATCATCTCATCTACATATTTTCTTGCTTGAAAATAAGCCAGAAAATAAAACCCTTTTCAATTTTTTATTTTCTTTCCCAAAGGGTCCACCTAAAAGAATTTTGCCGGGTCTGAAAATCCCACTATGTTTTTTGGCACTAGTTCAAAAGCCTAACACCAACACATGCATGCACACAAAATGCATTATGCTTCATGGCCATATATAGGTGATCTTTTGTTTTTTTTTAAATAAATTTGTTCTACTTTGAAAATAAAAATTAAATATATGTATCAAAAGCTAAAATTTGGAGGTGAGAAAGTACTGGGCATATAAATTTTTCTGATGTGCATTCATTGCTTAACTTGTATGATACACAAAGCAAATTAAAATCCAATCAATCGTATCAATAAAAGGTTTACAAGATCAAAGAGACTGGGTAATGCAAAAGAATATAGCTCTCTTTTCTCTTTATTTCTTTTTCTTTTGATCTTTGTTGCTCTTTTTCATGTCGGAATACCATGTACTTTATTATGTTTCAATTTTTACCAATAATAAACCCTGGTTATATTTGTCTAAACATATAATAAAGTCATAGGTGGAACTAGATCTTAAGTATTAAAGAAAAAGATTAAATTTTGAATTATCATTATAACTTTTAAAAGATTTACCGTGGATTTAAATTTACAATTTTTGTTATGAATAAGCACGTTCAAGAGCAATGATCGATATTTAAAGATTGTTATTAAAAATTACATCTCTCAATTTCAAAGGCGTAAGATTATTATTATTAAAAATTACAATTTCAAAAGGTATATAATGGATCTTGAAAATTTGGGAGTTTCTATGAGAACAAAATCTTATATAAGGATGGGACAATTTTATGCATTAGCTAGGGCACACTTGTTATAATAAAATTAATTATGCAAGATATGCTCGTAAAAAAGCTATGTTAGTTTATCTTAAACAATAGGGTTGATAGTAGAATTTTATATATATGATGCTTTTTGCCCAATGCTACTGATCTCTCTCTCTTTTCCAAGTTCTTGTTCGACAAGACAACTACCACCACAGAGATGAAACAAATGCAATAATGGAGTTCAAAAGGTACTCATAATTTGCCCCCACTAGCTACTTACCTTCCCTCTTTTATCCAAAACAATAAAAAGCCACCATTTTTTAAAGGAATCAGCTTTCGGTACTCAACAGGAATATGCATGGATCTCCTCCTTCCGTCCTTCCACCTCTCTTCATGGTTATCTATGCATAAATTAACCTTTAAGCCCATTACCTTTTCCTCTCTGTAAAGTTTCCCAATTCTAAAATCTCTCCACTTTATTATAGTATATAGAATTCTAAAATTAACTAATTTCTATTAAAAAAATAATGAGTTTTTGACTCGGTGCTGTTACAAAGGTTGCAAGTTGAAATTCCAATCGAGTCAAATTAAAAATTAAAAAAAAAAAAAAAAAAGAAAAAAAAATAAAAAAAAAAAAAGTTAAAAGAATAAAAAAACATGCTACGCCTATGGAGAAATATTCTCATTTCTATATTCAATCCATGATCATTCATTGTGATGGGTGGCATAGTGGCTTGTTGTACAGGACACAAGAAATATCTCTTGTTTGGTCGGGCCTCGCTCCTGCTCTGCCGACGTACAGTGCTTTCTAAAAATTAAAAAAAAAAAAAAAAAAGTAAAAGAAATAAAAACATGCTACCCATGAGAAATATTCCTCATTTCATATCAAATCCATCCATTCATTGGTGATGGGTGGCATATGGCTTGTTGTACACCAACACCAAGAAAATCTCTTGTTTGCCCTCCTCCTCCTCCGACGACAGTGCTTTCTGGTTCATTCTGCATTACTTTTTGCCGTTTTGTTGCCGGAAACATTTGCATTTGATGATCAAGAACAAGATCAAGATCGAGATTATTAGCACCATACAATCCACAAAACTTGTTCCCTTCTTGAATTTGACCGTTACTACTGCATTTTAACCCAAAACTTCCAAGAAATGATGGGTCAGTTGAAGTTGCACCAATTTGAGCAGCTTTTTGCAGTAAAGCTGTTGCAGACATATTTGCTGCTGCAGTAGTAGTGGTTTGATGGGTTTGTTGTTGTTGGCCGCTATATAAAGAAGGAACACTTGCTAGTTGAACTGCAGCTTCGTTTAATGGAAGTGAAGTAGTGCTTGTCAGCTCTTCTTGATGAACATTATTTGAAGAAATTTGCTTATTGTTTCCAAAAATTTTTGGCCAATTTATCTGATGATACTGATCTGAGGATGAAACAAGTGGGTCTTGACCAAATATTGTTCCTGATGAAGTTAAAGACCCAAGTTGACGGTGAATTTCTTGGATACTATTATTGATTATTGCTTCATGGCCTTGAGGTCCTTGGCTTACCCATAAGGGAAGTCCTCTTCTTGTTTGATCAATTGTTTGTTGGTCATTAGAACTTGAGATTGGCTTGAAAATAGAAGAGAAATGTTGTGCCATGTTATTAGGCCCTATTGGTGCTCCCATTAGATGATAGTTGAAATTTGTTGAAGCTGCTAAGCTGTTTATGCTTGTTGCTGCATTTACTCTTGCAGTTTCTTCTGCTAAGGCATCACAAAATGCCCTATGAGTGATGAAACTATCCCTCCTGCTCAAAGAAAAGTTTAAAACATTTAAAATTATTTAATTAACAAAATTAATCAACTAATCTTAGAAATTCTTATTACTATAAGAACAAAATTAGTAGCTAGGCATACATAGGTCATAAAAGGTAAACCAAATACTCAATCTTTGTCTATGTGTAAGAAATATTTAGAAAATTTATGGAAATTAACAATATTGTCTTCTACACCTATTTCCTTGTCTTCATTATATCTCCTTTTTCTCTTTTTCTCGAGAACACAGTGAGAGAAAGAGGGAGGGCGGTGCGCAGACAAAGATATCACAACCACAAAAATCACTTTCTTGATTTCTTTCGTTGAGTTGTTCTATTGTTTCTTGAAAAGTAATGCTCTATAGCTCTATCAACTATCAAACAGACAAACGTATTACAACCACAAGAATCACTTTCATGCTTTATTTTCTAGCTCTCTACACTGTACTAATTAATTTAATTATGCTATACATCTCTAATTATCATCTTCTTTGATATTTTGGACTTTGCTAAAGAATTGGTTAAATTCTCGAAAATTAAAATCATGGGTATATATATATGTGTGTGTTCATGTATATACGTACCGCGAAAAAAGAGTTCCACAGTCACATTTATACTCTCTAGTACCACAGGTTTTGGAGTGTGCTTTCCAATCAGACTGAACAGCGTATCTCTTTGAACACTTCTCACACTTCCACTTCTTCTCACCGTGCTTTCTGCAAAAGTGCTTTTTAATGCCAGTTAAATCTCCAAGAGCCCTAGAGGGATGGTGATGGACACAAGACTTTTCAGGGCAGACGTATACGCGCTTTCTTGCTTCTTTAGTAGTCCTTTGCTTTAGCTTCCATGGCAGGTTATGACCCCGTCGATGAAGCTGCAGATTTTGATCTCTTTGAAACCCTTTTCCACATATTTCACATAAGAATCTGTTTGTAGCCATTAGAGTTTTTGGTGATAAAGCTATAACTTCTGCTTCAGGATCTGCATATATGAATAAAGAATCAGTATATCCCATTAAATTTTTAAAAAGATCTTAATAAAAATGAGTAAGTATATATAACTTTGAATATACTCATGATCATCACCATCTATAAAAGCTAGCTAGAGAGAGAAAAGAAATAGAAGAACAGAGTTATATTCAACAAATCAATTAAAAAGAAGCTACAGTTCGTAAGATTACTTCTAAATTAACAAAATAAAATAAAGAAGAACATTATAAATTAATCATAAAGCTCTAGCTAGCTTATAATTATCTTGCCTGGTGTTCCTGGAAGATTTCTTTTCTTCTTTATTGGAGGAGGAGGATTAGATCCACTAACTGGGTTTGGATTAGCAAAACCATTACTGATACTTGAGATTGCTTCTTCTGCAGACATGATCTTCTCTAAAATATATCAAAGGTTTCTAATATTTTCTTGTTCTTATTTGTTTTCTCAGTTCGCTTGGCTCAATCTTGTACAAATCAAGAAGAGAAAGAAAGAAAGTATCATCAAAGAGAGTTTATATTAATCTTTGAATTGTAATTAAGAGAAAACCTAAAAGAAAAGGAAAATAGATACTTTCTTTAGGGAGAGGGTTTCTCAACCCTAACAACATAAGCAGATATATGCAAGATGTTTGATCTCTATCTTGACTAGAGGCTTTCTCTTTCTAATATGGTGCAGTCATTTTAAGTGTAGTTTGCTTTTTGGCTAAGGTGGAATAGAATAATGGAAAAAAATATTTTGGGGAGAGGTGGTGAAAAGTTAAAGGTGGAAGAAGAAGAGAGAGAGAAATACTAATAGCTAGTATCTATAGGTACTTGAAGGGCAAAAACCAAAGGTGCATGATGACACATATGATGAGGTTGGGGAAAGGAAAGATAGTCTCTATGCCTTTTCTATTTGGAATGATTATCCCATTATTTGTTTGCTTTTTTGTTCTCCTATTTTTCTAATGAAAAATATCTCCCTAGCTTCCAAATCTACCCATATGTATTAAAATATTATGCATTCAACATAATTAAAATGCAAATTGATATATTAATTTTATATATACTCAAGAATCCACACAAATATTTGTATGGTAATCCTATCTATATCTTGCTTTGCATATGAGTTTATATCCTATATATATATACACACACACATATATAAGCACAAAAGCATGTGTCTAGCTAGTAGGTAGATTGGATTGTTTTCTTTGGTTCAATTTAATTAATTGCAAGTAACCATTAAACCATAACAAGCGAGTAATCAAATCAAATACCGAGGGTTGGAACCATTAGTGAGATGCTACTTTGGAAGAGGTAGAATTATAATATTGTCTTTGATAGTCATATAAATTAATTGACGATTTGAAACAGATACGTATGGAATTAACACGACCCGACGATCAAATTTTTAATGGGAATCATCGATTTGATAATGTTTTAATAACAACAATTAAGTTTTTAATAGTAATTAGGATATGAAATTTTTCCTTTTTTTTTAATGTTTGAACTTGAAATTTCTTTTATATATGTTTTTGAAGATGTGATTAATTAATTGATTAAAAGAAAATTTGATTAAGAATTGTATTGTAGCGGTGGTCATATGAAAAAGCAATGGCATGGATTTATGTATATGTTGGTTTTTGTCAAAAAAGAGAAGTTAAGTTGTCTGAGTTTGAGTGAGACTGGCTTGAGACATACACTCCGTCCACTCACAATCCCTTTCTTTTAACCTCATTTTCCACGAAAGTCATAAAAATCTTTTATCAATTCATCGATTTCTTCCTTAGTCAAAATTTAAAGCTATAGCTAAGTTTTTTTCCAAACAAGATTGATGCTATTTTTATTATTTGCTAATAAAAAAAAAATATATATATATATTAATCACAGACCATCCATAGCTATTTTAATTTTGATGGTTTGAATTATTTCTTTGATTAATTATTTTTGTTGGATTTAATTAAATCTTCCATGCACGTGCCCAACTGTCAAGGAAGGTAAAATCCAAGGGAAACGACGAAAGTAACACATAAAAGGGAATAATCGTCCTAATGACAGTAGGGCCATTGCTTCAATATGTATTTATGTTTCTTACCACTTGCCCTTCTATTATTGTTGCCTATTTTACTATTTTTCTTGATTTCTTGATTTATTTTATTATTATTATTATTATGGATATTGGCTTAAATATTTTGTTAATAAATTAGGTAGCATTATTATAATTCTATCGTTTAATGATTTTCATAAAATTATTTATGTTTTGCTTTTCTTTAATTAGTAAATGTAAAGGTGATTTACAACTTTTTTTTTTATTTTGTTATGACTTTAAAATTATTTAATAGCACATAATTGATGGGTTTTTTATTATAAAAAAGAAAAAATGAACTGGGTTTTGTTCAATTAATTAATAAATAGATGCTTTAAATGTATTAATTAAGACATAGTCTTGAAGCTGTGAAGCAAAATTATATTTGGGATGCCCTAAAGCTAGCTAGCTGCTATGGTCTCAATATATTGATATAAAATTAAACTTTGGTTAACTAATTAAGTATTAATTACTGAGATTAGCAAAGATAATTAAGGTATAGAATAGAATAGGGAACATGTTAAAAGACAGAGAGCTGACAAAGGCAGTGAATTTTTGGAAGTATGAGCAGTCGTCTCCTTGTGGGCTGACTTTTCCTGCTAACCTTAATCATAATCTAATCATGTTTTAGCTTTCTAAGTTTGTTTAGTATTTATGTTTGGAATTTAGCTGTTGAACTGTGGCTGCTTCAGAATATTCTCTCCTTCTCCAACACCTCTCTCTAGGGCTTCAACTTTCAAGGTCTTATGGGATTCTTGTGCAAACCCCACATATTTATTAAAGTTAATTAATTAATCAATTAATTTACTCTCTCTAAAAAAAAATGCATGATCTCCGATAGGTGAGATGAGATGACATAGATTTCTTTTTCCTTAACTAGATATCTCGAGTTCGAACCCTAGAGTATGAAGCCCATTTAAATGCTCGGGAGAGAGCGCTTTGCCCCTTTGTGGGCCTGCCTAACACGAATCCAAATTAGTTAGGCTAGTGGGATCCGGACACCGGATGGTTAAAAAAAAGTTTTATAAAGTTAATTAGAAAGGATTAGTGTATATAATGTGTGTGTGTATTAAAAAGGAAAATCAGAATTAATTAGCTATATATTCAATTCAAAAATATGTATATTTACACTTTATATAGGCATTTGAAATAGAATTAGGGTTTAGGGAAAAGCAAAATGTTGTCACCAAGAGTATGTTTGTTTCTTTGCTTGTCTTTTTAAACTTTGAAATGAAGGGAGGATAGACTGGTTTAATTAATTAATTATTAATTAATTAATTAATTAATTATTGTTTGTGCAATTCAAAGAAATCCTCACAAGTTTTGTTTTGTAATTTCAAGAGATGGACAAGTCCCAATTCCTTAATTATAAACTCCCTTGAAAACCTAGTCATGTGATGAGATGGATGTTTATACCATTCCTATATATAATAATAATATTCATTCCTTTAATTAATTACCATTAAGATCTTTCAATTTACCATGAAGATGGGTTAATTTAATTTTCTATTTACTTTGAATAATTCAATAGGATATGCAATTACATATATATTAGATTTTTTTTTTTTTGAGAAAAATATTGAAAATTGAAGTTTTTTCTAAGGTAAGAATGAGAATTTAATGGGTTTTTTTTTTTTTTTTTTTGCATACATATATATTAGATTATTTTTTTTTTGAGAAAAATATTGAAAATGAAGTTTTTTCTAAGGTAAGAATGAGATTTAATGGTTTTGTTTTTTTTTTTTTATTGAACAAAAATATGCCGGGGATTTTTTTTTTTTTTTTTTATCTGAACAAAATATCCCAAAAGGGAGAACAGATTTTGGATCTAGATCCTACAGAAACCACATGCCGTGGCTATATCAAAAATTTAGAGAATATATGCCTTTTTGCAAACCATGTTATTTATCTTTTATTATTATTTTTTTTCTCTTTCTTTTTCTTTTATGACTTTCTTTTCTTATTTGTATTACACATGTCCTAACAGTGGAGGGCTCATTAAATCTAATCCAATCAGCTTTAAACACATAAAAAAGTGGGAAGTGAATATTCTTTGAAGATATTGTTTATGTACATACCAAATGTTAAAAAATTTAATTTAATAAATTAACTTACTAATTAATTTACATTAAACTTATGTATATAATTATCTATTTTTTTATTTATTTTACAAAAAATATTACTTTTATGCAATCACAAAGCTATATAATTCTCTTTGCATAAAAACAAATAATATGCTAAAACTAATTACAACAATAAATTTTAATATCACACTTTTGTATATCGATTCTGTGGATATGTCAATCTCTTTGCACTCACTTTGTCATATAGATTGTGTTCGGTAATACTTTTTTAAGGAGATCAAAATGCCAAATGGTGTTTTTTATAGCATTCAGTAATATAATATTTGAATTGATTTTCAAAGGTTAAGATATCGTTTTAATTATAAAAAATTAACTCACGTAAAGTTTATTTAGCTTTTACCGTTTTATAAAAAGCTACTAAAACAGCTAACGTCTATCAAAACAATTAATTTTATACAACAGATTCATAGGATCTCTTCTTTTGCGCCTCTTCTCTTGAAACCACAATATGTTGATATATAAACGACATAGATTTGGGTAATTGATGGAAGAAAATACCAAATAGTAATTACAAAGTGATGTTCAAAACCGTAAAGATTATAAATTGATTTAGGGTTGATAAAATCTTGATTTTTCTTATTCTTTTCTAGTCCAAATTTATGTAGTGATGGTGAAAAAAGAAAAAGTGGGTAGACAAGATCTTTTATTTCCACCTAGACCTAGGTGAGTGAATATATATGAAGGTGGTGAAGATGGAAGACAACTTGTCTAGCAAAAAAAGGAGCACCATTTTCGTCTCCTAATGCCATAGTGCAAGTATCTAAGAATTTTAGATATCGAAGAAGACAAATCAATTTTTCCTCAACCATTCAAACTTCAAACACTAATACAACTCATTACAAGAAGAGACTAAAGCATGTAAATGTCACCTAGTGGCAATTTGTTTTCACTTGTAAATATATATAATTTGACCAACTCATTTTTAACCCTATCTATCTATCTCTCTTTCATGTAACTTTTTGGTCAAATTTTTAAAAAATTAATTATTAATTAATAGTTTAATGACAATTTATATATATATATATATCTAAAAAACATTGAAAGAGACCACCACTATAGACATGCTCAATCAACCAAATGATAATGTACTCATTCAAAATACCATATATAAGAAGATTAAAGATTCTCTTTTTGGCTTGGAAAGCAAATTTAATAAAGCACCCACCATTGGAATTAAATGTCCCTACATGTTTTCTTAAAAGGGAAAAACTAGTAAACCATTCTTGATTCATCACCTTTATTTTATTTATATATATATGTATGTATGTATGTGTGAGTTTGAGAGAGAGAAGAAAGACACCATATAATGCCTAAACATAAACATAATTAATTATATATATATATATGTATTGAGAATAAACAAATTAACTAATTGGGTCTCCATCAAGTTTTTTTGATGAGCACTGAAATTCCACTAAGAAAAAGAATTTAAATGTTTAATATATATATAGATAAATTAATTAAGAAATTGAAATGGTGATTATATCCATCTTAATGATTGATATAATTATTGCATACATGGTTACATTTACATTAAAAGGGGGAAAGAAATTAAGAAAAGACAAGAAATTGTTCAAAGCATATTCACTATCTAAGCTAATTCAAAACATTAATTCAAAAAGAGGGTAATTTCTCTTCTACTTGGTTTGTCAATACAGTTAGAATCATTATTTTGAGAAGAAAAGCATACAATCATTAGAAAAAAAAAAAAAAAAAAAACAATCATTAGAAAAAAAAACAAAAAAAAAAAAAAAAAAAAAAAAAGAAAAAGTGTAATCTTTTTAATCTTTAAAAATATCCAATTTAATGTTGGTTTAACGTTATATCAACATATGTATTATATTATATTAATTTATAAAAAAAAAGGAAGAAAAAGAAATATAGAAATAGAATAAAATTTAAACCATAAATGTGTGTTCATAAAAGGCCTAATATGCACAGTTTAGGCACTTGTGATTGCAAAAAAAGAAAATATTAGTCCTAAAGATTCAAATCAATCAACTGATCAATTGCTTTCTCTCATCATAAGTTAACTTTACCAACCAACAAATTAAAAAAGCAAATTTAAATGATTTAACTTTTATGTTTTTTGCAAGCTATAAGTCTTCTTTACATATACATACATAAATATACATATATAGTTGCCATATAATGTAGCATCCATTACCCATGCTTCTCCCACTCTCATCACTGTATATTATTATTTTCTCCGTTTTCAAATACTTATCACATTTAAAAAATTACTATATTTTTAAATATTCATTACATTTATGGATTTAATAAATAATAATTTAATCTTTTCGTTTTTACCCTTTGTATATGACCAATAGTGAATGCTTAAATTTCTCAATAATTTATTATAACTTAAATAAATTGAATAATTTTTTTAAAGGACGTGAAATACTCAAATGTAGTAAGTATTTGAAAATGGAGGGAGTATGTTGTATGTACTCAGATGATAAATAGAGTATATAAAAATAGTATGTGTTATTTTTCGAAAAAAAAAAAAAAAACTAGACAGTTTTTGAAAAAAAAAAAAAAAAACTAGTATGTGTTAATTTATTTTCAAGAACTTTTCTTCATCCTCATCACAATTTTTAATTTCAATCCCAAAAATGAAAGGAAGCTAAATTAAGATGAAATTTTTTTATTTTATAGGAATTGTTTTTTCACCTTGTTAATAACTAAAGTTTTGATAAAATAATTAAATTAATAAATAATGTAAGTGTGTTTCATAACTCCTTCAAGAATAAGCTACGTACCGTATATCTTCTGTGAACGACAGTCCTCCAAGCGCCTAGCAATTTGCCGACTTGTCGTTCGTATTGGTCGAAGCTTTGTTATAAGCCGCAAACAAATGAGCCCAGCGATGAATGGAATAGTAAGAAAGGATCAGCCCATTTTAATTTGGGCCGCAAGTGAAAAGGGCACCATGTACCAACACCCGACCCAGACTCGCTGCTTAAACGACAGAGTTTCGCGTTGTCTTTCAACGTTCGCGAAGATTGCCCATAAACCAGACAAAGTATTCTCAAAGTAGAAGGAAGTCTCCAAAGGATCCAGGTATCTTTCTAGAATTTACTTGCTAACTGTTTCTTTTCTGTTTTCCTTGAGCAAATATATCCTAAATAAGTTAATCCATTCGTATTTGCCTGTCGTTTTACTGGGTTAGATTGATTTTGTTCGCCAAAGAGGAAAGTTTGATACTTTCTTCATTCGGTTGATACATTTGCACATGATTTTGAAAATCCTTTAATGGGTCTTTTAAAATTTAGGTGATGAATTAAATTTCTACGTTAATTTTGAATTGTCTGTGTTGTTGCAGTGGGGAATTAAATTTGGAATGGCAATGAGATAGATATTTGAATTAGTGTGTTGAATAATGGACGCAAAAGCATTAGCAAAATCTAAGAGGGCTCACTCACTACACCATAGCAAAAAGCCTTCTCATTCTAGTTTAAAATCAAAAGCTCCTTCTGGAGGTGCAAATAATGCTGGAGGTGGAAATAAAGCATTGGGGAAGCAAACAAAAGAGAAAGCTCGCCAGTCTGGTCTTCCAGCGAATTGGGATCGTTATGAGGAAGAGTTTGATTCAGATTCTGAAGTCCCATCTGGGGATAGTATAAGTAAAGCCTCTGATGTTATTCTGCCCAAGAGTAAAGGTGCAGACTTTCGTCACCTGATTGCTGAAGCTCAGTCTCAATGCCAGTCAAATGTTTGCCTGGATACTTTCCCTTCAATGGACGACATTTTGCCTGGTAATTGTTTTTCCTTGACGCTTTCTGCTTCATTAGTTATAGAAGTATGCTTAAGTTATATTGTTTAGTTACTGTATGTGCGGCGGAGAAATCATATGCACATGCTAATTTCATTTTAATGTAATGGTGGAGTGATCTGGAAAGAAAGTTATGGTGGTTGTTCTTATGACTTTGTAGGAATACACACACCCCAATATCACATACTGCGCTTCATTATAATCTATTTCTACTATAAGTCTCACCTAAGTTGGTGTGTATGTGACAGGGGACTTTGAACTCGGAGTAAGGTCAATGCTCTCAGTCAGGGGAGAGGGCATTTTGTCATGGACTGGAGATGATAATTTTGTTGTAGAGGATGAAACAACTGCAATCCCTGAGGTAATTGACTGCTTTATTCCCTTTATAATGACAATAATATATGATAAAGAAGAGAAACAAAGAAATTTAATGATTCAGAATTTTGAAGTATATGTCCTTACTATGCTAGTAATTGTGGACAATTATATTCTTCCATTGTTCCCCCTGCTAGATAGGTTAGATATAAGATGCCAATGTGATAACGTACGTCTCTAGTTTCAAGCAAATGAAAGCTGGGGTTTACCCTGGGTGGATGACACCATCGAGTCCTGGATGAAATACTATCTTATCTTGAGCCCAATTTATGTTTGTTTTGTAGTTTGTTTTAAAAATGAAATTATCACTTTTGGATGGAACTTTAGTATATTACCCAAACCTTATGCTCAACTCTGGATTGCATTAGAATTTTGCAAGTCTAGTTAATGTTATGCTGAACTTGACCAGTTATAAGTGTAGCTACCTGGAAAAAGTGAAAATAATATTTGATGTATTCTCGTTGATATGGACTATGTCTACACTTCCTTTCTCCAACAAAGGAGAAAGCTGGGGTTTACCCTGGGTGGATGACACCATCGAGTCCTGGATGAAATACTATCTTATCTTGAGCCCAATTTATGTTTGTTTTGTAGTTTGTTTTAAAAATGAAATTATCACTTTTGGATGGAACTTTAGTATATTACCCAAACCTTATGCTCAACTCTGGATTGCATTAGAATTTTGCAAGTCTAGTTAATGTTATGCTGAACTTGACCAGTTATAAGTGTAGCTACCTGGAAAAAGTGAAAATAATATTTGATGTATTCTCGTTGATATGGACTATGTCTACACTTCCTTTCTCCAACAAAGGAGAGAAGGTGAGGATGGAATCCTAATTCATTTGGAAGTTCTGATATTTAGTTTCGAGTTTAGACCTTTCTTAGAATATTTATAAAGAGGTTTTGCTTACTGACTTTGATGTTAACAAAATGGAATTTCTGTTGGTTTAAAGATTTATGAGAAACATGCGAAGCATCTTTTGTTGAATTTAAAGCAGTGATCTGGAGTGTTAGGCATTTATCATTATGTCAGTGCTATTGTTCCTATAACTATTTTGTGGGCTCTTTTCCTCTTTTTTTCTCTCTTCTTTCAATTTTTATTCCTTGTCTTGGCTTATTTAACTATCTTCTCTGTGTGATTTTCTGCTGAATGTTTTTCAACCAGGCATCATTTTTCTCTCTGAATTTGAATGCTCTTGCTGAACAACTTGCAAAAGTAGACATTTCAAAGAGGCTCTATATTGAAGAAGACTTACTACCACCAGAGCTGGTACGCTTCACATACGAATTTGATTGGTGAATATTTTCTAAGAGTTTATGCTACTTTTATTTTTAGGCTAAATAGTCCAATGTTATGGAAGTGATGTATATACCTGATCCCAAACTAGATTGAATATGAGCACCAATTGAATATGCTGAGTATATGTGATTAAAATTTATTTTAGGGTAAATTTTACATATTTCAGACATTAGAACTCTGTAAAACTAAACAATAATTTCAGATTGTTTTTGCTGCAGCATCTGAAGAAAATTTCTTTCGTAAAAAGCATTCATCAACTTAAATGCCAAATGTACTGATAGTTGAGTTTAGTTTTCTCCAGTCCGAAGATCTTAGAATAAGCTTCTAACTAGTTTAGCCACTTTGACAATTTTGATGTGATTGATTGTAGGAACTAAAACCTCTTTGAGAGTGCTTTCAACATCCCCTACTGTGTATTAGATTATTAGTAGTAAGCTGGCTAGGATGTCACAAACACTAAAATATTTTGGATCCTGTGATACTTGCAGAAGTCAGAATTGACAATTATTTGCTAATGTTTAGACCTAAAAGTATCACCCTGAAATAGTTTTTTGCACTCAAGAATATTTCCTCTTGCATATCAGTTTGTAAGGTACTGTCTGCAATTGCATGTCTATCATCTTGATTTCTGTTTCTCATGCTGAACGTAACACGGCTTACTTGACAGACTGACAATAGATCAAAGGCAAGCTGCGGCCCGGAATCAGACCAAATGCAAACAAGTGAAACTGAAGCAACCTCAATGGTCGCTGAAAGATTGGCATTCAGAGATATTTCCGGGAAGAATAAGGTTGCCAACAAAAATACTGAGGTTATATCATCAGAATCCACTGCTAACAGATATTCAAACCTCATTTCACCTAATCAAGGATTGGATAGATTAAACCAGGCTAAGGGCGATCAGTATTCAAGTCGAGATAGCAAATTCAGTGAAAGCAAGAGTCAGAAGTCCCAAGCAGACTCCAAGAAGAAACTATCCACGTTTGAGGCAGCAGCTGCGGAGGCAGAACTGGATATGCTTCTCGACTCATTTAGTGAGACCAATTTTCTTGATTCTTCTGCTGGCTTGAAGTCCAGTAGTTTTCCTGTGTCCCAAAAGGAAGCTCCTGTAGTTATGCCACAATTCACTAGAAACACCTCTAGCTCAACTTCTTTGGAAACAACAGCTGTTGCTGCCAAACTAGATGATGTTCTTGATGGTTTGCTTGACGAAACGACTAATTTGTCAAACCAAAACAGCTCATGTCAGCTGGGGAAAGTGACAGTTACCCATAATGAAATCAAATCTTCTTCTTCCTCCCAGCCTGTCACAAAGTCTATAGTTTTGGATGATTTTGATTCATGGTTAGATACACTTTGATTACTTCTAAGCTAAAAAAACCTCACGCATGTATCCTTATCTGTTGTGTTTCAATGCTATACAAGTGTGTGTGTGTGTGTGTGTCTATATATACATATATATATATATATATATACACGCTCTTTTGCCGTTATTAAAGTGGAGGTTCGAACTCAAAAGTTAAAAGTTAAAGATTCAGAGTCCAAGCGCTGAGTTCCTTCATGGTTCTCAACTCCATTTATTATTTCTTTTGGGTTGATTAGCAACTGTAAGTAAAATTCATTCTTATTTCAATAATTTCTGTAAAGAATTAATTTCTTAGCCACTAGCTGTTAATGCTGAGTGAAATGAAAGAACTGAAAGCCACCTTATTATTTAATAAATTAAAAAAAAAAAATGTTAGGTAGTCTCTTAAGAAATGCTTTTAACATAACATAAGGTTTTCCATGTGATGCCAATGAAGTTTGTCTCTTCTTTAACAACTGTAAACAGCTGTGAATACTATTGTTTAAATACCAAAAGTCGATCAAGAAACAAAGTCTTCAACTTTCCATAAAAAAAATTGTATTCCTTTCCTTCTAACAAAATTACAATCTCAATTCTAAACCTAAAAATTTAATCTTTTACATTTTTTGTTGAATTAAATTGCAGCAATAAGAAGTTAGAAATAAGAACAAAACTTGCAACAATCAAAGCCATAATGCTCCAGCTTCTTTCAATATAGGCACTAATTCTCCTGAAATATGAGTAGCCATAAGCCTATCCAATCCTCCAAACAATCTTCCGCCAATAAAAACAGCAGGAAACAAAACCTTTTTATCATCATCCGCACCACTATTACCACCACCAACAATAATCTCCAGTTCTTGCAAAACACCAGCTTCATCATCTTCATCAATTTCATAAATTGGTGGGTTCACTCCAAGCCCTAATAGCAACCTTTTCACTACATGGCTCATACAGCATCCACGCCTGGCAAACACTATAATTGCATTTTCTTGAACCAAATTGGCCATATTTCTCGACCCTTTTAAAAATTCTTTACCTTTATTAGTGCCAAAAACGCCAATTGGTGGTGAAGTGGTGTACAAGGGCAGCCATGACTTGTAAGGGATTGCTTGTTGCATAATTGCAATGGGTAAACAGAAAACAGAGGTTCGAGAGAGGAGGAGAGAAATGGGTAATGGGTAGTTTTTGAATTGGGAAATGGAGGTTTTATAGTTGGGAAACGGAGACTTCGATAATTGGAAAACAGCGTTTTTGAGCGTCAACGGCAGTTGGGCTTTTCTTGTTTTGTTTTGTCACGCCCTGTGTGGGTTAGTGGGTGACGTTTTAATTGTGTCATTATTTCTGCATTATTATGTATTTTATTAGGCACATGTAATGTAAAGTGCCTGCGTCTTGATTGATACTGACTCTTTTTTTTATTAAAAAATATTTTTTTATCTCATAATTATTGTTATATTTTCCTTCTTCGTTTATTTTAAATATTTCTCAAATTTTCTTTTAAGAAATAAATAGTATTCAAAATTTATTATTTTATCCTTATTTAATATATATTTTATTAATAAATATCATAATTAAATTATCATATTCATATTAATTAAATTTAGATATAAAGAAAATTAAAATATCAAACTTTTTTTTTTTATTAAAAACAATATTTTTTTTATCTCATATTATTGTTTATAATTTTCCTTCCTTCGTTTATTTTGTTATATATTTTCTCAAATTTTTCTTTTAAGAATAAATTAGTAAATCCCAAAATTTGATTATTTTGATCTGTATTTAATATATATTTTTTAATAAATATCATAAATTAAATTATCATATTCATATTTATTAAATTTAGATATAAAGAAAATTAAATCTTGATATAAAGAAAATTAAAATATCAATATATAATCTCTTAAAAAGTTTATATTTAATTAAATATTTGATTGTAATTATTAATTTTCAAAATAACTTTATATGAATCATTTAATTTTAATGAAATACTAATATAACCATATATTGAAAAAATAAAAGAAATATTATTATTTAATTATATTAATTAAATTTTATTAATTTGTGTGAAAATAAAATTAAGACAAAAATTATGTAACAGAATAATTAAAAAAGATATCTTCATATTTATTTATACATATAACTTTCTACATTTTGAATAAAATCTTAGAAAATTAGCACATTTTCAATCAAGTCCAATGAAATATCTTATGTTTAAAAAAGAGATAAAAAAAAAAAAGTTTTCAAAGAATTTCATGAGTATGTCTGAAGAAATATTTATTTATTTATGATGGAAAGAAACAAAACACGATAAAATTAAATTTTTTTATAGCAAAACTTTTAAAAAAAAATTGTAAATACAAATTATAAAATCACGTGTTTGTAACGTTTATTACATAATACAAGTAAAAGATAAATAGAAATCCACTTGGCACATATTATGGTGGCTGAGATAAATATGGCCCTTTAGGCACTCCAACGGTCCATCCCTAACTTTACGTGTATTCTATTAAATATTTTTCTAACATGAAATATGTCTAATATATATTATTCTTGCATTAATATGATTGTATTCAGATTTATTTAGTTTTTTTATTTGCATATCATGCATTAAATTCAATTATTTATGTTCGAAAAATTCAATAAATTTATTTTAAAAGTCATATACATAATTTAATTAAATATTTTTATTTATCGAGAATTTTATTATGCCGAAAATCACATTGCACGTTATATAATAAAATCAATTATTGAAATTTCTCTTACTTAAAAAGATTTAAATTTAAATTTTTTATTTTTTACATAATTGAAATGACTACCGATAATATACTGCCCTTGAATTTTATACTATGATGATTCACATGCACAAATTCTTTGTCCCATTTGAGAAGCTAACCTACAGTATGTGTATGGAATAACTGGTGGGCGACGAAAATGTCAACAAGGGGTGACGAAATGACGTTTACCAAAATTTATATATATAAACAAATCATGGAATTGTAATGTCTACGTTACATGGTGAGTCAGCTTACTTGTCGTTTCGTAGTATAAATATCATTTTGTTCTGTTATTGACTTTTTAACTACCAATCCAATTATACTTACTGTCGTATAATCTGTGTTTATTAATGAAATTTTCTGGATTTAGAAAAATAAATCTCAGCTATTTTGTGATAATCTTAATTTTATTATTTTAGAAAAGAAAAATTTTTAAGTGAGCTTTTCATTTTGAACTTTAAAGCATTAAATTACTTTGATTTATTAATATAATTTTTTAATTTTAGAGATGCATCGTATCGTTAAAAGAGATTTATTTCATAATAAAAATTATAATTTTAAAAGCATATGATCGACCTTTTAAAAATTTTAAATACCACGAGAATAAAATATTAAAATTCATAGATAATCTTATACATTAACATGTGATTTCACAAATTTCATATTTTTTTATTAATAATAAAATTGAAAAAGGTCACTTGATTTTAAAAATAATCTTTAAATGTATGAATATTATTTTTAAATCATATAATAAAAATTGAAATTTATATATTTATAATCTATGAGTCTTCTTCTTAAATTTATTAGAAAAATAAAGAATTTTTTGAAAATACCATTTATCATAAAAATTACGAAAAAGCAATATCCAAAGTCACTCACAAATCTAGATAGGAACAATTTATAAATCAAAATGAGTTGACAGAAATTGAGGGAAACAGACAGCTGGACTTATATTATTTGCTGACATAAATGCTATAAATTAGTAGAATACAAATATAAATACGGTATATGCCCATTTCCTATCATCGATGCCAAACAAAACAAATTAGCCGCTGGCAGACGCCGGACGGTGCGCGATGCTGACGTCAGCCGAACGAATTTAAAACTCACCGTCATCGAGCGTGTGAATGATGTCACCTTCGGGCCCGCCACGTGGAACTTTATATCACGACAGTGAACTGTAGTATCTGCGTCGTCACCAGTTCATCGACCTCGTCCTCCGCGTGGTGACGTGGCCATGACCTCATCCACTTTGTCTTTTTGGCTTTTTGACGTGTACAGATAGAATCATACGTGTTTGAAGGTCTCTTGCCATTCGGTGCTTCTAGAAGAGGACATCAATTTCAAGCACCCGACTAATTTTTTTTTTTTTTTTTTAAAGGGATTAAAAATTATTTTTATATCTACTAAATTAGTATATTTCATAGAATTCAAAAAAAAAAAAAAGAAAATCAAATATCTAAATTCTAGAAATAATGAAATAATTATAACAATGACTATTAAGTTTGGAGAAAATAATTATAATTATTAATATTCAAGCTTTGATTCAATTCTTTTTTTTTTCTTACTTCCAGAAAATCTAGTGTAGTTATAAAATATTTAAAAAAATTTATCTTATTTTTTTGCAGAAGCCACTTTTTATCAGAACTATGGTTTGATCGAGGGACCTATTAGGTATGGGCCCACTACACTTACGACTACGCCACTCTGATTTGTAGTTAGAAGTTTTTTTATTTCTTCTTAGTCCAAAATGTAGAAACAGTCGTACTAAAAAAAAAAAAAAAATTACACAACGTGCATGCATTTTTCAATTTATTCTATTTATAGTTTGGTATTGAAAACTTTTATATGGATGAGTAGATAAATAAGAATTAGAAAGTAGGAGTGGTTGCTGAGATGCATCATGCACAACCAAATTGGTTAAAATATCCATGTATGCACAAAGCAAGCAGTTAGCATGTCAAAACGCTTGACGTTTGCAAGTAATCAATAACTTGAGGAAGTTAACGTTAATGCCAATAATCTAGACGTTAGGACTTGAAAATTTCCAACTGTAGCTAGCTTGACTTGCATCATATATATCCTGCTTTCATCATTTTATATTAATTAATTAATTAAATCTAATAAGTATGGACTTTGTTACAAATATAGCGAAATAAAAATAAAAGATTTGTATACTGGATTCCAATTAATTTGAAGGTTCGATAGCAAATCGTTACGAATTTACACTCTGACAAACAGAGAAAAAAAAGCACAAAAACATTAAGAAGAAAATGAATTTTTTGTTTTAATGCAAATCTTGGTCTAAAAGATTCATAACGTTGAATATTAAGATTTCAGATATAAAAGATTGCTTATTTAAAGCATATAAATTATTCACAAATGGACAAGCAACTAACATAGATAGGAACCTAATCTTAAGGCCTGCAATGAGAAACAAAACCTTGCTTGTTAAAAAAAAAAAATCCTGAAACACAGACATCATATGTATGTGTAAGAGAGGGGAACATATCTAAGATATTCAAAAGCAAAACAAGTGGAAAGTTCAATACGACATATGTAATTGCGTGCATTATTTTTCACTCAACATGAAATCAATAAAAATATTAATTTTTACTAAATGAGAGTATTTTTGTTCATATACTGAAAAAAAAGAAAGATGTAATAATAATTTTTAAAAATTTTTTATTTTCATTGGCTTGATTCATACGTAAAGCAATAAATCCGGTTCAGCCAATTCCGCATTTATTCCGCATTTAGATGCATATTAGTGTCCTTAATTTGCTGGTGGTGCAGGAGCTTCACATGCAGCTTTTAATATCATCTGAAATGCATTTTCTACATACAACGTGTACTTCTGTGGATCGATGAAGTCTTTTTCTACTAAAGCAGCAACTCTAAGCTTTCCCATATAACTTACTACTCCAGTCATAAGACTCTGCAATTCCATTAAAATCATGTCTCATTTTCACTAATTCCATTAACATATCCAATATATATAAATAGAAATTTTCTTGGGAGTTATAAACTTGTACTTGAGGAGAATTAGTAACCACGAAGTAGAAGCCATTGATTGGATGATTAGCTAAAGCCATCTGCTCTCCTGGCCCCATTACATTTGTAATCCCAATACTTGTGTTCTTCAATGTGTTATGAAGATACTTCGATACCGCCTGTAATTAAGAACAAGAGAGCTGATATGATCTTTTTTATTCATCCATCGATCAGTTTGATGAATAAAAATTACTTAAACCATACCTCTGGGCCTCTGAATTTGTTTACAAGTTGAAGGTATTTTGCAGTGAGATAAACAGCAAAAGAGGCTCTTTTTCTCTGGATGATTTTTCTTGCTTTCCAAACGAACTGGAGAGGGTCTTTGGGTTCTGAACCGCTCAATTTCGGAATTGATACAGACAAGAAGAGGCTCTTTTTCTCTGGATGAATTTTTTCTTGCCTTTCCAAACGAAACTGGAGAGGGTCTTTGGGTTCTGAACCGCTTTCAATTTGCGGGAATGAATAACAGGACTGAAGAAGGCAAAAAATGGTTGCCCCCATGGCAGCTCTGCATTAGGTTTAGGTCATTCCTTGAACTGACTTGTACAACCTCCAAACATTCTTGTAATTTAGCAAAACTAATGATGTGGTTCGGGCATTTTCCTGATCCTTTACTTATTGCTTCCATGTAACATTCGAGTTCCCAAGAAAATTGTTCCGTGAATCACAATCATTTATGTCTGTACAAAGGAAATTAATCATTAGTCCTTGCTTTTCCATAATCAAATATATCAGAGCTGAATATTATATAAATGAGCAAATGAAGAGTTAGTTACTGACATTACAGTTGAAATACTTACCAACTCCAAGCTTGGTCCCTGATTTGTTTTATTTGATCAAGAGAGAAAGACATTGTCAACTAAGCTACAGGCAAAAATTCCACTCCCAGAATGCCCGGTCGTAATCGGTGATTTATCATCTCCAACAAAACTAGCCAATCATAATACTTGAACAAAAATCTGAAGAGTAATTCAATATTGAAGAAAATATTCCAAAGAAAACACATTTCGTATTCTTTTCCTTTTTGGCCTTCCATATTACCCATTTTTAGTGTGCAATTGAACAGAAGGAAAAGTCAAGGGAATTGAAGATTGTCAGCTCTTTGTAAGCAGAAAAGAAGAGCCTCCATTAAAGAGAAGCCATCTCCAAAGAGAGTGGTGGAGCTTTAAAGATTATATTACCAGCTACTTTCAAGATGCTAGTTGGGTATTTTATCATGTGAACTTCCCATAAAGTTGATTCTGGGGGTAACTGTTCCATTGCTAAATTTGAATAAAATAAGCCAATAAAGCAAATTGCTGTAGAACTTTTGCTGACATTCCGTTGGGAATATGGGCACTTTTAAGTGGTCTTTTGAGATTCATTCTAAAAAACCTTTTTCCCCCCCTTCCATCGCTTTTCTCCATTTGTATCTTTTTTAACACTGTTTATAAAATACAATTAACTGTTTATGTTATTACCAAAATTTAGTTGTCATTGCCACTAATATATATATATATATTATATATATAGAGAGAGAGAGAAGAGAGAGAGAGAGATACATTACATAACAGAAGAGAAACGTGGGTTGATGGGAAGGAATACATCTTTGAGCAATTTGTATTGCACTCGACTCATGTAAATCTAATGGAACTTGTGATTCCAATAACACTAATAAATACAAAGTGATAGAACAGAGTTGCTCAACAAATTGTCCTGTTGGACTTACAGGTTTCTAGTCCTACTTCTTGCTCTATCTCCATTAATCCTCACAGTTTTTCTTTTTTCTTCAACTAAAGAAAACAAAAACCTAATTCTGAAGGAAGTAACATGACCAAATTTATAGATTTTTTTCCCCCTAGACCAACCATAAATTTTTTCCTTCAACAAGGAATGGTTTAGCTATAAAGATTTGAGATTGTGACTTGAGTTCTTCAATGATTTATGGATGTACGTTGGCCTCGCAATCCCAATGACAATCAACTGTATATTATTTTTGTGTCACCTTTTTATCTTACCTGCTTTTTAAAGCTACCAGCATAAAGTGCAGCTGAACAAATTAATAGTCATAATATAATGAGTCGGAGCCTAAGAAGTACATCAACTATTAGTTTTTTTTTTATCAAAATTTGTTATTATTTCTTGATTTTTGTTTTGAATTCCCACAATTAAATTATCCATTCATATTTTATAAATTAGTTTTAAGAATAAAAGATAAAATAAAATTTTTTTTAAAGTAAAGATGGTGGACTCTCCAATTAACATTTTATCATGTTTAAAAATAACAGTAATGCAAAAAATAATTCAATTGCCTCAGGCTTAATAAGGGAAACTTTTTCAAAATCTTGATTTTTCTCGTAAATTTTATAAGGGTCGCGATTTAATTAAAATCGAGACGCTCGACCTTTTATATAAGAAAATATGTCTTTCTGCTTAGACCAAATTCGTGTTATATAAAACCTTTATATTTTTGAAAACTTTCAAATTTTAAATAGTTGCTAGACAAATGTCAGATGAAAAAAAAATAGGGAGAGATGGTCTCTGAACACTGTTTCGCTTTAAATGTTTAACATCTTTAATATTATACGTTAGATGAGGAAGTTTGGAGCGGAATAAAATGATGAAATCCTCCTAAAAATTTATTTACCTGAAATACATTATGTTGATAAAGTTCAATTCTTTCCTTTATCAAACGATGGCTCCTCCATTTTATTAAAGATATTAATATAATTCAATTTAATTTTATATTAATACATAAATAATTAAGTAAATTAATTATATTAATCTTTAAATGTTATTTTATTATATACAGGTTTTAAAGGAGCCAACACCTTGGAGGAAACGTTTCCTTTCAAGATTAAACTTAACCAGAAAAAAAGAAAGATAAAAGTAAAGAACAATTGGTTAAAAAATTTTATTTTTATTAGTTGATCTCATTAAGTTATAAGCCATAAACCCTGTAATAGTTAATCCCGTAATCTTTTATCCCATATTACTAGCTTGTGGTCCTTAATTTGCTGGTGCAGGAACCCACATCAAGCTTGTTAAATCATCTCAAATGCATTTTTCCTACATGCAACGTGGTACTTTTGTGGATCAATGAAAGGTCTGTTTCTCTACATAAAGCTGCAACTCTAAAGCTTTCCCATGTAACCTTACTAACTCCTGTCCCCAGACTCTGCAAATTCCAATAAAATCACGTCTCATTTTCAGTTCTATTCAACATATCAAAAATATAAATAGAAAAATTTCTAGGAAAGTTTATAAAACTTGTACATAGGAAGAATTAGTAACCACGAAGTAGAAGCATTAATTGGATGATTTAGCTAAAGCCATCTGCTCTACTGGCCCCATTAAAATTTTGTAATTCCCATACTGAAGTTCTTCAATGTGTTACGCGAAGATATTTCGATAAAGCGCTGAAATTAAAAAGAAGAATGCTCATATATATATATATATATCGATCAAATTTGATGATAAAAAATTTGCTTAAAGCAATTACCTCTGGGCTCTGATTTGTTTAGCAAGCTGAAAGTATTTTGCAAGTGAGAATAAACAAGCAAAAGAGGCCTTTTTTCCTCTGGATGATTTGTCTTGCTTTCCAAAACGAACTGGAGAGGGTCCTTTAGGGTCTGTACCACTCAACTTTGGTATTGGTACAGACAAGATGATCTGTGCACAA